GGGGACTGGTTTGGAAGAAGGGATCAGGTATCTGAGGGAGCCTGTAACAGTCAGCCAGGAGATGAGAATCAGAGGTGGGAGAAGCTGCAAGATTAGAGAGTGCAGAGCAGGTCCAGACAGAGGGGGGGCCATATGGGCCACTTGGCCCGGGCCTCCGATTCCAAAGGGGCCCTCAGTCAGCATATTCACAATCGCAGGGGATGCACTGGGGCGAACGCGGAGGTGCAAACATAAACCACGATAAGGCGAAGTTGCTTGATTTTTCCTGCGTAATTCAAGAATTTGCAGAAAAGAAAGCTAGGAAAGCATTTTTAAATGTAAACACTTAAAATAATCTTTTCCCTATGTATTTTTAAAAAGCACTATTGTATATCTATATTTTCCATTTTGTCTTTATATGCAGATATGGCTCAAGCCTTGAAATAAAGTTATTTGTCAGCATAACTTTTGTGAAAATTATTTATATACTTATTTATTTATAAGACTTCAGTTATCCCCAGGGTAAAAAAGGGGGGGCACATTATTTACCTGGCCCAGGCCTCTGCCTGGCTCTGCAAGGCCCTGGTGAAGAGCAGGTGCAGGGAGGAGAAAGAGAGAGCTTAGGCTGGTGTAGAGTCAAGGACTTCCACATATCCTCCTCCTGCCCCACAGCCTCCCTGGATGAGAAGAGGACTGAAGCAGGAGGAGCAGAGGTTACATGCAGGTGGAGTCTCCATCTGCTTATGTGTAGCTCAGATAGGCAGTGGCGTAGCAAAGTGAGGTGGTACCCAGTGCGGAAAATTTCTTGTAACCCCCCCCACACACACACATACATTGAAATCTAGTTAGACTCCCAAGAGACTGCGATCTACTCACAGTATAAAAAGACTGCCTGTGATCTACCCATTAGGGGAGGGTTGGTCAAAGTTGTTGAGCTTTTTTGGGTTTGGGTCCAGAGTTCCTTCCACTCTCCGCTTGTTTTCTCGCCTGCCTCCTTCCCATCCTCTCCCTGCATGCCTGCATGCCTCCTCCTGCAACCCAGGCACAGGATGTCAAAACAAAGGGGGAAGGAAGGGGGGAATCCGTACCCCAGACAGATTACGGTAGGTGGGAGTGGCGGCCAGCGTGTCGAATGTCACCTTGCTCAGAGATGACACCCGGGGCGCACCGCCCCCACCTTGCTCCGTCCCTGCAGATAGGGGAGGTACATAAGCCGGGATGGGGAGTGTGGCCTGCCTCTCTGTTGTAGTAACTGCCTCATTGGCTGCACACCTAGGAGCAGCTGAGAGACATGGGACTGATGAACATGCCTTTTCCCAACTTGTAATTGCACAATAAAGAGTTTATTCCTCACTCTGGGCATTCCTTGCCTGACAGCGCTGTGACCCCACATTCCACATAGACCTGGGCAGTATCTCAGGGGTACACTGCCCACTTTGCATGCAGAAAGGTCCCAAGGTTCAATCCCCAACATCTCCAGGAATATTCCCTCCCCAAAAACTCTGTAGAGCTGCTGTCAGCCATTGTAGAAAATACTGAGCTAGATGGATCAAGGGCCTGACTCTGTATAAGCGTCCTATGTTCCTAAACTAACCTGGTCAGCAAGTGGAATCTCACTTCGACGTTGACAGTGGGCCCAGACCATAGCTGTCAACCGTCCCTTATTTGGCGGGAAACTCCCTTATCCCAGCGCCGTGTCCCACTGCTGTCCCTTATTGACGATGTCCCTTAAATTTTCCGGGTTTCAAAGGAAGCAGCTCCTCTCCCTCCCTCCCTGCCGGCCAGGGAGGAGGGAGGCTCCAACTGTGTTGCTTGGCTGCGTTGCTCACCCAATAAGGAGTCTAAGAACGACTGGGGGGTGGAGCTTGCATGCCTTGTGTCAATCAAATCGGCTGCGTTGCCTGGGGACTCGCCTTTGCTCAGCGCTTCCCAGCGGAGAGGTGATGGTGGTTTCCCTTGCTGCATCCCCTTTGCCGGGTTGCTGCGTTGTGGGAACCACCGCTTGAGGCTTCGTTTGGCTGCTGGCTGGGCTTTCTGCCTTTGACTCAGAGGGGCTCAGAAGCTGAACATACCCGTGCCCGGAAAATCCCTTATTTGGGCTGCGGATCCCTTATTTTCGAGGCTGCTGGTCCCTTATTTTCAAATCGGTAAGTTGACAGCTATGGCCCAGACCCTCCACTTTGGCAGAAGACTGCAAGCATACTAGTTTAGAGGTCTCGGGGAAATGGGAGCTTCCCAGCTCCTCAGTTCTGAGCCACCTGAGGCAGCTACTTCACTCTGCCCTATGGGAGGGCCAGCCCTGCAATTCAGTATCAGGCGTGATGTTGAAGCTGAAACAGCTGCCACATGGAGTGGCTTGAAGTGCTCCCCAATCCACTTAGGGTTTATCTATGCAGTGCATATGCATATTGGCAATCTCCCAATTCTCTGAAGGCCAGAAGTTCTGTCTGGTGAGACATGGCTCAAGGTCACAGCACTCAGGCGCAATGAAAACATAGTTGCTCATCTGCGGCGCTTACTGGGGACAAGTCCTCTTGTAACAATTACAAAAAGAGACAGCCATGAATATGCATAAATAGATAATGAAAACCGGGAGACATAAGACAAAGCTGGGCTGGAACAGCACAGCTCTTCACAATGCAAAAGTTGCCATCTACACAGAATGATGGAGGAATATACAAGAAATTGCACACGGTTTGCAGAAACATATATTCAGCCAACAAGCAAAGCAGCCACCATCCAGGAGGAGCACAGAGAAGTGTTAGTGGCTTTTGCCCCCTTGTTTGGGGGTGCTTTGGGTGCCCCCAAACACCTATGAAATCCTTCCCCACCCAATTCAGCCCAAAGTTCTCTTTGGGGAAATTCGGACCAGTGCTAAATTTGTGCACACCAACTGCTGTAAAGGGAAGGAACTAAAAACATGTCAGATATTAAAAAGGAAACTGATCACAGACCATTCTTGACCGTTTCATTGGCTACTACTATGCTGCTCAGCATGTAAGAAGACATAAGGAGGAGAATAAAAAATAAATGTGTTCTTGGGTTCTTCAGTGGCCCCTCCCTGGCTGGCTGATCCCTGTGGCTGTGTTGTGAACTGGTTGGCCACTGTCAGAACAGGATGCTGGACTAGAAGGGCCACTGGCCTGATCCTGCACAGTTCTTACGATCTTACGTTGTGAGACAACTAAGCAGCCTTGGTGATTCTTGAAAGAGGTTCGTCCATGTGCAGAGTGCATGCCGAGGTGGAAAATGTGAAGCTTCACCCTTTGGCTTGCTGTGTGGTAGGAAGCGCTTTCAGAGAAAAGGAGAAAGAGGAAGAGATTCCCATGCCATAAATCTAAACTCGGAAGCAAAGCCAAAGGAATGAATAAAAGCTGTTTTCCTCCCTTTATCCACATTTGGCCATTTGACTCTAAAAACAAGATGCTTATCTGTCAAAGGGGAAGTAGAGATTAGTGCATTAAAAAGAGGCTTAAATGAGAAGAAGCAAACCCTTGTGCGTCACGAGTTTTTCCGTAACCTGAAAATAATGACAGGTTTGTTATCCTCCTGTATTCATACAGGCAAACTTCAGCTTCCAAACCAGTTTCGGGTATAAGTGACTCCATGTAAATCAGCCATAGAATCGTAGAGTTGGGAGAGACCCAAGGGTCATCTAGTCCAACCCCCTGCAATGCAGGAATCTCAACACATGGTGCCCCATCCGATTTGAAACCATACTGGACCCTGCTTAGCTTTGCAAACGCGCCTAGCAGTTTTGTTGCTGAACCACTAAGAATTGCAGCGACCAGAGGACGAATGACTGCTAGGAGGAGCACAGAGAGAAAGAATGCCATGGTACAACTGGACTGCTTCATCTGCTGCACATGCAATAAAACATCTCTCTCTCTCTCTCTCTCTCTCTCTCTCTCTCTCTCTCTCTCTCTCTCGTATCAGCCTCTACAGCAGGGGTCAGCAACCTTTTTCAGCCGTGGGCCAGTCCACTATCCCTCAGACTATGTGGTGGGCCAGACTATATTTTGAGGGAGGAAACTGAACGAATTCCTATGCCCCACAAATAACCCAAAGATGCATTTTAAATAAAAGCAGACATTCTACTCATGTAAAAACACGCTGATTCCTCCACCGTCCGCAGGCCAGATTGAGTAGGCAAATGGGCCGCATCCAGCCCCCGGGCCTTAGGTTGCCTACCCCTGCTCTACTGCCACTTCAGGCGCTGCAACCTTCCAACAGTTTCACTTCACTCCTAAAGGCGCACTGCTTCCCAAGACAGACAAATGCCAGCCCAACTAAGAATGGCACTCAGAAAGTTGGCCTAGAAATATTTTAACATAAAGAAACAAGCATGGCTACCAAGGCACCAGTGATGGTAGCGAAATCCCAGGAAAGTGCATGGCTGACATAGTTGATATAATTGTTCCGACTGCATTGGGTTGGTCTAGATGACTGTTGGGTCCCTTCAAACTCCACAAGTCTGTGATTCTGTGGTGCAGTTCCAGGTGCCAACCAAAGCCATTGAGATGTCCAACGCAACCAAGTTCACCCTCCTCCTATTCTCTGCCTTTGGTGAAAGATAGTGCCAGGGCACCTGAGGTTGGCTGCTTCTGAGGCCCGGAACTGAGGCCCAGCTGAAATGGTTCCAGAAAATGCATCAGCCTCCAGAAATAGCAGGGCTCGCTCAAGCACCTCATGCTCCATCAATTTTGCTCAGAGATGAAGAACCTGGTACGCTCATCTGCCATCAGATCAAAGCAAACAGCTTCATGCTGAGGAAAACCCTGCCACATACAGCAGGTGCAGACAATAGAGAGGCGCCATTTGCCAGGACTTTGACTTCTCCAGCACCATTTCCAGACTGCCTTTCAGCTTCTCATTCCCCTTGCAGATAACAAATTTGTAACCTTGCCCAAGTCCATCTTTATCCTTTTCCCCCAGGCTCCTGCAACCCAGTACTGGCTTACTATCAGCACAGGAAAGAGAAAAAAAACCAGGAGTTTGTTGCTGTTTCTTTTAATTTCTCGTTTTAGCCCCCTCACAAGTACAGTGGTACCTCAAGTTAAGAACTTAATTCGTTCCGGAGGTCCATTCTTAACCTGAAACTGTTCTTAACCTGAGGTACCACTTTAGCTAATGGGATGTTCTGCTGCCGCCGGGCTGCTGGCAAGCGATTTCTGTTCTCATCCTAAGATAAAGTTCATAATACGAGGTACTATTTCTGGGTTAGCAGAGTCTGTAACCTGAAGCGTCTGTAACCCGAGGTACCACTGTATGCACAATGACAGAAAGCATAAAAGTTAGAGGGCCTTCTTGGTAGTGGCGCCCGCCCTGTGGAACGCCCTCCCATCAGATGTCAAAGAGAAAAATAACTACCAAACTTTTAGAAGACATCTAAAGGCAGCCCTGTTTAGGGAAGCTTTTAATGTTTAATAGGTTATTGTATTTTAGTGTTTTGTTGGAAGCCGCCCAGAGTGGCTGGGGGGACCCAGCCAGATGGGCGGGGTATAAATTATTATTATTATTATTATTATTATTATTATTATTATTAGACTTTTCTCTCCTTTTTTATCATCAAAAAGAAAAGAAAAGAGATGTCTTTTCTGAACAACTGGTTGCAGTGGGTTTGCAATGGGTGACAGAAACAGAAAGCTTTTCTGCAATGTCACCGGCCTCCCAGTACTGATACTGATTGATGCCCACTCCAACCCGGAGCCATCCCAGGTCTGGACAAAACGGGGTAGTGGTGTGGTTTGTACAACACGGTAAGCTAGAAAATGGCTTACCATGAGCACATAAATATTTTGGCCCCTGCGGAGGAGATTGCAATCGCTTTGCTTCACATGAGTCTCTCCTCCTTTAGCACATCTTGTAATCACAGGACAAAACTTGTCGTAGGACAAAACTTAGTTGTTATACCGACCAAAGAACCCAGTGCCCACGATCTCCTCCTTGGGAGACAACATATCCATTTGGTTTAGTGCCTCATTCTGTTGCGGCCAGGGATTTGCAAAAGACGTCAGAAAAAAGGCTATGTTTGGTAAATGGTAACTGTTAGAGAATATTGGAGTTTTATTGCATATCTATAAAATAGTGCTTCCTTCTTCAGTGTCCTTTTTATAAAGCACCATTTGGGAGTTTGCTAGTATGTGAACTTGCTTAATCTGGGCTGCATACCTAGGAATAAAGCCTATTGATTACAACTGATTTTTAAAAAAGGAGTCAGACTTCTGAGTAAGCATGCAGAAACCTGCACTGTTTATTTCAGCTGATTATTCAGCTCAAAATTATTTAATAGGTGGGCAGCCCTGGAAACAAAGACCTTTTAAAAAAGAAAGTTGCCAGCCTGCTCTTGACTTAGAACAGTGTATATGGGTGTTAACTTCCGGCAGGCTCCTGAGTTATATCAAAATGCGCATACCTCTAGTGCTGGGGTTTTTTTTATCCTAGGGATTTTATCTGCTTCCCCAAAATACAGCTCAAAGCACCATGCATACCTGCAGAACAGGTTAGACCATTGATCATGGGTTGACACGCCACCATAAGGTATGTACAGCCAACATGGAGAGCCTCTCTGGACAGCAACAGCTCATCACAGAGTCAGGTCATTCTGAGGTTTCAGAATGCAGGTGGGGCATTGCACGGGCGACGGCTCGCATCAGAAATTGAGTGTGACAGGCAAGGACTGGGCTGTAACTACCGTATTTTTTGCTCTATAAGACTCACTTTTTCCCTCCTAAAAAGTAAGGGGAAATGTGTGTGCATCTTATGGAGCGAATGCAGGCTGTGCAGCTATCCCAAAGCCAGAACAGCAAGAGGGATTGCTGCTTTCCCTCCTGCTGTTCTGGCTTCTGAGATTCAGAATATTTTTTTGTTTGTTTTCCTCCTCCAAAAACTAGGTGTGGCTTGTGGTCTGGTGCGTCTTATAGAGCGAAAAATACGGTATTTATCTATGTCCCCTGGGAAGCTCTCCTAGCCCGTCACTTTTTTTAGAAATGGGTACTTTGCAAGAAGAACTTCACTGGCTTTGATCTCTGCCATTGGATTATATTGGGAGTTCTTGCCTTTCTGCTGATTGCTTCTATATTTTTTGCTGCTGCTTTTTTTAATAAAAAAGAAAATCTTTGTTTATTTCTTTTACAGTGATGTTCTGACAGTTGCAATTTTGTTGTTTTGATTATTATGGACTGGATGCAGAGGAAGTTAGTTAATTCCAGCGGGACTAAAAAGCACAAGTAAATTCCTTTGCATCCACCACCACCACCCCATGCAAAATTATTGTTCTTAGTCACTGTGGTTCCCTTTGAACAAAAGCAGGATACGAGGATGTCAAAATAAAGAAATAAAACAAATAAAGTTGTCGAGTTGGGCGGGACCATGCAGGTCATCTAGTCCAACCCCTTGCAATGCAGGAGTCTTTTGCCCAACGTGGGGCTTGAACCCAAGACCCTGGGATTAGGAGCCTCATGCTTTACTGACTGCATAGCAGGGAAGAGAGTCATGTGACTATCTGCACTCCAGTCTGAAGTGGTACAGTCCAGTGGTACAATGTGTGATGGGCACTTTGTCCCTAGAGCCTCACCAGCAGTTTTGCAAGTCATTTATTTATAAAAGCATTTATGTACCAAATCAGAGTGGCGTACAGCAACTCAGAAAACATTTAAGAGGAATACAGAGCATGCATGCAAATGACTGACTGCTCAAGGGACGTTCTAGACAACTGCAGAGGCCTCTCAGGATTAAAAGAGTCTTCAAGAAAAGATTGAAATTCAGAAGCATGCATGCCTGCTGAGTCTCAGCTAGAAGAGTGCTCCACAGAACAGGACTGGAAACAGTAAATGCCTGACTCCCAGTGGAGGCAGGTTGTGCTTCTGTAACATGGGGAATGCCACTTCCTAGGTCACTTCTGGACAATCTGTTTATTGAGCATTCATTCTATTCAGTGCCGGATTTATGTATAAGCTAAACAAGCTATAACTTAGGGCCCCACTCTCTTGGGGGCCCCCCAAAATTATGAGTCTTTGTAAATTGTGTTTCTAAAGGAACTTTTCTTATTGCCAAATGCCAATGTGTTTGCATTCTCTTTTTTTTAAAAGAAAAATTATTTAATTATTCAAAGTTATAACAAAACATATTTTCCAAAAACATATCCTTATTCCCCCCCCATTTTTCCTCCCCCCCCCCCCCCAGAACCCATCCTCCCACCCCACCCCCCTCAGTTCCAGTCTTTGGTTTCTCCAATAACGCTATTTTCTGCATGTTACAGAGTTGTATAGATCTTCAAACTGTTTAGCTAATTATTATCAGTAACAAAATTGTGAATGTTTATTCAAAACCTGCCAAGGAGTCCAGTTCGCTTTGTTGCGTCTTCAAATACTTTGTGAAAGGTTCCCATTCATCCTTAAAGTCACAGTTATCCTTGTCCCGTAACTTATATGTCAATTTTGCCAGTTCTGCATAGTCCATCAATTTTTCTTGCCATGATTCTTTAGTTGGGGTTTCTTCAGTCTTCCATCCTTGTGCTACCAGAACTCTCACGGCCGTTGTCGCGAACATGAAGATGTTTTTCAACTTTTTTGGCAGGTCTTTCCCTACAATCCCCAACAAAAATGCCTCAGGTTTTTTAACAATTGTTAAATGGAACATTTTCTTCAATTCATTGTATATCATTTCCCAAAAAATTTTAATTACTTTACAATCCCACCACATATGATAAAATGTTCCCTCCTTTTCCTTACACTTCCAACATATATTTGAACTAGTTTTGTACATTTTCCCTAACTGCACTGGTGTTGTGTACCATCTGTACATCATCTTCATGTAATTCTCCTTCAATAGGGAACAGTCTGTAAATTTTAAGTCAGTTTTCCATAATTTAATTTAACCCAATCTTCCATCATAATGTTGTGACCTACATCTTGTGCCCATTTAATCATAACTGATTTTACCTCTTCATCTTTCGTCTCCCATTCTAATAATATACTATATGCGGCCTTCAATCACTTCCGTTTGAAACCTAGATCTAGTATAACTAAATCATTTCTTACTGTCTTCTTTATATGTTTCATGTAGTTGTCGATAATGCAACCAACTCTGAAAGTGTTTGCATTCTTAAGTTTGTTATGAATAAAAAAATCATTTTAAATTAGAGCTTAATAATTATTTCACTATTAATATACTTCTTAATTGTATTTCACTATTAATATACTTCTTTTTAATTGTATTTCACTATTAATATACTTCTTAATTGTATTTCAGTTCAACAATTACTTTGATAAAATACATATTTTGTTATGTGCAAATGGCTTTAGATACCTATTAGATCCATAAATTACCATATAGCATATGTTCAACACAAAAAACCGTGACAATTTGTTGTTGACAAAGGACAGCTGGTCATATAAAGGGTCCCATTACCTTCAGCCTCTTAGGGCCTCATCAACCCTAAATCTGACCCTGATTCTATTGCAGAGAGCCTAGCAAATGCTTCAAGCAAATGCATTCCTCAGTCACTTTCCTTATCACAAAATGTCCCATCCTTTGTGGAAGCTTTAACTGTGGAACCTGAATCCACAGGTATGTGACTGAACTCCACCCAAAGCAGCGACAGTCTGGAAGCACCCCTAGCCTCTAAAAGCAGCTGGCTGTGCACAGCTTAAGGGAAACCTAACAGGACAGCCTTAAGCACTTCTACACAAAAGTAAATCCATTTGTGTTCAATGAGACTTAATTTTAGGGAAGTATTCTTATGGGTTTGGGGGCCTGGATGATAGCCATGGGGTCAATTCCAAACCTGTGATCCTATACCTGTGAGGTTAGACTCTAGAAAGGAAAACCTGCCAGTTCTTTTGTTAAGGTCATGGCCTTAGCTAGTCAGTAAAGTACCGTCACTTACATGTCCAAAGAGGTTGCTCTGTTGCTATAGAGACGAATGGGTGGGCCTTCTCCAACATCATCTGGCTGGATGCCACTGTCATCCTAGGATGGCCAATGAGGGCTGCATGTGAGAGAGGCAAAGTGGGGAGTGGGGGAAAGTGTGTTTTGGCTGAAGCTGGAAGCTGGAGACACAGAGGCTTTTCTTGCTCTGTGCTGGACCTCAAACTGTGGCTTTGGTGTTTCCACAGAATCCCAATAGGGAGGCAAGATCTACTGTAGTGTTGATGCTCTGAGTCCCTCCATCCTATGCTCAGATTATATAAAACCACATATCCTAAATACACCACAGTCTCCATTGACCTTCAATCCAAGGAAACAAACCCTGGGTAAGCCCTGGAACCCCTGGAGTCTCTCACTGCTCAGGGACTGGGGTGCTCACAACAGGAAGCGTCCTGCAAACACTATGCCATAGAATGAAAGAACATTAACCCCCACACCTCCCTCCCTCTCTTTCCCCCCAACTGCATGATGTCTATGACAATAGTGTCTCCTACTGAAGGTAAACAAACTGTGAAATAGTCTCTGTGAATCAAAAATGGAGGTGCTATATGTACGGTACTTTTCCTTGTTTATTTGCTTTGTAACACAAGGATTTTTTAAAATAAAAACTAATTTATAAAAACCAACAACAGTAAGTGTATTATACATAATTGCAGCCTGTATAGCTTTGGGTTGTGATCTTTGTGCTATTTACAGCTGAGTGCAAATGCAAATGTTTAAGTGCAGCTTTCAGTACAGAAAGATAGGGGCTTTGGAAAATTCCATATCCCCTTGCATTGAATATTCTTTTAAACACCCCCACCCACCCCACTTTGCTTGGAGTCATGCCACCCTGGGCCACCATTGTCTATCATGGATGTCAAGTGATCAATACTTCCAAGGCTAATGTACAGTTATTGCAGTGGAGCATGGTATCCTTTTTATTACATTGGCCTTGCAGCTTAGTCACCTGAGACAAGAAACACTGTTAGAAGCGAAAGGAATAAAAATAGCAGGGCTCGGGAAAGGGCTGCCTGTGATAAAATGCTATCTCCAAATAAAGGTGGTGGGGGGGAGGACATTGTAGGAAGTAATAGGACTTAAGTTGCTACTCTTCACCCCGGGACCATTTTAAAATACCATGTATCTTACAGCTTTTCTCTTGGTTGTCCTTGCAACAACAACAACACAGTTAATGGAGAGTAAGCGACTGACAGCAAATGAAACAACCTGGGCATAACTCACAGGAAAGCAAAGACTACACAACCCTCTTTGAGCAGAATGTATGGCTCCCATTCTCAAAGTTGCCAGTGGCAAATTGTTATGATGTTCCTGTGAGTTGGGATACTGTTCTCCGTTTCACAGAATGGACGTGAAGACTGAGAGACAGGCAGAACTTGAGGGGTGGGTGGGTGGGTGTTTTCAAGAAAGGAACGAGAGATTTTGGCCAATTCTCTGACTCAGATCAGATGTGGGAAGATAGGGCCATTTCATACACTGTGTGGGAGTGAAGAACCTTTGGCCCTTGATCATGTGCGGAGAACCTGTGGCCTTCCAGATGTTGTTGAACTACAACTCCCATCATCCCTCACTGTTGGCCATGCTACCTGGGGCTGATGCAAGCTGGAGTCCAGAAATCTATGGCATGCCACAGGCTCCCTACTCCTGAAGTAGAGGAGAACCTGGCTTTGCTACTTAAGTTGCGCCCTCAACAAAGAGCTAAAGGCACTCCTGGGAAGTTCATGTATGTGTCTGCAGATACACTGGTCACATTAATGATAGTAGTAATAATAATAATAATGTTTTTATTTATACCCCATTCCATATATAAAATAATAACAAGACGTCAAACATTAAAAACTTCCCAGTACAGGGCTGCCTTCAGTTGTCTTCTAAAAGCTGCGTAGTTCTTTATCTCCTTGACATCTGACAGGGAGGGGGCCACTGCTGAGAAGGCCCTCTGCCTGGTTCCCCGTAACTTCACTTCTCACAGTTAGGGAACCACCAGAAGACCCTTGGAGCTGGACTTCAATGTCCAGGGCGGAAAATTCAGAGAGTTGGTCAGCATAGCATCTAGGAGACTGAATTGCAAATCAGAAAGTCCCCAGTTCATCTTTCTCTCTTTGCCATGAATGCACTAGGAGGTAGTCCTAAGCAAGGCACTGTCACTCAGTTCCACCTGCAGTATAGCAGGTAAGTATACTGACTTACCTCCAGATGTTGTTGGACTCCATCAGATCCAGGTGGCCTGGCCAGTGAACAGTGATTCCTCCCCACACCTGCCTTATGGGATTACAACTACATAATATGCATGAAGCACTTTGAACACTTGAAAGTGCTGCACATTTATAATTATTATCCATTATTTTTATTTATGCTTTACATTTTTAGGTGCACACCTAAAAAACATCGCAAGCGTACCCCACAGTTAAGTGGGCACAGAAAAACAAGGCCCTAGTTATGAACTACAGCTGTCTGAAAGCAAAATTGACTGTGAGACAAACTGGCTGCTTCAACTTCACTGGCAACAGAAAGGTTAAAAATTGTGTTGCCTGCCTACAAGCAAGCTGGCTGTGGCCTTTCAGAGAAGAGAGGCTGGATTCTTTCCTTCTGCATTCTTCTCAGTTGGCACCCAGCAGCTGCTGCTTAACTGATGTGACGGGACAAATCTTGCACAATTCACCCTAGCAAACGGAAAACACGGTTGCTAAGAGAGTGTCAATATGGGCATACATGAAACAGAGGAAAGTAGGAACGGTTTTTGTCTTTTGTAAAAACATTTTTCTTTTATTTTCTTTGAACGCCGTTTCTTTCAGTCTTTGTTTTCGCTTCCCTCGCTGCACCCTCTGGGACCGGCTTGCTCTCTTTGCCAAATGCTTTTGTTCTGCTCCTGTGAAAGTAGCCAAATGGCATTAGGCAGTAGCCCAGAGTCCTAGTTTCCTTTTTGCAGGTGCCAGTTCTGGTAGACCTTGGATTGCTGGGACCAAAACAGTCTTCTGCAGACATTAGTCTGGAGACCTGGTGAGTTCAGGATGGCAGGATGCAAAATCCTAAGCACATTTCCTTGGGGGCAAGTCCACCAGGAGCTGTAGCTCAGGAGTAGAGAATCTGCTTTGCATGCAGAAGGTCCTGGGTTCAAATCCCAGGTTACATACGCTTCAGGTTACATACTCTTCAGGTTACAGACTCCACTAACCCAGAAATAGTACCTCAGGTTAAGAACTTTGCTTCAGGTTGAGAACAGAAATCGTGCTCCGGCGGCGCAGCAGCAGCGGGAGGCCCCATTAGCTTAAGTTGTGCTTCAGGTTAAGAACAGTTTCAGGTTAAGTACAGACCTCCGGAACGAATTAAGTACTTAACCCGAGGTACCACTGTATTTATTTTTCTTTCCAATCTCTTTGCGAAGCAGTTTGGGAACCACTGGTATAGACAGTGCTGTGCTAGATGGACCAGTGATCTCACCTGGATATTTAGAAGCTTGCTACGTTGCATAAACTCCAATATTTGGGAGAATAAAAGAGATACAAAGATACGTTGCTGCCAGGAGTGGAGACCAAATGGCATTCTCCCCACTGCCACTGCCCCTTTCCTAGGACCAACACCTTACCAGGTCCTCTCCAAATTTGAGGGGCGCCTTTGCGAGACCCTTCCTCTGTCAGGGGCTCGTGGGTGGGCTTACCTGGAGACAATGGCAGGTGGCAGTGGGCAGCAGTAGTAGAAGCAACAGTGCTCCAAGCAGCACTGGGTGGCTGGATGTAGCTGCCATTTTTATTTCCCACAATGCCCTAGAATCATGCAACCTCACAGCAAAAATTAAATGGCAGTTAGCGGCAGCCTGGTGAAAAGATGGTGTGAGCTAGGAGGGTATTAAGCTGTACGCCCTGCTGTACTTTCCCTCAAAGGGTCGTGGCTCTCCACTTTTAAAAGATTCCCTATCAGACATAGCCAGTATTCAGCCAGTGTGGTGTAGTGATTCAGAGCGGTGGACTCGTAATCTGGTGAACCGGGTTCGATTCCCCGCTCCTCCACATGCAGCTGCTGGGTGACCTTGGGCTAGTCACACTTCTTTGAAGTCTCTCAGTCCCACTCACCTCACAGAGTGTTTGTTGTGGGGGAGGAAGGGAAAGGAGAATGTTAGCCGCTTTGAGACTCCTTCGGGTAGTGATAAAGCGGGATATCAAATCCAAACTCTTCTTCTTCTTCAGCCCTCGTAAACAGCGTCTGGGCGGAAATCACTGAAATGTCTGGGACGTATTTCAGCCCATGTCGAAAGTGTAGATTTTGGCAGATTTCATTAAAAATAGCTCAAAAACTCTCTCTCTCTCTCTCTCTCTCTCTCTCTCTCTCTCTCTCTCTGATGTTACAGTTAAAGCTCAACAACGTTTGTGTCTGGATTTTCACTTTTTGAAATATGGCAACCCTACCTTACCAACAGGACTCGGGTGACGCTGTGGTCAAAACCACTGAGCCTAGGATGCAAGTAGATAAATAGGTACCGCTCCTGCAGGAAGGTAAACGCCATTTCCGTGCACTGCTCTGGTTCGCCAGAAGTGGCTTAGTCATGCTGGCCACATGACCTGGAAGCTGTCTGTGGACAAACGCCAACTCCCTCAGCCTATAGAGTGAGATGAGCGCCGCAACCCCACAGTCATCCGTGACTGGACCTAATGGTCAGGGCTATCTTTACCTTTTTTACCTTACCAACACAATAGGTACTGCATGCAACTGAGAATGTGTCTGCTCAGAAGCAAGGCCCACAGAGTTGACTTCGTCTTACTCCCAGGTAAGTGTTGTCAGCCACTTGGCACAGAGAAGAGTTTCTGAGGTGCTGCACAAATTTGTACACTGGGAATTTTCCTAGAATAGGTCCCAGAACTGGAAGGAGTTTCAAACCTGTATTTGCTTTGAGCACTTAAAGGAAGAAGGAAGATTCCGCAAGCACCATGATGGCCTACATTTGTTGCCCTATTTGATTCAACAGTGGCTGGAGATGGACTGAAATGTGTCCCATTAAAACGTGCCAAACTTTTATCCATCGGTAATTTGAGCTGCCAGGAAAGGTCAGCGTAAACGAAGGCAACATTCTTCTCAGAGTCAAGACACCCTTGCTTGACAGCTAAGGTCTGCTCCGTAGTCTCTGCCTTGCCAGGGAATTGTTGCCATCTTTAGTAGCCTGGAAAAATTTTAAGGACCAAGGTGCTATTCTTAGACTTATCTCACTGGGTTGCAAAAAAGCCCTGCTACACATCCATTTTATCAACCCCCCTTGAGAAGTAATGGGGGAAAGTGCCATTAAGATTGCACCATGGCTATTGCCTTTTTATCTCTGGCAGATAGCAAGTTGCTATTCACAAATGCACAACCACTATAAGTTGCCAGGCCTTTTTTGGAAGCGAACATGCGAAGCTGTCTAAATTTACTAACTTGGTCTATGGATGCACCTAGCTCAGGGTTGTCTATGTTGACAGAAGCTCTCCGGGGGTTTAGATTAGTGCAGCTTTGTGTCCTATTTTGGAGAGGACAGTTCTCTATTTGAAGGGCTTTCAGAGAGTAGCCCTCTCTTTGAAGGAAAGTCCTTGACGCAAATTTCAGTCCAAGTCCAGTTCAAGAACCCTGAGAGAAAAAAAGGTGCTTTAAAGGTGCACAATGGTTAGCACCTGCACACAGGGGTGCCAATTTGAATAAAATATGGGGGGGGGAGTCAGGTGAGCCCCGCCCTGCAAAATTGATTACAAGACGCACACAAGACATGGGCAGCCACGTTCAGCCAGTGGGCAGGGAAAGAGGCAAAGGCTCTTGCAGGGTTTTTTTTTCTGAGCCAAGGACTTGGTGGTGAGGTGGCCAGGGAATCTTAAACCAGAGAGCTTTTGAAAAAAACCCAAAAGCTTCACAATAGGAAACGAGGCAAAATATTTATTATTTATTTTCCACCTTCCACACACATGCTTCAAGGTGTGTGAAATAAAATAAAAACAGCTAAGAAACAGTTAAAAGCAGCTCAGAAAACAGCGATGGATAAATTTAAAGACAATATCAAGCAGACTCCCATGTCAGAGACCTATTTACCCAACTGGAAAAGGTTTTTAGAACAAACATGTCTTCAAAGTGCAGATAGTCATCACATGTTGTATCTCAATGGGCATCGTTTTCCACAGAACAGGAGCAGAGACACTCCAAGTGTCTCTATTTTTCAGGGACATCCCTGATTTAGAGAAGCCATCCTGGTTTCTAATTTGATCCCGGTGTTTTCTTTTTGGGGGGTGGGGGTTATTGGGTTGTTGTTGTTTTTACTTTGATTATGTATTTTGTGGTTTTATATTTTGATTTCATTCTGTGAATTGCCCTGAGACCTCTGGGTATAGAGTGGTATATAAATTCTAATAATAATAATAATAGATTCAAATGCACCCCTAAAACCTTGCATTGGTGGCGTACAAAGGGACATTGGCCCCCTAGGAGTTGGTTCCTATGTCTGGACTGAGCAAGCACACAACTCGCCTGCTCAAAGTCTTCCCCACTAGGGTGAGATGTATTTCTATATAGATCACAGCAATTCTTTCTAAATTTGCACTTTTACATTTAAAATAACGTGCGTAAATTCTATGCAAACATGTCCACTTTCACCCTCTTTAAAGCATGCATATCTCTTTTGGGGAGTGGGGGGAGGCGAGGGCAGGGGCGAAGGAAGGGGTTGTGACACCCGGGGCGGGCGACACGACATAGGGCGCATGTGCGGCGTCGCTATGTACAGTGCATGCGCTGTACGTAGCGATGCTGCACATACACTGCATAGTGGTTTGCCGCCAGCTATAGCGGTGACGGAGGGATCCCGGCACCGTCCGTACAGCGCTGGAGCAGCACTGGCAGCAAACCGCTATACAGTGCATGTGCGGCGTTGCTACGTACAGCGCATATGTGCGACGCCGCACATGCACTGTACTTAGCGGATTGCTGCCGGCGCCCGGATTCTCTGTTTGCGGCTATATCTGCGAACGGAGGATCCTACAAAGGCGGCTGCAGCGGCGTGATAGCTGCTCGTGCTGCCGCAAGCCCCTGCGGGGTGACTTCTTGTCACCCTCACAGACATGGAACCCGGGGCATACCGCCCCCCCCCGTTGTGACGGCACTGGGGGAGGGGGTGCATAGGTGTGGCCACAGTTGTCCAGACAGGGTTCTGTCTCATCCTTACCCAGAGGTAGAACCTGTGACCATCTGCATGCAAAGCAGACGTCATACTACTGAGCAGCCAACGTGCCGTCTGCCTTTTCCTCCACTGGTGGAGACAGGCGGAAGACACCATCAGCTGCTATTTCTGCACCTAACCTGTTGAGCTTCATGCAAGAGCAGCGCTTGCTCAGCTGCATTCAGATAATAGAACTGGAACATACAGATTCCTGAGAGGTGGCAAAAGGAGAGGAACCATTCATTTCAGCTAGAATCAGAGAAATCAAAGCTCTTTCTATGCAGAGTATAAGTAGGTGTTCCAAGAATTTCCTGGTTATGCTACAAGCCTGGAGGATGGCGTAAGCCTTTTGTATTGTATTTTACACAATACACAATGGCACATTTTCATCTTGGGCGAAAGGCAGCCGGAGGGTGATCCTAGCAGGTAAAAATAAGTACAGGGCAAAGGACTGTACACACAAATGCACAGTTGCTTTTAATGAGTTAAAGAAGAAGATGTAGAGAGATTCTATCATACATCACCTGTAGCACCTGCAGCTTGGGCCTCGGATTCCCTGATGCTACAGCTGACATGGACCCCCAAAACATCCCCAGCCCCATAGAACCCTGGCTTGACTGAGCAAAGGGCAGGGAAACTAAGCGCAGGGCAATCCTTTAGTTGCAAAGAAGTTGCTGGGTTTTGGCGGGGGACAAAACGCAAATCACTTTAGAAGAAGAAGGAGAAGGAGAAGGAGAAGGAGAAGGAGAAGAAGAAGAAGAAGAAGAAGAAGAAGAAGAAGAAGAGTTTGGATTTGATATCCCACCTTTCACTCCCTTTTTAAGGAGTCTCAAAGCGGCTAACATTCTCCTTTCCCTTCCTCCCCCACAACAAACACTCTGTGAGGTGAGTGGGTCTGAGAGACTTCAGAGAAGTGTGACTAGCCCAAGGTCATCCAGCAGCTGCATGTGGAGGAGTGGGGAAGCGAACCCGGTTCCCCAGATTACGAGACTACCGCTCTTAACCACTACACCACACTGGCTCTTTAGGAAAAAAAGAAAAAAGACAAAGACAAAAATTGCAGTGAAGCTCCAGTTTTAATTCGGAAAAAGCAGCTTATCAAAAGTTTGGGAAATATTACCCTGTGTTCTAGCCCTATGTAGCACCAGAGCACATGCTTATTATCACTGCCACCCTGTCAGCTCCTGGCTTCTGAAATTAGGAAGCTGCTTCTTATCATTCTGGCAACTTGAGAGCTGCAGCCTGGCATCCTCCGTTCACTAAAAGTGACAGAGGAGCATGTAAGAAAAGCAGCTGTGATCTTTTTAAGGCCAGGGTCAATTTTTTCCCCCACTGCCCCTATTTTGCTCTCTGAAGAAATTGCCCCTTTCTTGTTTTCTATTGCTGGTTGCACTAAGCCAGTTTAGATGATTTTATTTCTTATTTTGTCTATTGAACGAATTCTTATCCCACTATTCAGTCAACCAAAAGGCTGGGGGGTGGGGGTGGGAATGTCAGTGCTAAGACGCTTCTTGTTCTCAGGTTTACAATCTAAAAGACAGAGCACAAAAGGAAAAGGGATCCGGAGGAAGGAGGGGGGAAAGCAAACTTGAGCACTTTAAAACTTTCAGAGGTCTTGTAATGACCAGCTGGAATGCAAATATTTCAAATATTTCAAGGAGGCAAATGTTGCGGCTCCTTCTGCTGAGTGGGTGGAGAGGCCCTACGGTCCCACTTCTCTCCCTTTTCCTATAGGCTGATGTCATGGCTGCTGCAGATTAATGCAGAAGTTTGCTCCCTAGCTAACCGGGAAGGAGGGGGGCTGGGTGCCAGGGAGGTGGGCATGGTGCAAACACACCAGGAGCAGTACCCGATCGGTGCCACCGGCGTGTCTCTGCTGTGCTGACTTCCCTGCTAGCTTGCCCCTCTCAATAAGCAAAAATGAACCGCCTTACCAGGAAGCCAGTGCAAGCAGCTCTGCTGCAACAGAGGTGCCACATCTAGATTAATGGAGAAAGTGCAAATCTTTATCATTGTATTAAAGTCCCAATAGCAACGAGTGGTGAATCTGAACACTCAGAAGAGCCCACTGTGGTGCATTTTTGGCATCCCAACTTTTTGCTTGAGGTCTCTTTCTTATAATATATATACTCTGACAGACCTGATTTCTGCATAGACAGAGTCAGAAATAAATATATACGCACGCCAATTTCCAATAGCAGAAAATAAATGCTATCAGAAATGCTAAAGATGCCATAGAATATGAACAATATCATGGGTTGTGGACTATAGGAAACTGAAATATGAATCTTCTAAGCGCATATAGGATTGGTTCATTGCTTGTAAATGTTATACTGAATTTTTTTAAGTTATCGATAGGAGACTACCTTGAAAATGGCATTTATTCTAGCGGAAACGTGGTACAGAAATGTTGCTTTCTAATAATCATTACTGTTTTTTAAAAAGGACCCCTGAACTTGAATGATAATTTTATACATACATACTTTATAAAAAGGATCCTTAAAAAATTATTTCATTGCAACCAATGCTCACATTTGTGGGTTTTATTCCCTCAATTTATTAAACAAAGGGAGCCATCTACTCTTGTGGCAGCATTTGATCAGGCGCAGCTCAATACATCCAGCTGAGCACTGAGGGGTGAGATAACAGCAGAAAGCATTCTATCGCAGGGAACAGAAACTTTTCCAGGAAAATGATCTGGTTGTGCACACGCGATTCCTCCTCCTTCCTTCACAACGAGACAGTCATTTAGGCATCAGTTGATTTTGTTATTCAAACTATTTCAGTAGCTAGGGTTGAGTTTTTTCTTTTTTTTAATGCAGTAGTGGGAGCTTTGCAGCAAGCAAATCACTTGGCTGGCAGAATTGTGCAGGACACAAAGAGAGAGAGACAGAGCGATGACTTTGTTAGCATTTTCTGTTTACTAATGCAATGAATGTTAGTATAAGCTTTTCAAACCAAAGGGAAAGTATGTACGAGAATCTGCCTATTAGATTAGTACATCACCCTGCCTCAAGAATTGCCCAGAGAGAAATACATTGTCTCATTCCCTCCCCCCACCCCCCGCTGCCACCAATTTATCCTCACAACAACCCGAAGAGGTAGATTCGTCTGTAAGAGAGTAGCTGGCTCAAGGTCATCCAGTAAGCTTTGTGGCTAAGCAGGGATTTGAACCCTGATCTTCCTTGCTTACGCACTCGAAGAAGAAGAAGGAGAGTTTGGATTTGATATCCAGCTTTATCACTACCCAAAGGAGTCTCAAAGCAGCTAACAATCTCCTTTTCCCTTCCTCCCCCACAACAAACACTCTGTGAGGTGAGTGGGGCTGAGAGACTTCAGAGAAGTGTGACTAGCCCAAGGTCACCCAGCAGCTGCATGTGGAGGAGCAGGGAAGCGAACCCGGTTCCCCAGATTACGAGTCTATCACTCTTAACCACTACACCACACTGGCTCTAACCCAGTGACAGCTAAAATGGCGGCCTAAGATGTTGCTACAACTCTCATCAGCCTCAACAATTGTTAGCCAGGGATTATGGAGCTGTGTCAGGAAGGTTTTGGGCGCCACATGGCAGGACAGAGTCTCAAACAAAGATGCGCTTTCCCAAGCCCACATTTGCCACATGTTCACACTCCTGACTCAGCAACTTCTATGCTGGCTTTGTCATCTCCACAGAATGGAAGATGGCAGGACCCCCAAGGACGTTCTCTATGGGGATCCGGCTTCAGGCCTCCGGCCAATTGGCAGACCAACACTGTGTCACAAATATGTCTGCAAATGAAGGCTGGCAACATCAAGCCTGTCATGAGGGAATCCCTCGCAGATGACCGCAGAGCCTGGAGACAGTCAGGTTGTGTATCCACAGCAGTGACCAGAGGAGGAATGACTGCTAGGAGGAGCGCAGACAGAAGAAACGCCATGGTGCACCTGTAACAGCAAAACTGGACACCTTCATCTGCTCCAGCTGCAATGAAACAGGTCTCTCCCATATTGGTCTCTACAGCCACAGCAGGCGCTGTAACTCTCCAACGGTTTGACTTCAACCTCGAAGGTGCACTCTTCCGTTGTCTCCAAAGAGAGACGGATGCCACCCGTGGGAGCTGTAGTCAAATAATATCTGCAGAATACATTGGATAACCCTGTTCCAGGGTGGATCTACACACAAGGGGAAAACCACTATAAATAAATCAGAAATTAAGTCGTTATAACGAAAGAAAAATTGCAAATAATTTTTAATGCTCTCCAGCGCCATGTGGTGTTGCATATTTATAACGCATTCAAAATGCTGTTTTTTGACTAATGTAGCGGAGTCCCCAAACTAGCTCATGCAACACAACAAACAGTGCATCAGCACGACGGGTGATTATTGGCTTGTGGTAACTTGGAGGTGGGCTTTTCCAGTGGTGGCCTCAGGGCTGTGAAGTGATCTTCCTGCTGCAATACAGGTGGCCCCATCAGTATTAGTATTGACAAGCTACTACCACTGGCGGAGGAAGGGGGTGCGGTGGGTGCGGCCCGCCCCATGGGTGCACAGCATGTGCACCTCTCCAGGTGCCAGAGCAGCTAGCTCCGCCTCTGGCTACTATTATTGTCTATTTTTCATTTTCCTCTTTCGGTTGTGGGAAGTTATAAGGATGAGCATGGAATCAACACCACAGGAAACTATCAAGGCAACTTACCTGTGCAGCAGAAAAGAATTAATGTCTATATGAATCAAGCCTATTGGAAGTACATGGGGTTGTTGGTAATTGGGTGGGGAAATTAGATTACAAGAGCCAAAGCAGAGGATGCAAATAGAAAAGGCCTTGTCATCTTCCATTGCCATGAAGTCTCTCAATCGTTTATATGGATTGTTGGCTGCACTTCAGGGTTAGTTCTCAGATATGAGAAACAAGCATATTAGAAATAAGTTGCAAAAGAGTTTTGGACTATAACCCTACCCTCACTTCTCCCCGCCCCCTTTTAAACAAGCTTTATTAAATCTGATATAGGCTTAGATACATAAATATGATAATTACATAAAACAGCAAAATGCATAATACAATCAATGAATTGTTTTTCTTGCCACATGTGGCTATTAAAGGTGTAGAGAGCCAGGGAAGCCAACAGGATTTCCTGGGTCTGTTACACTGTGTGTGGATTGGGCCTGCAATCTATTTGACAAGAACTGCTGCTTATGTACATGTATTAATTTAACCTAGCCAACTTCATACGCCTGTTGCAAATATAAAAGGGGGAGCGGAGGAAAAATATACTCAAATCCCAGATGGGAATATTGACATTCCATCCTATGGCTGCTTATCAGCAGTGATCAAGTGATTAAATGTCCTTAGCAAAGGAGCTGCCTGGTAAGGGCTGAAACATTAGCACTGCCTCCCACTTTTATGTTCTAACTTTCTTCGGAAATGCCTGACTGACTTACTTAAAAAAAAGCATACACAAACTCTCTGTCTAGCAGGAAATACTGAAGCCACTTCAAGTGTTTGAGCTAGATAAACTCCGTTGAGGGCACCGTGTCCCTTCCCCTCGCCATCTCTTCCTTCACCTTGCAGCTTATCAGCCATAGCAAATGTTTTAATGACTCGTTTGGTGGCAGCAAACTGTGTCACTGGATAACCTCTCTGACCTCAGACACAGAATACATTAGAAAACAAGTGTTGAACAGCAGAGGCAACCTTCCCCAGACTGATTCTTTGGCTCCAAATGCTGTTGGTGGAAAAGAGAGGATATATTGATATTCCATGTTTGATCCTTGATTGGAACACCTTCCCTATCAATAAAGGTTAAAGAACTGAGCTTTTCTTTAGTCTTTTTGGTTTTTTAAAAAGTGGGCTGCATAACTGAGTTTCCAAGAATTAGCGGGTTGGACAGAAAAGCATTTTTCTCTCTTGTAATACTCAACATTGGTACAGGGTGGCAGTGGGATTCACATAACTGATTGACAGTAGGTTAAGGACAGACAAAAGTAAATGCTTCTGTAGACAATTAGGACTGTGGGACTTTGAGAATGGGCTGGAAAAAGACATGTCTCCCGAGACAGATGGATACCAACAGAAACTGTTTTGGCATGTTTTATGAAATAACAATATTTGAGTATTTTTATGGGTGAATGTTTATACAGTGGTACCTCGGGTTAAGAACTTAATTCGTTCTGAGGTCCATTCTTAACCTGAATCTGTTCTTAACCTGAGGCACCACTTTAGCTAATGGGGCTTCCCGCTGCCGCCACACTGCCAGAGCACGATTTCTGTTCTCATGCTGAAGCAAAGTTCTTAACCTGAGGTACTATTTCTGGGTTAGCAGAGTCTGTAACCTGAAGCATCTGTAACCTGAAGCGTCTGTAACCCGAGGTACCACTGTATATGTCAAAGAGATCGCTGATTATTACTTTTTCAGTATTATGTTGCTGTGATATTATATGGCCTCGTGGTGCTATTTTCGTAGTTGGGTTTAGGTATTTAAGCGCAGATTTAGTTTGTGGACAATGTGGCTTATAAACAAAATGGCAATGGCAACGATATAAGCTGGAATCCAACAGCATCTGGAAGGAATGGGTTATCCAGAAAGATGGCAGGACCAGCAGTCCACAGGCCAACCTTTTGCTAGCTTCACTCATTTTTTGTGTGTGCTCCAGAATGGAACATCTTGATGAAGGGAGAGAGATTGACCGATCCAGGCACCTACTTTAAAAGGCTCCATCGTGGGAAGCCTACCAAGAGTTTGCCATCTTAAGGCAGTGTTGGAGATGCAGTCTCCATGCAGCTGTTGGAAAGAAGTGACTTGGAGCAACGCTGACAAACTGCTTCTGAGTGACACAAGCTGCTCTCTCTTGCCAAGGCGAGGCAGCCTTCAGATTGCTGGGCCTGCTTCTACTCAGGATGCCCTTTTATTGCCCGATAAGCATTTGCACTGCCTCATTCCTTTCATTCTAACGCCAGCTTACCTGTTTGTCGTGAATGAGCTCTTGACAATTCCATCCATCAAGAGGTCCCAGGCAAAGCACATTGAGAAACATTCCCCTTGACTGCTCTGGGGTAGTGAAACTCCCTTTCCGCAAGTACTCACCCAATGAAGCAATCAAAATACTTTTTTTTTTAAAAAAAGTGGATTGGTATTTAAGAGATGGGGTTAAGTATACAGACACTTTTCTATTAATACTGTTATAGATTGGGGGGGAACCCCCTAAGCCCTAGAAAATAATAAATGGTAGGATTTTGATTACAATGGTACCTCTGGTTAAGAACTTAATTTGTTCTGGAGGTCCGTTCTTAACCTGAAACTGTTCTTAACCTGAGGTACCACTTTAGCTAATGGGGCCTCCCATTGCCGCCACCGCACGATTTCTGTTCTCATCCTGAAGCAAAGTTCTTAACCCGAGGTACTATTTCTGTGTTAGTGGAGTCTGTAACCTGAAGAGTCTGTAACCTTGAAGCGTTTGTAACCCGAGGTACCACTGTACAAGAGAACTGTCCTCCCCCCCTTGTCCTGGGATTTGAACAGAGACCCGGGGTGTGTGTGGAAGGTTGCCCGGGTAACTGGGAGTGAGGTGACATGGAAAGAGAGTTTTGAGCAAGGGTTTATGGGTAGAAGAAAGGAAGAGAAAAAAGACTGGGATCCATCTTGGGCAGGCTGGCTGAGAGAGATGCCTTGGGCTGCACTGCTGTGGAGGACAAGCCCCTCTTGAAATGACCATGCTGTAGGATGTGGACTCCTTCCAGATGTTGCTGCACTACAACTTCCATCCATCCCAGCTACCATGACTGATGACCAAGGATGATGGGAGCTGTAGTTCAGCAATATCTGCAGGGCCAAAGGTTCCCCAAGCCTGATGTAAAGAGATTTAACACCCACCCACCATACAAAGTCCAGAATCTGAAACTACCGAAGTGAACCCACTGGCGCCTCTCGCAAATTAGGAAACAGACCCAGGACTTCAAATGCCCCACAAGAGACACAATCATGCATCCTTCGAGGCAGAGCAATTTTGCCATTATCTCAGCATTTGGGCACTGTGATGTGTGTGTACTCAGGGCAAAGCCCATGCCCAGTTTTAGGTCAGATGAAACAGTGTGACTTGGCTTGGGAAGGCAAGGATTTAACCAGACAAAAAGAAACCAGTCATGTCATTAAAAGCCTATTGAGAATGATGGATTAGTGGAAATCCTGTGTGATGAGCCGTTGCTTGAAATAAATAGCTCTGGTTCGGTTGCTTGCCTGTTGTGGATAAAATGAAAAGAGGCGAAATGAGAAAGACTGCAAAATGGAGGTGGTTAAAACGCCATCCTCCAGCAGAACTACATGCTTTGTGGAAGGTGATGCCCCTGTCATCCGAAGTTGAAGAAAAAGATGGCAGTGTAACATGGTGACATTGTGTTGGTGTTTCCCCACGTCTACAAGAAACACCCAACGAAGCAGAACAAGGTACAGTGGTGCCTCGCAAGACGAAATTAATTCGTTCCGCAAGTCTCTTCGTCTTGCGAGTTTTTCGTCTTGCGATGCACGGTTTCCCATAGGAATGCATTGAAAATCAATTAATGCGTTCCTAGGGAAACCGCCTTCAGATCAGGTCCGGGGACAGTCTGTCCCCGGACCTCTTCTGAAGGCTGGGGGGGGGGGCAAGGGCGTTTCTTGCCACCCCCAGCATTTTAAAACCCCGGACAGCGGAGGACTTCTCCGCTGTCCGGGCGATCTTAAAATGCTGGCGGGCGGCATTTTAAAATCACCCCGGGACAGCGGAGGACTTCTCCGCTGTCCGGGGCAATTTAAAAGCCCCTGGGAAGGCAGGCAGGGGGACAAAGACTTTGCCCTCGCCAGCCTTCAGAAGAGGTCCTGGACCTCTTCTGAAGGCGGGCGGGGGCGAAAGTCTTTGCTCCCCCGCCTTCAAAAGCCCTCCGGGACAGGCAGGCAGGGGGAGCAAAGACTTCGCCCCCGCCCGCCTTCAGAAGGTCTTCCTCCCCCGCCCGGCCTCGGAGCACCGCCCGGGCCGGGCGGCGGCGGGAGGTCTTCCCTCCCACCGCCCGGCTCGGAGCACCGCTCCGGGCCGGGCAGAGGCGGGAGGTCTTCCCTCCCCCGCCCGGCTTCGGAGCACCGCCCGGCCGGGCGGCGGCGGCAGGTGTTCCCTCCCCGCCCGGCTTCGGAGCACCGCTCCGAGCCGGGCGGCGGGGAGGTCTTCCTCCCCACCGCCCGGCTCGGAGCACCGCCCGAGCCGGGCGGCGGGGAGGTCTTCCTCCCCACCGCCCGGCTCGGAGCACCGCTCCGAGCCGGGCGGCGGGGAGGTCTTCCTCCCCCGCCCGGCCTCGGAGCACCGCCCGGGCCGGGCGGCGGGGGAGGTCTTCCCTCCCCACCGCCCGGCTCGGAGCACCGCCCGGGCCGGGCGGCGGGGGAGGTCTTCCTCCCCACCTCCCGGCTTCGGAGCACCGCTCCGAGCCGGGCGGCGGGGAGGTCTTCCTCCCCCCGCCCGGCTTCGGAGCACCGCTCCGGCCGGGCGGCGGCGGCAGGTGTTCCCTCCCCCGCCCGGCTCGGAGCACCGCCCGGCCGGGCGGCGGCGGCAGGTGTTCCCTCCCCGCCCGGCTCGGAGCACCGCTCCGGGCCGGGCGGCGGCGGCAGGTGTTCCCTCCCCCGCCCGGCTCGGAGCACCGCTCCGGCCGGGCGGCGGCGGCAGGTGTTCCCTCCCCCCGCCCGGCCTCGGAGCACCGCTCCGGGCCGGGCGGCGGCGGCAGGTGTTCCCTCCCCGCCCGGCTCGGAGCACCGCCCGGGCCGGGCGGCGGCGGCAGGTGTCCCTCCCCCGCCCGGCTCGGAGGAGCCTTCCGAGCCCGGCGGCGGCGGGAGGAGGTGTCCCCGCCCGCCGCCAGGCTTCTGAGGAGGTCCGAGGACAGTGGGGAAGACGCGCTGCGCTTCCACGCTGTCCCTGAGATTTCCCTATGGGCTGTCGTCTTGCGAAGCAAGCCCATCGGGAAAATCGCTTATGAAGCGCCTCCAAAACGGAAAACCCTTTCGTCTAGCGGGTTTTCCGTCTTGCGAGGCGTTCGTCTTGCGGGGTACCACTGTACAGGAAAATGCTAATATAATGTCTTCACATCACGTGTTTGCTCCCAACTACGCATTACGAGGGAGATGCGGGGAAAGTTGCAACCAGATGTCTGCCTGTCACTTGCAGTATAGACCTCAGAAAAACACTATCCTCTGCCCATAATTCTTATATCCAAGTATAGTAAAGGTAAAGGGACCCCTGACCATTAGGTCAAGTCGTGGCCGACTCTGGGGTTGCGACGTTCATCTCGCTTTATTGGCCGAGGGAGCCGGCGTACAGCTTCCAGGTCATGTAGCCAGCATGACTAAGCCGCTTCTGGCGAACCAGAGCAGCGCACGGAAACGCCATTTACCTTCCCGCCGGAGCGGTACCTATTTATCTACTTGCACTTTGATGTGCTTTCGAACTGCTAGGTTGGCAGGAGCAGGGACCGAGCAACGGGAGCTCATCCCGTCATGGGGATTCGAACCGCCGACCTTCTGATCGGCAAGTCCTAGGCTCTGTGGTTTAACCCACAGCGCCACCTGCGTCCCCTATCCAAGTATAATTCTCAAATATTACACAACTCTGAGGGTTGAAAGACAGATGAGGTCTCCACCAACCTGGAAAGAGCACAGCCATCTCGCCCAGCTGTAACTCATGGATGTAAGAGCCCTGTTGGATCAAAGGTCCATGTAAACCAGCATCCTGTTTCTGAATGGCCTCAGGAAGCCCACTAAACAGGCCATGAAAGACAGAAGCTCACCCACATCCCTTGGCCTCTAGCCAACTGGACACTTGGAAATTCCATCAGCTCTCACGTTCTTAATAGCCAGTGGTAGACCTCTCTTTTAAAAAATAGATAACAACTATCAAAAAGCATTGTGCTGCGAATACATATACTTGTTTTAGCAAATGGTGATGAACTTAAAACTACCTTAGCTTTTTTATAATATTCCCAGGAGAGGGTATCCTACGTGCTGCATTTTGTACTTTTATTATTCCAGCACAGGATATATAATCTCCATCTCGCAATGAATCGATTACCTCGTAACCTTCCTCCTCTCACTCTGACAATATTATTGGTTATTTATTTCTTTCATTAAAAAGTTATAGTTCACTAGATTGTATTTTTTAAAAAACAACAACAACCCAACAACCTCAAAGCTGTTGACAAAAAGGTAAGTTTACAGCCTGTATCCCATATTTTCAAGAACCAGTGAATCCAAAGGAGGAGGAGTGTTGACCTTTTTCCATTTAAAACGTAAGGCTAAACATGCAGCTGTCGATACATGAATCCTTGTCTCAGTATACTGATACTATATTATAGCATGGCACAGCGGTTACTATAATACAGCAACTTTACTTCAGCATCCAATAGTAGTGTATGACGTCTTATATTTTCAGTTTCGTTTACGACAGAAATCTAATGCATTATTTTACATTCTCACATCTGACGAAGTGGGCTCCAGTTCAGGAAAGCTTATGCCATAATACATTTGTTCGTCTTCTTAAAAAGTGCCACAAGACTCTCTGTTGTTTTTATTTTAAGGCATGACCAAAAGTTGTGCAACACATCTGCCCTAGGAAAGATTACAGCTCCAACAAGCCCTGAATACATTTTATTAAGCAGAAGTGGGGCTAGATACCATCGGAACAAGATTTTGCAAAAAAACAACAACCACTCTTTCCTGAAGTTCATACCAAGAACCTGGTACGGTTCCATGCTTCCAAACCCAACACCACGTATCAAATGACAACTACTTAATTAAACTGCATTCTCACTTCTGTTGAATTCTAGATGTAACCCACTCACCAGCTAAGTTATATAATTTATTTAAAATCCTCTTAGGTTGCAAGTTAAAGGTAAAGGGACCCCTGACCATTAGGTCCAGTTGTGACCGACCCTGGGGTCGTGGCGTTCATCTCGCTTTACTGGCCAAGGGAGCCGGCGTACAGCTTCCGTGTCATGTGGCCAGCATAACTAAGCCGCTTCTGGCGAACCAGAGCAGCGCACGGAAACGCTGTTTACCTTCCCGCTGGAGCGGTACCTATTTATCTACTTGCACTTTGACGTGCTTTCGAACTGCTAGATTGGCAGGAGCAGGGACCTAGCAACGGGAGCTCACCCCGTCATGGGGATTCAAACCGCCGACCTTCTGATCGGCAAGTCCTAGGCTCTGTGGTTTAACCCACAGCGCCACCCGCGTCCCTAATAGCTTACAAGTTAGGTGTCACTAATTCAAAGTTTGTACTGAATCTGAGTGCACGGTATTCTGTCAGTAACCTGCTAACCATGCCTGCCTTTCCTCAGAGCAGATGACTTGGACTTCACTGACTGGCATGCCCTTGGAGGCTTTCCTTCTCCCAGGGCCCTTGCAAATAACAGGCCACAGCAGCCCATTGTCTACCAACCTGGGTCAACTTTGCCACAGCCCACATCCCCATCTGCTACAGGGCTTCAAGAGACAATGCAACATCGTTTTAAAAATCAAAATAGTTTATTGCTCTTCTTTTGTAAAAATGCACTTTACTTACACTGTGTCCTTTGCTTAAATCAGCAGTTTGTACCATTGGGTATAAAAAATGTCACGTTTTAAACCCTTTCTTTGTTCAAGTGTGAAACACCTTTTAAAAACTCTGATCCATTCCTGACATTCTCCTAAGCACTGACAGGCCCATGGGCCCATGCTTAGCTTTTTATATAAATACTGTAAAATTTCTCTAGGCTTTGCAGCATTATAAACAAAAGATCTATCAAAGTAGACAATATGTTCAGTATTCTTTTTTTTCCTTCCTTTTTTTTTGCTTTAAAAAATATACCTAAAACTTTTGAGATAATCTTAAAAGAGTAACAATTACAAGAAGAAGAAGAGAGAAAATTACAGTGCGTTGACTAAAGGAATATTCCAACGTCCTTCGAGCCAATATTCCCTTTTTTTTTGCATGTTGAAAGTGATTTAGCGTTACTTAGGAACGTTTTTTTTCTTCACCTACATACAATAATTTAGTTGAGAATTAAACAAGGCAGATATTACTATTCTTCCACCTGCACTTCACAGCTCCCGTGAATAATAATAATAAAAAAGATCACAATAAATATTAAAATAGGTTCTTTCTTTCTTTCTTTCCTCCGTAAGGCATCTTGAATATTACAAAGTTTTTAAGATGAGCCAAAAAGAAAAAGGTTGCTTTTTTTTTTTCATTACTGTATTCTCCAGGTACCTTCTGTGGCAAGAGCAAATGGCCAGCCTTCAGAGTTCAATAGAGTTAAGTAGTGCATAAAAGCAGGAGCAGGGAGTGAGAAAATGATGGCCGGTGGAAGCAGACTGATTTAAGTGTGCGCAGACCTGCAGTTTTCCTCTTTAAGTCGCTTACAGTCCACCTCTGCAACAATTATTTGTCTTCATTAAAAAAGAGAGAGAGAGCTTACGAAAGTTTGTTTGTCATGAATGTCTTTTCTTTTTTCCTTTTCCTTTTCTTTTGCAAAGCTTGCCTGTAACACTATAAATAGCTTAGGTATTGATATGCATTCTTCCTAAAAAGTCTTTTAAGAAACTCCCGGTTTATTTATTTATTTTTGAACTGCTTTCCTCTTTCGTCTCACGGATTCCGACCCCAATCCCCACCCACTAAAGAAAAAAAAATATTTCCATTCCATCATGGGAAGAAAGAAATAGTCCTTCTCCAAAAGGGTGGAGGTGATGCTGCCGTCATCATCTACTGCATACGGTCGGGTTGCAGCTGTGTGGCTGGATACTGCATGAAGGCGGTGGAAGCGGCTACTGCAGGATTGGAGGCGGTGAGAGGTGGTTGGACAGCTCCCGTGTAGCCATATCCCATGTAGCCAGCAGCGGGAGAGGCAGCGTATGGATACTGGTCGTAGGCAGCGGTGGTGGTGAATTGCGAGTAGGCCTGGGTCGCCGTCGCGTAGTCTATGTAGGGAGATGTCATCGACTGTACGGGGGTCGGGATGACCACGCTGGGCTGGACGATGGCTTGAGGGTAAATGAAGTGGTGGGCGAGCCTGTGAGGTTAAAGACAGACAGAAGACACAGTCAAGATTCTTCACACAGGAGAGCCGCGAATAGTTGGGAGCAGGAGAGCCAAACCATCACTGGGCTATGAAAACCAGAAAGCAGGTAGAGAGAAGGACCAGTGAAATAAAAAGCAAAGCAAAAAAATAAAAATAAAAATGGGAAGGTTTAAACCAGCAGACAGACAACAGAGGCCCATGGCTTCCAACCAGCTTCTTCCAAGACAACGCCATACCATTCTGTCTCGTCTCCAAAACAGCCAGTCAACATTCAGTGCCCACTGAGCATGCTCAATCCTCATCAGGTTGTTTTGGGAGTAGAGTTTTGTTTTTCTAAAAGTGCATTTTGTGTGTTTGTGTTGCCTGCTGATCACCTCCTATCTTGATCTGTTTTGACCACATCAGGATCCACACTCCGAAAGTTAATGATTAGTCTGTACACACAATAGCATGCAATAATTCATCTACTCCAGCACTGCATTTCAACCACCAGCCAGCTAGATGGCTCCTGGATGTTCACAAAATGGTGATGAATAGCGACAGCCACCTCCAGTGGCACCTAGCACTTTTGACAGAGGTCACCTCAGCTGCAGAGGTTTATTCACTCTGTTGTGGGGAATGGGCTTAGGCTACCTTCGCACTTAACTCTCTCAGAACAGTTTACAGCCAGGAAAGAAGTACTCCTGCTCACTTGGTGCATTCTTACCTACTGAAGTGACAAATGAAAAGGCTGAAGTTTATTCCAGCAGCTAAGTACTTCCTCTTCCACGGAAGCAGACAAGAATAGCCTACTCACTACTAACATATCGGCCATATTGACTGCATTCTGCAGTTTGAGAGGACAGACGTGAACACTCCCCTCCCTCCAAAGCTGGGCTTCCAATTCAACCTCGAGTACCCAGATACTGTTGGCCTCCAACTCCCATCATCCACAGCCAGCTTAGCCAAAAGTCAAGGTTGAGGGGAGCTGTAACCCAACATCATCTGTGGAAGGAAGGAAAGCACTTATGTGGACTATGGAACATTCAACACCATCTCCCTTGGCTAAATTGAGAACCCAACACATTTCCTCCCCCCACTTCCTTAAGGTTCCTACTGCATTCCTAATTTCCATACCACATTTACCGTATTTTTCGCTCTATAACACGCACCTGACCATAACACGCATGTAGTTTTTAGAGGAGGAAAACAAGAAAAAAATATTCTAAACGAAACAGTGGATGTATGATTTTTGTGGTTCATGCTGTGGCCACAGACGTGATCTGACAGTGAGTTTGGGGTAGCCCAATGCAAAAATCCTGAGGATCCATGTGGATCCATGCTTTGTAACCACGTTTTTGCGCCACTGCAGCCCCATGAAACAGTGGGTGCGTGTGTGTTTTTTGGTGCAGGCTGTAGCCATGGATATGCTATGTGATCTGATGGTGAACTTGGGGTGACCCAGTGCAAAAATCTTGAGGATCCATGTGGATCCGTGCTTTGTAACCACGTTTTAAGTGGGGAGGGAAGGAAAATCATTCAAGGGACAAGGAGCATGTGTGGGGTGTGTGGAGAAGGATGCTGCTAATAATGCAGAAGAGGGGTTTAAGGGGAGAAGGAACACGCGTGGGGTGTGTGGAGAAGGATGAGGCTAATAATGCAGGCGAGGGGTCTAAGGGGAGAAGGAACACGCATGGGGTGTGTAGAGAAGGATGCTGCTAATGATGCAGGAGAGGGGTTTAAGGGGAGAAGGAGCTCGCGTAGGGTGTGTGGAAAAGGAGCTTTTCGGCGAGCTGAGCGGGGAGGGGGGAGGGAAAGAGTACTGTTGCTTTAAAGGAGCCAACCGGAGAGCAGCCACTTACAGCAGTGTAAGCAGCTCCTTTCCTCTCCCACTTTCCTCCTTCTCTCCCTCTTTGCTGCTTTACGCAGCTAATGGCGAATCCCCTGCAACCCAAGTCCTGCTCAGCGGATCAGCTGAGACGCTGGGAGAATCGTAATTTCCCCCTCTCCCTCATCCCGTGCCCTTCTGTCCCCAGCAGCCTTTTTAAAAACTTTTTTACTGGTTTTCACTGCGCTCGTGGCTCAGAGCCCTCCTGTGCCCTGCCGTCCCTCTGCAGCCTCATTGCTCCGTTTAGAGAGCGCACGGACCTTTGCTAGCTGAGGCTGCAGCAGCTGTTGCTGGCTATGCGGCGCTTTTTCCGGCTCGCTATGGCTCCCGTCTGTCCCTCCTTCCGTGTAAGCGGCTGCTGCCCGCTTTGCTGCCATGGCTCTCCTTCCCTCCCTCCTCCCCAGCTCCTCCCCCTCCTCCTGGCTGTAAAGCAAGCAAAGCTAGAGCGGGACAGAAGCCCTGCAAGCGGCCCCCGCTTTGCTTGACTGACGGCAGCCATGAGTGCATTCGCTCCGTAACACACAGAGGCATTTTTCCTTACTTTCTAGGAGCAAAAAAGTGCGTGTTTTGGAGCGAAAATGATGGTAGTTGCTCCAGAGTCCTGTGTTTGTCACTCCTAATATGCACCATCTATTTTCTTTTCTTTTCTTTTCAGGTGTCCACAGTGTACAGTTTTTGGATAGGCAAGCTAAGATCTTATCCGCTTCTGTGGTCTGCAATTGCCATCTGCACACGTCACAACATCTAAGGAAAATCGTCTTTTGCAACGGCTGGTAAGTTGCCGAGCAAAACCAGCCTCCGAGCTGCAATAGACTGCCTTTTGGTCAATCTGCAAAACCAGGAGGGCTAACACAAGTCACTTCTCTGCCACCTACTTCTCATAGACCATCTTTGGGCATTCAATCCCCCTCCCCATGTTATTAGAATCACCTGAGGGCGAGTAGGGATGTCCTGGCCCTGCCTTCCTTCTGCCATGTGAAGGGATGAGTCGGACATGGAGATGGAGCCAGCCAGCAGGCGAGAAGCCAGCCAAACACTCCTGCTTGCACGATTCTAAAGATATCGGGAAATACCTAGATATTCTAGAAGCTGCCACTATGCTTGTCTATTGTCTCTTGGTTATCTAGAAGTCCAAGAGAAGCATGCAAAGCAGTTGCCAAGTGTTTATTTGCACTGTTTATTATTTATAAACCGTTACCATCTAATTACTTATTTCTTGTACTTATATCCCAACTTTCTTCCAAGAAGCTCAGGGTGGCAGGGATGGGTCTTCCCCTCTCTACAGTAACCTCTCAACAACCCTATGGGGTAGGTTAAGCTAAAACTTGAAGACTGGCCCAAGGACGCCCAGTGAAATTCATGGCAGAGAGGGGATATGAATTCTGGGAACACCCAGCATTCAAAATTTGCAAGGGTCCTGGCGCATTTTGCACCTGGATATCGGCCACTTGTGACCAAGTGAAGATGCCTGGGTGCTGGAATGCTGCCTAACGTCTCCACCAGGTGCATATACCTGAGGGATCTTTGGATCTTGACTGTTTTCACACACTAGCAACACATCCTGTAGAATTCTATCCGTTATAACAACAACAACAACAACAATCTTTATTACGGTCCAGAGACCCAACAAAACATTACAAATCAATACACAGTTCATACAGCCTACCTCCAGGTTAATCAATCATTTTGTTTAGAATATAGGGCTCATTTGTTCTTGCAACCACCGATAAAAACTTTGCCACTGCCAACGTTCTAGCTTTTGTCCGGTCTTCCAGTAGGAACCTGACATAGTGAGCCTCTGATTTTCCTGGGAAAGGCACCAGCAAGGGTAGTATCAGTTCAGCCCTGGCCTGCTCATACTTCGCACAATGCAACAAAATATGATTTATGGAATCGATGTCTTGAGCACATGAGCAAAGCCTGTCCTGGTAGGGAACTCCTCTCAACCTGCCATCCAGCACTGAGGAGGGGAAGACATTTAGTCTGGCTTTGGTGAAAAGCCTTCGATAGTTAGGTACTGTCAGGTTTTTGATGTAAGATGTTAATTCAAAGACATACCCATATTGAACTCCTGCTGCCAGCAGACTACAGACTGCGTGTGATCGAGATCGCAAGTCACTGTGTGCATTGTCCCATAATCTTTGCTTTAAAACCTTTTGGGCGCCTTCATAACCCAGGTAATACAGTTGGGGGGGAGACAGACCAATAGAGGTGGCTTTTTTAGCCATGGTTTTCTGCCATTTGCTCCCGTTATATTTTATCTGCACCATCAGAATGAGTATCTGGAACCAAAATGCTTTTTCTGTGCAGCCTGAGCAGGAGCAGTCACCATTAAGTTCTCAAAGTTCTTAACCTAGCTCAGGCATCCCCAAAATCGGCCCTCCAGATGTTTTGGGACTACAACTCCCACCATCCCTAGCTAACAGGACCAGTGGTCAGGGATGATGGGAATTGCAGTCCCAAAACATCTGGAGGGCTGAGTTTGGGCGTGCCTGACCTAGCTCAAAGGTGTCATCTGAACTAGCCAGATGTTTAACTTAGAATCAATCACTGTCAGTCCATCATTTGAAAAATAAGACTTTAGAGCCGTCTTGCCCCAAAATGGCAACTAGACATTCTGTTCTGGCGACTGCAACCTTGATTTTGGGAGCCATTTGGCACCTAGGTTCTGACACTTGAAGTATCAACATAAGATTTACCAGTGGGATTCCAAGTGTGAGCCACAGTCGCCCACATCTGTGGGAAGGTACTCACTGTCTATGCCTAGGGTTCCCAACGTGGGGCACATGCCCCACAGGGGGGCAATTTGTTTTTTAAGGGGGGCAATCCAAGAATGAGTTATTAACAGTGAATGGCCTTTTAGGCTTCCTCCATGTGAATAGGAGTTCACCTTTTGAATAATAAGAATTATATGTCACGGGGGGTGGGCATCAGGATTTTAGAGATGCTTAGGTGGGGCCAAAAAATGTTGGGAACCAACTGGTCTATGCCAAGTGCCATTTTTTTTCCTTAATAATTCTACTGAATATCAGCTCTTTTAAAATCAAGCACAGTGCGGATGGGTGTCATAAAAATGTCTGGAGTTGTGGTTAAAAGACCAAGCATAGGAACAAGAAGCTTCTTTTATTTACAGTCCACTTTTTTACCACATATATTTTGTGATACATTTCATTACACTGTATATCATAAAAAGCTTAGCAACAAGGCATTTCTGTTCTGCCACTCTTTCCCAGCTAGATAAATGGGCCTTTGCCATAAGTGCCTGCTCTATATGGTGTCATCCAGGGCATTCAATTCCGGCACCTTTCAGGTTGGCACCACTGCCAGTATAAGAGAATGAGGGAGGTGTTCATGGCAAGTTCTGGCACCTCTTTTTCTAGAAAAATCGCACTGATTTCATTTATGTTCCGTGTGTGTGTGTGTGTGTGTGTGTGTGTGTGTGTGTTTAACAGCTTTTAATTGACTGTACTGCACTCTTGGGTTTGTACTGCAAGAAGATCAAATGCATCCATTCTTAAGGAAATTAGCCCTGAGTGCTCACTGGAAGGAAAGATCGTGAAGCTTAGGCTCCAATACTTTGGCCACCTCATGAGAAGAGAAGACTCCCTGGAAAAGACCCTGATGTTGGGAAAGATGGAGGGCACAAGGAGAAGGGGACGACAGAGGACGAGATGGTTGGACCGTGTTCTCGAAGCTACTAACATGAGTCTGACCAAACTGCGGGAGGCAGTGGAAGACTGGCGTGCTCTGGTCCATGGGGTCACGAAGAGTCGGACACGACTAAACAACAACACTGCACATCACCTTCAAACGTAGTCAATAATCAATCAATCAATCAATAATCCTTTCAGCACTCCCACTCAGACTGCAGAGCATGTCTAGCTTTTGCTTAGTCAAGGCTTTTCACAAGAAGCCAGTGATTTGCTGAAGTTGGGCTTAATGATATACAATATCTTTATTTAATAAAATTTGTTTAAAGAACTCAACGCTGTAGCTTCTGGTCAAGATTTCCACAAAACAAGGGCTATTGTCAAAACAGAGTCCTCTGTCCACCTCAGCCATGCCTGTGAGGCAATTTCATTAAGGCTCTCCTCATCACTGCATCTCCAAGGTACCGGCCGGTTGCTTCTAGCTATAATTAGAGTAAAGGCCTTTTCAGGTTTTGTTTAACATTCCAGCCTGTTGTCACTGACTCCATGTTTAAACCTGTATTGCCACAATAGTGAAGGCTCCTCTCTTTTTCTGGCAGCGATTATGAGGCGTTTGTTGTAAAAACACAAGGCGCTTGCACTCTTTACTCTTTCCCCCTTCCTCTCCCACACCCTATTCAGATTTCCTTGAAGTTGCCATGCAAACAAACTCCCCCATTTCCTTAACAGGCTGAGACTTGTGCTGGTTTCGGCAGAAAATAAACTTATCTGGGACCCTGGATGAAAGAAAGAAAATATCTGCTGACACGAGTTAACTGCTTTGCGCTCCCATTTGTACTCCTCCTTCAAGGAAGGAAACTTTTTCCTGAAAATTTCTTTAGAGAAAGAAGAAGAAGATTGCCACTAAAAACGTTTTGCTGGAGTTGGAAACGTGCTCTGTTTGATGAACGTCCTGGGGAGAAGCTCCCCCTCCTCAAATCAAGTAAATCAATAAAAAATACTTAAATCCGACGTAAATCCTGGCTACACCCATGGCTTATGGTCTTATTTTTGATGGCCTAAGCCTTCCACAATGACTTAGTCAGGGTTGAACATTTGGTTCAATTCATTGGTTAGTCTAATCTACTAAAAGAGTTTCCAGTCCATTAAAAAAAGGTGTCCCTGATTAAACTGGGCCGCAGAAGTTATGTACAGTGGGTTAAGTACTTAATTCGTTCCGGAGGTCCGTACTTAACCTGAAACTGTTCTTAACCTGAAGCACCACTTTAGCTAATGGGGCCTCCTGCTGCCGCTGTGCCGCCGGAGCACAATTTCTCTTCTCATCCTGAAGCAAAGTTCTTAACCTGAGGTATTATTTCTGGGTTAGCGGAGTCTGTAACCTGAAGCGTATGTAACTTGAAGCGTATGTAACCTGAGGTAACACTGTATTAATGTAATTTCTATGCTGCTCTGCTACCGAAGTTCCCTGCACAGCATGATAATCATCATCAATACACAATCCGAACCATAAGGAGGTATTATGTACACTACAAAATGCACCACAACGTACATTAATCAATAAAATTAAAAACAGGCCTTTAAAACCTTTAGAAAGCCAAAGCTTCAAAATATGTTAAAGTCTTTGCCCAACCCTATCTAAATTAGCAGCAGGTGAGCTTCTCTGGAAAGCAGCGTTCGAAATTAGCCATGCACCAGGCGCATTTTGCAGCTGGCTACCGGCCACTTGCGACCAACTGAAGATGCGCAGGCGCCAGGATAGCACCTGATTGGGAGGTGCATGCCTGGGGATCCTTGGATCTGGACTGTTTTCACACACTAGCAGCACATCCCTTAGGCACCCACAGGATCTGCCTTGGCAGTGACACTGGGATGAGGACTACCAATGATGACCTCAGATTCGGAAAGAAATATGAGTGATTTATTTTTTTAATGGTTCTTAGAAAAGCCATGGGTAGCTGACCCCACCATGGAAGAAACATTTCCCCTTTTCTCTCAGACAGGGAAATGCCTCTTCCTAGATGGGACCTGTTGCAACAGATGCAGTATCTAAAAACATAAAAAACCAAAGAAAGCAGGCTTATTTCTTTGAAAGTAGTGTTGCTACTGTATACATATTAAAAACACATATGGATTAACCAGCGAACACTTTCTTAAACTGGGTAACTGTTCTTCCACCAAGACATACTGTGCTCCACAAGCTGTATCTTTCCCGATACTTACCATTACGTTATTTAGACTATTGTATTTTAATATTCTGTTGGAAGCCACTCAGAGTGGCTGGGGAAACCCAGCCAGATGGGCAGGGTATGAATAAATTATTATTATTATTATTATTATTATTATTATTATTAGGAACATGAGGCCACTTTAACCCATGTCCTGAGGTAGAATTTAATTATAGCCTGTCATCGTCTGACAGGCATTTAAATAATTTCCAGCACCAAAACAACCACATCCTTTTTCTTGCTAGGTATCCCAGTATATATTGTTCCACATAATTACATTTTTCTCAGGAAAAAAACTAGTACCGTTGCAAATTCAATTGAAGAAATCCCGTGTTGATGACATGAGCTTTTTTGGAGGGGGGGACTAGGTTTGGGGCTTCGGTTTTCCTACAGCCAGAATTTACCAAGAAACTGAGGCAATTGAAATGAAAGGGTCACCTTTCTCAACTTTATAGAGTTTATACCCACCCACACATACACACACCCTTTGCAGACCATAATGCTTTGCATGCACAAACACAGCTTGTGCAAGCAACAGCACCTCATGCTGGGATGGCGAAGACAACTTTTTAAGCAACCAACCATACATACATACATACATACATACATACCCACCCCATCTTTTTCCCTGACAGGACTCAAGGCGGCATTTATATACAGGCAAACAGCCTGTTTACATGCATTCAATATCTGCATTGAGCTGAACCTGGAAGTGACCCAGAAACATCATAGAGACAGGGCGTTTGCTGGGTTTTTTCCAATGGGTTTCAATTATATGCAGTATCACAGACACGCACGGTGCCTCGGATTGCAACCCCCGTGAGAACGGGGTGGGGGGTTGCCTGTACAAAAATGAGAACCACTAAAAACATAGAAAAAGAAAACCCCAATACTTACTCAGGTAACCCATTTATACAAATATCTTACAACTCTCTTAAGAACGCCCCAATCTTAAAATGCAAAAATTGTTTTTAGGTGCTGTAGCTGCAGATGGAGGGGATGGGGGGGGGGAATATCTATCCCCTCTCTCTTTTTTTGTATGTAATTCTTACTAAATTTTCTGTTTTACAATTTAAAATACTCATTTTTACATCCTTAAGATATCAATGACTTCCCTTCTTCTCTTTCCATGGTTCATTTTACTTATCATAAATTCCTGCGTATTTTACATAAAATATACCATTCAATATTTCATTACTGAATCCATCAAAACTTATTTACACTGTTGAATGCTGCCAGCTTTTTCAGCTGTACACAATTATTTCCCATATATTCAATAAATGTTTTCCAATCTTCTCTGACAAGTCTCTTTAATAATAATAATAATAATAATAATAATAATCCAAATTATTATAATAAAACCATGCCATAAAGTATCCCTTCCTTCTTCTGGCAAGACTTGTTAGAAATTCACAATGTAAATTTTAAAAAAAGATTTGGTCCTAAGATTCGTTTACTGAAAACCTTGAAAGGACAAAAGGTAAAATAAAGATTTATGAAAAACAGCAGTAACAGCAACGGATATATTATTAAACACATTAATAGTAATAAAACATCAGGTAGGTTAAGTTTTGATTATCAGCTAAAGGAAGCACACACAAAGTACAATGGGATGAAGTTATCTCCTGGCTGTGTTTTTGCATATAAAAGTTTTTTTTTTCTAAAACTGAAAGCAGATTTTTAAAACTGTTGTATTTATTTAGAAGGGAGAAGAGAAAGAGGGATAAAGATTTAACAACTCAAGTCAAAAATATTTGCTGCTCCGTTTAAACTGTAAGGGAATCCAAAACAAGGCCCGAATAATTTTATCTTAATGCCAGAAGGAAACTTCATCGGAAACATGATTATAAAAATATCAATCAAGTGATCCTCAAGCTGTCATCACACATCAAATTCACCCTGTGAATGGCAACTCATGAGCTGCTTCATGGCATTACTGATTAATCACTGGCTGAAACCACAAACACTTGGGAAACACGGCAAAGAGAACTTGGTCAAACCTAAAATTAGAACCACTGACGTTTCTTGCAGAGAGTTGTGTCAGGTGTCGCTTGGTACCTTGGGCCCAAGACAGGCGGAGAAGGGATTGCGGTCAGGATCGAGGTGCTATCCTAGCTACGTGGCACGACGCCACAACCAACATTAACGAGAGACAAGGCAAAACACAGAAAAGGTTATATGCAGATCTACGGGAGGCAAAAGGACAGATAATATAAAAGCAAGCAGACTGCATCTCGTGTCAACTCGAGAGCGGTTAATGTTACAGCCACATCAACCCACGCCTAAAAATGACCCCGCTGAATGAGGCCAGAATACAACTGCGTACTCTCTTTTTAAGACCCTAGGCTCTTCCAACTAAAGATGGCTATTTAAAAAGTCCTTTGGCTGGCAATTTCCTAGATTTTCAAAGCATTTTGTTTCGTTACTGCTAACCCTAGGTATTGTTTACTGTTGTGACTATTATGCTAATATAGTATTTTTACTACTTTTTTTTACTTTCCCCTGATTTGTCAGCTGCCATGGATTCCTTTTTTGGGGAGAAGGAAGGACATAAACTTTTCAAAATAAATAAATAAATAAATAAATAAATAAGCATGAATAGATACAGGCTGGCTCCAGCATGCCTCCTAAATGGACCAGAAGGTGCCTGTTTAAATTCCTAACAGCTTCAAGTAGGCCTGAGGGGGGGACTCCCTGCCTGAAATCTTGGACAGACTATTTAGGTGAACACCACGTGACAGTTAACGTGGTAAGAATTTACTTCTACAACACCTGTTTATTGGAGACTATTGCAATAGGACAGAGCTCAACTTAACGAAGTTCTAGCCTAACTGCCGCTTAAGGTCTGCTGCCACGAGGGTTTTATAGGCACAGCGCACAAAGAGCCATAAAACATCTGAACATTCTTAAAGCATAAACATCCTTCTACGTACATTAAGAAAGGTTACAGGTTATGAGAAGCAAAACATTCATTGGCTCCATACAGGCGACTTCAACCCCACAACTACCTTGGGGTGGCCCTAACTGCTCAGGCCATTTGGGTCTCAAATGTCCTACTTCGTCACTGTTTCCTTAGCGATCAGCCCATCGACAGGGTTGTTGACACTGCTGTCCCTATCTGTTCCTTGGAACCTATCAAGGAGACGCTGGATTTCGCCCTGGTGCTAACTCAAAGCAGACAACGCAAAACATCCCAGGTGACAATTTGTGCCACTTTCCGGGTCAGAAAGGGGAGGAATGCAAGGCAGGAGTCATCAAATGCAGGCACACAAATTCAAGTCTAATACAATTAATATTGGAACATTTAAAAAATTATATATTCAGTGGTACCTTGGTTGTTGAACGTAATCTGTTATGGAAGACTGTTTGACTTCCAAAACGTTCGACAACCGAGGTGCAAAGGGCGGTCTGCAAAATCAATGAGGAAAATTGAAAAAAACACAGTGAAAACTGTTCGACTTCTGAGATGCATTCGAAAATGGAAGCATTTACTTCCAGGTTTTCGGCGTTTGGGTTCCGAAACATTCAGCTTCCGAGACGCTCAAAAACCGAGATACCAGTGTGTGTGTGTGATACACACACCCACACCCTGGGTGTCTCTTTCATCGGTTATGACATCTGCATGTACTTACAGTCAATCCCACCTCAAGCAACGAGGTATTCAAAGTATGTCCACAAACAACATTATCTAGGTGTACTTTACACAGGTGAACATGGAACTTCCAAGTACACAAGAATGCTCCCCAAAGACAGAGGTAAAACTGAACATAAACATGACACAAATATTTATATATATTTCTCCCTGCTATGAACCACAAAGAATCAATACCACTTGCACTTATCCTCAGTGGGCATGCATGGAGAAGGCAAGATGGCCGTTCTGTATCACAGGAAGCTCTGTGTGTATACAGGATAACATAACTTTGAAAAGACGACTAAAGGTGGCCTGTTTGGTACAAACACTCTTTATTCTGTTCACCCAATCTTGTGTGTTCCAGTGACCCAAGCTGGCTAGTACGGACCATCAAACCAGCAAGTCCGAATGGACACTTCCCACTGTGCAAGGAAACTCAAAGCTTGTGTGTCAAATGCAACCCCTGTAGACTTCTCCATCAGGCCATTGGGCCTCTAGGCTCCAAGGTCTCATTTGGCGGTTGGAGGATGGATGGTGGCTAACAGATTGAGGTTGAATTGTGACAATACAGAAGTACTGTTTCTAGGGGACAGGGGGCGGGAGGTGGGCAGGTGTGGAAGACTCCCTGCCCCTGAAGGACCAGGTGTGCAGCCTGGGAGCCACTTTGGACTCACAGCTGTCCATGGAGGCACAGGTCAATTCTGTGTCCAGGGCAGCTGTTTACCAGCTCCATCTGGTACGCAGGCTGAGACCCTCCCTGCCAACAGACTGTCTCTCCAGAGTGGTGCATGCTCTAGTTATCGCCCACTTGGACTACTGCAATGCACTCTACGTGGGGCTACCTTTCAATGTGACATGGAAACTACAACCTATCCAGAATGCGGCAGCTAGACTGGTGACTGGGAGCGGCCGCTGAGACCACATAACACTGGTCCCGAAAGGCCTACATTGGCTCCCAGTATGTTTCCGGGCACAATTCAAAGTGTTGGTGCTGACCTTTAAAGCCCTAAACGGCCTCGGCTCAGTATACCTGAAGGAGCGTGTCCACCCCCATCATACTGCCTGAACACTGAGGTCCAGTGCCGAGGGCCTTCTGGTGGTTCCCTCACTGTGAGAAGTGAAGTTACAGGGAACCAGGCAGAAGGCCTTCTTGGTAGTGGCGCCCGCCCTGTGGAAAGCCCTCCCATCAGATGTCAAAGAAATAAACAACTCTATGGCTTTTAGAAGACATCTGAAGGCAGCCCTGTTCAGGGAAGCTTTTAATATTTGATGAATCGTTGTATTTTAATATTGTGCTGGAAGCCGCCCTGAGTGGCTGGGGAAACCCAGCCAGGTGGGTGGGGTATAATAATAATAATAATAATAATAATAATAATAATAATAATATAATCCTCACCAGCCCCACTTTGCACCCTCTCTAGAAATGTATATACCACTTTCTCAAATTAAACACCTGCAAGCAGTTTACAGCAAAGGTAGTAGAATAGGCTGCGGTGTGTGCTTGGTTGTGGAATTTGTGTGTGGTGCCCACAACAGTTTACCCGGTTTGCTTGGGGGGGGGGGGAGGCTGCCCTAAGCACTAGAACTCCCCCACCAGCTCCAACAGCAATATAGATTATTAGGGTACACGTAATACACGCAACTTTTATTTCTTCATTTTTTAACAATAGCTTGCTAACAACAGCAGGAAAGTGTAAAAGAGGTGGGAATGCAAAGTAGGAAGGCAATCAACCCCCTATCTTAGCTGGAAGAAGAAGAACAAAGAGAGACCTTTTGCAACTCAAGCTAAGCAGATCCAGAGCCTTGTTGCTAGATCTGATCTGGCCACTGCCACAACCAGCAACCCCACAAAGCTGGAAGAAACAAAAATATTTATGGGCAAGCGCACAAAAACAGGTTGTCAGGCAAAAGAGCTGAAGATACAATCTCCCTGTATGGTGGGTGGGTGGGGGAGGGAATTTACATGAGGACAACAGAGAAATCTTTTCAGCCTCTGCATCTGCCAAGCTGTAGAAAGAAAGAAAATTACTCATAGTCTCTTTCACAGAAAACAAGTAAAAGGCATTAGATTAGAAGGAAAACCTGCTTTTGCTTCTACAGATTGGAAGAACTGGGCATGCTTAGTTATGAATCTGCTGACTAAGCCAATCCGTGCTCTGGTCCATGGGGTCACGAAGAGTCAGACACGACTAAACGACTAAACAAGAACAACAACAACAAAGCCAATCTGTCAAGTTCCAATGTCCCATGTCCGGGGTTCCAATGACGGAAAACTTTTTGTGTCCGGAATTTTACTTCTTGAAATATGGCAACCTTAATATAGCAGAGGGACGAGGATGGCGCTGTGGTCTAAACCACTGGGCTTGCCGATCGAAAGATCGGCGGTTCGAATCCTGCAACTGGACTTAACTGTCAGGGGTCCTTTTACCTTTACCTTTTTTAATACAGTGGTGCCTCGCAAGACGAAATTAATTCGTTCTGGAGTTTTTTCGTCTTGCGAATTTTTCGTCTTGCGAAGTACGGTTACCCTGGGTATTAACGGTTTTAAGAAAAAGGAAACAAACTTGCAAGACGTTTTCGTCTTGTGAAGCAAGCCCATAGGGAAATTCGTCTTGCGAAGCAACTCAAAAAACAAAAAACTCTTTCGTCTTGCGAGTTTTTCGTCTTGCGAGGCATTCGTCTTGCGAGGTACCACTGTATAACAGAATTGAGTAAGTGGTCTTTAAACAAAGAAAGGGGTTTCAAACATAGCCCTGGAGTTTTCTACGAGATTATCAGAGTTCCTCTAGTGAAAAAAATCCAATTGCGGCAAAAGAAATCAATAACGAAACCTGCCCTGAAAGATAGCTTGCCCACAACTGCTCTTCCATTGCAATCCAGAATTGCAAGAGTCTAAAGCGAGCTCTAGGAGACACCTGGAAGGTCCAAGGTAGATGGGACAGGTGTGGGGATTATCGAACTGGTGTTTCTGTCCAAGATCGTAATGTTCCTTTTACGCTGCATTACCTGTTGCATAATGGAACTCTGGCTTTTTGATCAACATACACCCATGTCATGCTAAATTCTAAACAGCAGGAAAGAACCATATGCCAGGATACGACCCCCCCCCCCAAAAAAAATTCATCACATTTAATTACACTGCAAAACTCCTCTGGTTTTCTGAGTTAACAAAGTTGCAAATGGTTGTCCCATTCCCCCCTTGGAAACACAGAAATTAGTGCTGAACTTCCACTAGAGTCCCCTGGTTTCCAGAAGCTACTCTAAACGCTATGTGAAAGATCACACAGGAAAAACCCTTAAAATATCAGGTGGAGAAAATGGAATAAGGTGCTGTCTGAATGCAGTCATTTTCACATACTTTGATGGGTTGTGTTTCACAAAAGGCAAGCAGGGTGGGGGGGGGAGGTCTGGGGCAGATTGGAGTTATGCTGCCAGGGGGCAGGGAGATGGGGCTGTTTCAGTTCTTTGCCATTGCAGCAGCTAAATCTGTTAACTATTGTTTTCCACAAAAACAACAGTAGTGCAGGGAGGGAGGAAAGAGAAATGAAGATTTAGGTTTTCTTTCACTTTTCATATCAGCAGGGCTGAACTAAATAACTCTGATCACAAGGGTTACCACCAGCACAGTGCAACTTCCTACCTCTCCTACCATCCCCAAATCTGCCCCAGAGGGTTGAGGGAACCCCCAGAACAGATTTGGGGGTACATGGGAGAAAAGTTCCATTGCCCAAGGAGAAATCCTTACAACATACAGCATCTCTGCAAGTTTATAAAGCTACTCCTTTTGTCATTTTAAGACAAGGGGGAAACAGCAACACCAACTTGAAACCCAGACGAATCCTCTAAGCAGGGAATGGAGGAGACAACTCCACACTGCTAGAGAGGGACTATTGCTCATCCATATGGTAATGCTTTACTTGTGTTAACTTCCAATGTCAGATCACCAGCTAAATGGGCCTTTAGAAACAGGACTGGGGAAGGCCTCTGCCCAAGACCCTAAAGAACTTCTTCCTAGAGAGAACAGGTCTAAACAGAAGCAGCTCACCAGGTAGTATGGAGCTGCTACACTAATTTCCCAGGAGGCGAGTCCCTTTTGCTTTCCAGGAGGAAGAGGCAGCCGAGAGGTCAGCCCAGTGCAAACTCACCAGCAGAGCCAATGCAGGACTCCTGCTAGTGCATTAGCACTGCGTCAACCTCCCCTGTTCTTCTTCCTCCTAATAAGCAACAGCAACCCACCTGCTGCAGAGTTTGTGTAGTGGCTCTTTCCTGCCCAGTCAGCTGCTTCTGGGTCTAAATGGGCCACCAGTTCCAATTCAATAGGATACAGTTTCATGTGTTTCTTTCCAAACTACTGTAACACTTAAGTACAAACCAGGAACCCCTGCTCATCTGCAAAGCAGGGCAGAGGATAGTCACCTCATATGAAACAAGTGTCCACCCTACGTACAACACAACCGACATTCTTCTGCAGCAACGAGCTGGAGGGGATGACCGAAAGTACTGGGCAAGGTAATCCATCAGAACCTTGCAATTCCCCAGGACACAGATTGCTCTAGTCCTTAAATCCAATATCTGCTAAATATATATAAAATTGAGGATAGACATACATCCTGTCCTATCAAGTCCTGACCTCCTCTTAAAAGTTATGTGAAACAGCTTGAAGCTCACGCTGTTCAGATTGTCAATGACAGAGTTTCTTCCTAGCTAGGAACCTGGCAGCTGCTTTCCCCTTCTTTTCTATCAAAGGAACAGGAGCTACATTGCAGCTTGCAAATTACTGCAAATGCATCCATGGAAACAAGAACGCTGTACAGGAACATTTACGCTACAGTATAGGTTCCAATTTGAGTCCTTACTTTACATAGTGCTCAGGATAATGAAGCGGCCGGCCTTAAATCGCCTGAAACTCATTTTCATAGGATTCTGTAGCTATTAATGGCCCGTGGTTCATCCTCACCACTGCAAGCATCCTTCAGAAGGATATTCCGCAGTGAAGAAAAACTGCTGTGATGGAACAAACGATATCCCTTTTAAGTTATCCTGGTCTTCTTCCTCTGACCTCCATGTATGCATCAGGTTCCTTCCATCTTATGCTGAGCTAAGCCAACAGATAGTCACCTAATGACTTTTTTTTCCCCCTTTGCTTTACGGAGAAGCAGCTTAAATTACCAGTAAGTTAGTCCCTTTCACCTTACTTGCAGCTCTTTCCTGCAATGTCCTGAATATTGCAGCTGAACTCTGAATTTGGCCCAGAAACTAAATGCCTGTATGACTGAAAGAAAGAAAAAACCCAGAATGCAGCAGCAAGACTTAATTCAGGTTTGCTTTCTTCAACCAGCTCCCTGCCCTCTCCACCATGTGAACATTGTCATACAAGGAGGATTCCTCACCAAGACTGAATTGTACCAGCTCCAATGGCCAAGGCTGGTGCTGATCAAGCAAAATGCTAAAAAACCCAAGCGTTAACACGTCAGGGAGCCACAAAAGTTAGAAACCGAGTTCTGTTTGTTTGATTTAAGCTAGGAATCGAAGGAAGATGAACTGTGCTTAGATTTCCTCCCACTGGTTAAGGCACAGAAATGTCAAGGACAAGGTATACCATCTTGGCTGTGAGTCCGTGAAGACCTGTTCCCTGTCTTATAGGCATTTTTCATAGAATCAGAGAGTTGGAAGGGAGCCAAGGGTCATCTAGTCTGACCCCCTGCAATGCAGGAATCTCAGCTAAAGCATCCATGACAGATGGCCATCCAAACTCTGCTTAAAAACCTCCAGGGAAGGAGAGTCCACCTTCTAAGGGAGTCTGTTCCACTGTCAAACAGTTATTACCATCAGAAAGCTTTCCCGCATGTTTAGTTGGAATCTCCTTTCTTGTAACTTGAAGCCATTGGTTCGAGTCCTACCCTTCTAGCTATTCTGGGAGAACAGGGCCCTGATTGACTCCAGCTACAAAAGCTGAGGCTGCTGAAAAGACTCTTGGCCTGGGGTATTGTTTTGGGGAGGTTTTTTGAGGGGTTGTTGCCGTTATTGATATTAATTTTTGCATCTTTATTTAAGATCTTAATGTGATTTATGGTTCACTTATTGTTCATGACAACTTTCTCTACGTTTGCAATTGTTCACTGTATTTCTTTACGCCTAAACGAGCCTGCCTAAACAAGCCTGCAGCATCCTTGTAATCCTCTCAACAGCCCTATGGCTAAGGCTGCAAGAGAGTGAAACGCTCTTGGTGAGGTTGCCTGGTAGCCTTCTGCAACCTGGTGCCCTCCAGATGTTTTGGATTATGAGCCCACCAACCCAGATTGGAATGGCTCCCTGAAACACTGGGAAGGCACCAGATCAGAGGAGGATTTTTTGTAGCCAGACTCTCTCTATAGAACATGTTGTCTCCAGTTGGGAATTTAAACTCTGGTTTCTCAATCTGAGCTCAAAAGTCCTACCTACAACAGCACTCTAACTCCCAGCCAAACGTCTCCATATGCAGGAATCTTGAGGGGAGATGTATCCGTGTTACATTTGGTACTAATATATAGAGACTCAGAAAGTACAAGCTGAACCCATACCACGCTGGTTGCGAAGAGCCAATACGTGCCTAAATCTGTACTTTCCACCACAAAAAAAGCTATAGAAAGGAATCTGTTCCCGCTCCATGAAGTTCCTCCTTCCAGGAGAAGCTTTGCTCAGAGTACGGGGGAAGAGAAATCAGGACACTGTTACAGGCCTTATGGTGTGATGGGTAGCCAAGTGATCCTCTACAGAGGGGTCGTAACTCAACTGACTGGTCCAGATGTTTACTACAGATCCTGATGTGGCAAGGGAGGGGAATACCCAAGGATCCTAAATCACACCTGACTTGCAGCATGCACATGTGGACAGCTGTATTATATGCGTATCATATGATTCTTCCCCCTCAAAGGGGTGGGGCAGGAAGAGACACATGGTTCAGTTCCCCACATATATGGGCACTTACCTGGGACGCAGGTGGCGCTGTGGGTTAAACCACAGAGACTAGGACTTGCTGATCAGAAGGTTGGTGGTTCGAATCCCTGTGGTTCGAATCCCTGTGACAGGGTGAGCTCCTATTGCTCAGTCCCTGCTCCTGCCAACCTAGCAATTCAAAAGCACGTCAAAGTGCAAGTAGATAAATAGGTACCACTCCGGCGGGAAGGTAAACGGCGTTTCCGTGCGCTGCTCTGGTTCGCCAGAAGCGGCTTAGTCATGCTGGCCACATGACCCGGAAGCTGTACGTCGGCTCCCTCGGCCAGTAAAGCGAGATGAGCATTGCAACCCCAGAGTCGGCCACAACTGGACCTAATGGTCAGGGGTCCCTTTACCTTTTACCTACAGTGTTAGAAATTAGCCAGGCACTGGCATGGGTCCAGTTGCAACTATGTGGAGATTTCTGGGTGCTAGGCTGGTGACTAACAGTTTAGAAACTTCTGCCTTAGTCCATAGTTAATACTATTTCCATTTCCACTGTGTGTGTTTCTCTTTGCATATTGGGACAAGTGAATTGTTGTAAGGACAAGCTACAGTCAAGCTATGTAGCTGAGATTGTAGAATCACAGAATCATAGCACTGTAAGGGACCTCGGGGGTTATCCAGTCCAACCCCCTGGTGAATAGACATTCCCTTGTGGCAACCGTAACCTAGGTTTAAGGTGCCATTTGGCGCCTAGCTTATATACAGTGGTACTTCGGGTTAAGAACTTAATTCGTTCTGGAGGTTTGTTCTTAACCTGAAACTGTTCTTAACCTGAAGCACCGCTTTACCTAATGGGGCCTCCTGCTGTCGCTGCACCGCTGGAGCACAATTTCTGTTCTCATCCTGAAGCAAAGTTCTTAACCCGAGGTTCTGGGTTAGCGGAGTCTGTAACCTGAAGCGTATGTAACCTGAAGCAACTGTAACCCGAGGTACCACTGTACCTAAGTCCATAACACTGTCTACATAAGACCCACCCACTCAAATAATATCAGGCAAGAATCTGAAACAGACCAGCATCTATCACATGTCCAGGAAGCACTCTGCAGGTACCCATTTAGGAACTCTCCCTGTTAGCATTAAACCACATCAACAACCAGACCTCTCAACAGCTTGAAATTACAGCATGAAAGGTTCTTTAAAAGATTCAGCAGCTCTGCGTGTCTCATTGTAAGACACTCTAGGAGAAAAGTCACTCTGTTGTTCCATTTGCTTTAACTTTCCAGACAACCCTTCCATCCTCAAGCTCTTCTCTACAATCCAGTAGACTGGAATACAAGCAGCTGCCTTAATACCAAGTCCAACTATTTGTCTACTATTTGTATTCCACTGCTATTCCAACTGGCAGTGACACTCTAGGGTTTCAGAGAGAGGGAGTCGGGCTACGTTGGATTCCTTTTAACTGGAGGTGGCAGAATTTGAATCTGGGACCTTCCTGCTTGCGAAGCAGGTGCCTTGCCACAGAGTTAGGCCCTTTCCCCAACTTTTTTTCCCCCAATCTCTTTTCCTGACTACAGGTAGAGAGCGAGAGAAACTTCACATCTGCTGCACTTCAAAGAGAGAACTTCTAGTTCTCATGAGACTGCAATAAAAATTTCAACACTGCTAACTGCAGGGTCTGTTGTCTGTGGTTACCGCAACAACATTTCCCTCAACCACCCCCCAGGAACGTCTCCCGAAGAATAAATGAATTGCCACGAGCATTTCTGCCAAGGAAGGAGAGAAATCCAGAGAGTTGCTCTGGTCAAAACCTTTCCCGTGAAGCCCCAAAACCAGTCTGCGTACACACCATGCATTTAAAGCACACCCACCCGCTCAGAATCCTTGGAACTGCAATCTACTCCTCAGATCTATGATTCCAAGAACTTTCACCAAGTACAGTTCTCAGGATTATTATTATTTAATGTACGAGGTGGAATTTAGTGTCACACTATTACAAACATTCCATCTGCACAAGCAATGCAGTTCAACAGAAAGAACTGCTGTATGCTGTTCTGGGTTTCCCCCTGAACTCCTCCTTGAGCTATGTTGGGGGTCAAAAAGGGAGAAGAGGGAAAGCCCCATTCCACAAATGGAAGTCCTTGCGCAGGGCTTCTGCACTTCTGCCCACGGTGTGTACATGGCCCAAGAACTTGACATGTTGGATACTGATCCACAAAAGAGATTTAAGCTCTAAATCAGCCCTGAGTGCTCACTGGAAGGACAGATCCTGAAGCTGAGGCTCCAATACTTTGGCCACCTCATGAGAAGAGAAGACTCCCTGGGAAAGACCCTGATGCTGGGAAAGATGGAGGGCACAAGGAGAAGGGGACGACAGAGGACGAGATGGTTGGACAGTGTTCTCGAAGCTACCAGCATGAGTTTGACCAAACTGCGGGAGGCAGTGGAAGACAGGAGTGCCTGGCGTGCTCTGGTCCATGGGGTCAAGAAAAATCGGACACGACTAAACAACAACAACAACATTTCAGATGCAATGGATCCTGCCCCCCCCCATCGCCTCCACACACAATGAAGTCAGAGTATGTAACACTCCAGGGCACAGCTTGTAACAGATCACTCCTAGAAAATATCAGGGGCCACAAACACTACCATTTTAGTTCTTCCTTCCAAAGGCGTTTGAAGCCTTGGGTGCACAAGGAATGCTGGATCCAGCACTGAAACTTTCTTTGCCTATTGTTCCAGCAGGACAATAATAGAGGCAGCTGCCAAACATGTGTTGCCCAGGAGATCTCCCAACGCTCTGCTCAGGAGCAAGGCTACAGTGCTAACCAAAATCACTTGGGCAAACGTCTCTCCGTCTTGCCAGCCTGCATCTCCCGCGATTGAATCACTGCTGGAGCAGAATGCAGCGAAATTCTTGTTTAGCGATGCTTACAAACAAGATATAGGCATGCATATCTCTCTCTCTGTTTCCCTGCCTCTCTTGGCCTCCCAGTTCCCGTCTCTTGGCAACCAACAAATAATTTCTGACATTCATTGCCATATATACACTTCATGCAACCCCAATGGTTTCTCGGCTGACAAAACCCGGTGCCCAAGAACTGGAACGCTGGCTGCTTAGATTGCAATGCACACATGCATGAAGAGTCCCATATTCCATAGCGCATGAAGACAAAGCACACAAGAGTTGGAAAAAGCTTTCACCCACACACCAGCTTTCCCACATACATAGCTGAAGCTAAATGTGCACAGATATCCCCACATTTTGCACAGATACAAGGAAATCTGGTCCATCTAGTCTAGCCTTCTGTTTCCAAGTGGAGGCACCCAGAAGCTCACAAGGTAGGCATAAAGCCAACAACCATCCCATGTCTGTGCGTAGCATAAGGCATTCCAAGGTATACTGCTCCTGTATGTGGAGGTCTGATTGAACTGTCAGGATAAATGTAGACTGTAGACCTCTTCACTTATATGCACTGAGTACACAGACATGTGCAATGATGGCAAGGGTCAGTTTCTAGCCTCCTTGTTTGATAGGTCAATTAGAAGATTAAGACGTTTCCTCCTCTTATTACACTAGGTAAAGGTAAAGGGACCCCTGACCATTAGGTCCAGTCGTGACCGACTCTGGGGTTGCGGCCCTCATTTCACTTTACTGGCCGAGGGAGTCGACGTACAGCTTCCGGGTCATGTGGCCAGCATGACTAAGCCCCTTCTGGCGAACCAGAGCAGTGCATGGAAATGACGATTACTTTCCCGCCAGAGCGATACCTATTTATCTACTTGCACTTTGACATGCTTTCGAACTGCTAGGTTGGCAGGAGCTGGGACCAAGCAATGGGAGCTCACCCCGTCGCGGGGATTCGAACCGCCGACCTTCTGATCAGCAAGTTCTAGGCTCGGTGGTTTAACCCACAGCGCCACCCGCGTCCCTCTTATTATGCTACCCATTCTATAATTCATTCTGGCTATACCCATCCATTGCTGCCCCATGTTTTTGGACCACAACCTATGTCATCCCCAGCTAACACGGCCATTGGTCAGAGAAAAGAGATGCAGCTCTGGGGACCTATGGTTGGGTCCGAGTTCTCTGAACTGGCACAGAGCCATTTCTCTTTTCCACAGAGCACCTAGCAAACAGTGGAAAATTCCTCCTTATTTTAGTGCAGATTTACATGATGGCAAAATTCAGTATTCGGAGAGTGCAGTGGGGAAGCTGCGCAGAGTCTACTTCTCAGATCAGTTCTGCGAATGCACATTTAGGCCATCTGCAGGTAACTGCATTCGGGAAATGCTTCAGCAGTGGAGCTGCAGAAAACGCCATGCTGAATTCAACAGGGTTCATGCTATCACCACCCTCAACAACCCCCTCCCCGAACCGAGCCTTAAAGAAAAAGTAGAAACCCACACACAACCCAATGCTCTTTTTTCCCTGAGCTATTAAGAACAAGAGCAAATATTCCTTATTTGAAGGCAGCGGCCTAAACCCAAAACGGGCATTTGAATGTGAAAAAAGCAATTTGTTTCAACAACACACACCGAGGTGGTGAAGTCGCTATTGTGACAACATGACCTCTCACACCAATAAATCTTTAACATCAATGCAGTTGGCAAAACCCAGAGCAGGAAGGCTTCCTTGTGGGGGTGGGGAGGTTTGGGAAAAAAAGCATCAGATTTGCAGAGGACAGGGGAAAAAAGATTAAATATTAATTATTCTTGGCAAAGAAAAAAAGACAATGTGTTGTCCCATAAAACCAGAAGCCTTCCCAAGGTCACACACACAGCACCCAACATGCACTTTCTGAAAAACACAGTGCTGAAAAAAGAGAAAAAGGAATGGCATCAATCATTAAACAGTTAAATGAAGGTAGTATGACAGTTGCTATTGTTCTCTAGCAGCACACTTGTCTTTTCCAGAGCAGCTGCCAGATCCTATTAGATGCATAAAAAGAGGATGTTCTGGACTGGGGAGGAATGGGATATGCTATTGAAAACAGCAGACAATGGCTTGCTTCTGTAGGCTCCTCAAGCCCCGTATAACATCTGTCCAGAATCAATTTCTGACCTAATGTTCCTTTCATTGACTATTAAGACTTTGCAGCTTGTCTTCTGGGCCAGGGACTGTTACACAGAGCACAAAGCAATGAGGCAACTACATGCAGCAAATTCAAATTAACGCCATGCAAAAATAAAAACCCACAAAAAAAAAAGACCTTGCTTAGGTTGTACGAAGTTTATCCAGCATGAGGGCATTCACAAACCCAGAAATGCCATGCTCCTGCACAGCCCCCATTCATTTCAGCAGAGCCTGTGCAGGAGAACTTCCCGTTGCAATATATCCCATGGGGGAATTAAAGATTGGAGAAACGTACCATGGAACGGCTTCCGCCTCTTCGGATAGGACAAAGGGACTGAAGAAATGGGATACAGTGGTACCTTGGTACTCGAACGGCTTGGCTCCTGAACAAATCGGCCGCAAACCCGGAAGTAAGTGTTCCGGTTTGTGAATGTTTTTTGGAAGCTCCTGCAGCCAATCAGAAGCCACGGCTTGATTTTATAACAGTTTTGGGCGTCGAACGGGCTTTTGGAATGGATTAAGTTCAAGAACCAAGGTACCACTGTATTCTCAAGAGTTTTGCGTACCCATCAGTAGAGCAGGTAACATGATTATGGCCATGGTCCGCAGAAGGACACTGTAGTCCTATCTTCCTCTGTCACCCTCCAGCACACAAGCTCACGTCAGATGATCAAGCAAAGGGAGATGGCTTGAGGGTCATGGGTGCTGCACCCACACCTCCCTTCTCCTGAGCAACTCTGGGGCACCCTGAGAGGTGGAGCGGGGAGGTGAAATTTAAGGGAGAAGAAAGGCTCCACTGAGCCCCTTCATGTGCAACCCAAGGAAAGAGGGTCATTTCCAAAGATTAGAATTTGCTGGTGGCAAATGCAACGCCCATGAAAATAAACCAAAGAGGTGATCCAAACACAAAGATTAAAAAGCTTTGCCGTAGATTTCCAGGAGGTTTTGCCGCAACATAGAAGTTTATTTCCCTTCTTCAAGACAATTTGCTAGTTTTACCTTTAAGTTGCAAATGAAATTTATAAGAAGCAACAGAATTCCACTTACCCATAAGGTCTCTGGATGAGAGCTGGATGTAGCTGCTGCACCCCTAAGGTGAAACCTAGAAAAATGTTTGCAAAACGCAGTATTAGATCCGGCTGTGCAACGTTATCGTGTATTCAGAAGTGCAGCTTGTGCCTAGGCCTGCTTACTTAGAGCTAAGTGCCGCTGTCTGCGGCGGGATTTACAGTTTTGCTTCGTGCATCGTAGCTATCTTAATCCTTACTCTTTGGTACAAACAATTTTTGTGTTTACTTTCTCTATGACAACATTATCTGATGAATTCCGGAGAGTAGTCTTGTGAAGTCTGTTGCAGTGAGCAGTTTTGTGGCACCTTTAAGGCTAACAAATACAGCATCAGCTTTTGTGGAGTGCAGGAAACATTATCCTGTCCTCAGGCATCTCTTTAACTCTGCTCTGAATTGTTACCAACAGTTGGCGACTTAACTTGAACTGGCCAATGTTTCTCCTGTACTGTATATTACCACATTTCAGAGTGCATGTTTTAGCCCAGTGTTTTCCAACTTTTTTCCGACCATGGCCCCCTTCAGACATTGTTTCCTTCCTGTGGCTCCCTTGGAATTGGGCAGGATATATTATTATTATTATTATTATTATTAGTTTAGCCTTGACATTAAAACTAGTTATGCTTCCAGACCTCTCAACACTTCATCCACTCCTACCTGTAGCTATTTCATACAGCACAAGTCATAGTTTGCAGTTACATACAAACTAGCAAACTATGGTTTGCATGTCCCTCCAAACCATGATTGCAAACTACGGTTTGGGCATGTTTTGCAAGGCAAGTACAAACCGGTTTGCTGGTTTGGATTCTAACTGCAGACTACGTTTGTACTACACATGAAGAAACTTACAGAATTGGAGTGGACGAGAGGAGAGGAGGAGAACAAGGTTTGTTCACGGCCTCATGTTATGTCAAACTATGGTTTGGTATCCTTTTTGAACCAGATGACTGCAATGTATTCTATTAGCTATTTTAATAAACTTCTAAAAATGTGTTGTGTCAACTTCCCACTCCCCCTACCACGATCACGGGATGTTTGTGTAACTACACAAGCAAGTTCCCCACTATTTAATTTTCCCAGTTTTTAATATACTATTAATATAATATACTCTTCTATCACCCATACTCTGCTACATTCTATTAATTCCAAGTCTCAAATGTGTCTCTTTTCTAGACAGCTAGTCCTCCACTTGACTCATGTTTGTGTTCAAAGCTCCAGTTTTTCATTTATGAAAGCATCTACAATTTTGACTTTCATTAACGGGGCCCCTCCTTACTTGGACCCATTGTCGTGTCCATCTGCCATCTTCTCTTTTTTGCTTCCTTAGAGGTAAAATGCTTCCATCTCCCTTTCACAGCATCCTTTTCTGAGTTCGTATAATTCTGCCTTCTCCCTAGACTGCTGCACCTGCCATATTGCTGTCAACCTTTCCCCTTGGTCTCAGACATTCGCCTCTGCTTCAACCTGTAACCATTCTCCAACACACACAAAGTTTACTGAAGTTGTGAACAGTTGGCGGCAGATTATATACAATCTCAAGCCAACTATACTAATCCTTGGGCAAAGTTCCCCAGCGTTCTTTTCTTTGCACAAATCCCCATCTTCCCCTTCTTTGCTTCCAGCACATTTATTCTCCAGTGCATGCTCAGAAATTCAAGATATATATACATTGTCATATTTAAGATAATTTGTCTGTTTTTCTTTCTTTGAATCTGCAAGGCTCTCGGGTCACAACATCAAATGGCTATATTTCACGGCCTATAGTTTCTGGAGCTGACGAAAAAGAACACAAATGAAGCAGTCCAGGGCTTCAGCTGTAGTTGCCTGTCCTCAAAAGCATGCAGAACTATCCAAAGGAGAGCAATACGAAGGGCAGAAGCATCTATGATGGCTCAAGTGAGCCAGCAAGCTACAGAAAGACACCTATGATTTTTCTTGGATTACATTTTTTCAACAAAAAAAAACCCCACACACCCCAACCTCTGTTTACTGTAAGCTTTGAGCTAAACACAGATGTTCTAAAGATTTGCCTTATAATTGGATGTCACAGAGGCCAATCACCTGGTGTGACAACCAGAGTACAGGGGTACCTTGGTTTGCATACGTTTTGGATTACAAACGGGTCAAACCCAGAAGCGTTTGCAACCTTTTTTTGGATTACAACCCTTTTATTTTTTGGATTATGAACAAAAAAAATTTAGAGGCCCCATTGGCGAAAGCGCGCCGTGGGTTACAACCTGTTTTGGTTTATAAACAGACCTCCGGAACGGATTATGGTTGTAAACCAAGGTACCACTGTACTCTGCAAGTTTGAGCATACCATATGCTCCTTATATACCACTTTCACCCCCCCCCCACACTTTATTCTTTAGAAAGTGCGTCTCCACCCCCATCCTTCTACCCGGACACTGAGGTCCAGCGCTGAGGGCCTTCTGGCGGTTCCCTCACTGTGAGAAGCCAAGTTACAGGGAACCAGGCAGAGGGCCTTCAAGGTAGTGGCACCTGCCCTGTGGAATGCCCTCCCTCCAGATGTCAAAGAGAACAACAACTACCAGACTTTTAGCAGACATCTGAAGGCAGCCCTGTTTAGGGAAGCTTTTAATGTTTGATGGACTACTGTATTTTAATATTTTGTTGGAAGCTGTCCAGGTGGCTGGGAAAACCCAGCCAGATGGGCAGGGTATAAATTAAATAAAATAAGAATAAGAATAATATTTAGCCTCAGCCACAGTTTGCCAGATGTGGACATCATGGTAAACTAGGGTTAGAACAAACCAGGAAAGGGAAATGCATACACAAGAAGGGGAGGGCCTGCACATGTCACTTGACCACGACTGTCTAAAAAGCACACGGTCCCTGTTCCTTGGGAACTGGAGCATGCATAGTTGCATGGTCTCTCTGCTCCAGCTCCTGCAGCACTTGCCAAGAGACTGTCAGTGGCGTTGAAAACTCCATTCTTGGCAGCAGAAACAAATCACACAAAATAAGCTCAGCATGCAGAGTTTATTTGGATGGTGGAATGAGCTTCCTGGGTGCAGAAAACACACAGCTTTATTTTTATTGTCCTATTCAAACCCAGAAAGATATTGAGCCAATTTATAAAGAGAGAGAGACAGACAAGAGAGAGGGGAGTGGGGGCAGTTGGTCTCACCAGTTTGAATACTCCTTGGTTTTGCTCCCAGATAGGCAAGGTTGACGTTTGCTTTCCGGCCGTCAATGATGGGGTTGGGATCCTTGCAAGCCCTTTCGGCTGCAGATCTGTCAGCCATGGTCACCTGGAAAGAAGCAGGCAGACTGCGTTTGTAAGCGACCTGGAACACCACCAAGTGGGTGTTTTTCCTCCCCTCCTTTCTAGCAAGCACTTCCACACAACAAAGTTAAGAACTCTCCTTGAATCTCACTTGAAAAGCTGTTAAGAGGGGATAATCCGTTATGTAGCTCTGGAGAGAGGAAGCCTCATCATCTCCACCTATATCCCCCTTTGTTTCCTGTTTTGACATCACAAGTAAAAAAGACCAGGCAGGCTGAATATCAGGCAGCCAAGCAGAGGCGGAGGCAGGCGAAGATGCCGTTTTAAGATTCAAGATCCCTTGAACTCCGGTACACTCACGGAGGCAGCTTTATGGCTGAAGTACCTTCCAAGCACTGTAAAGTTTGCCTTTCAGAACGTGATTTACAATGGAAAAGCCAGCAGTAGATGGAAGCATCCCAAAGCAAAAGAGCACTCAAGGGAGAATGCTATAAACTGCAGGCAGATAAGTTCAGAGTAGCTACTATTTTTGTTTCCTCTTTTTTAAAAACAACACATTGCGCCCCCCTCTCCTTTTGGCACTGTTAGGGAATATCAGGTGGTAGCTTTTCCTTTTCTTCTCACCACAAAGCAAACAGAAACCCAAGCAGTGCAGCCCCACCTAACCAGCAGCAAGAACAGCACAGAAATGAACAGCTTCCCCTTTTTGAAAGTGTGGAATTGCATTACTGAAGCTTGAGAAGGCAGGAGACACTCCTGTCTGTACACCGTTAACAAGTCTGTAGGGTTTATTTCAATGCATGACAAAACTGCTAAACGCAAAGTTGTCTCCAGGGGAAAATTAACATGCTTCATATATGTAGATCATGCAAATTCTATTTTAAAGACTCCGGCTAAATGTGACATTCCTACATAGCTGGAAATAATTGTCATGGTTGGGATGCAACACTAAACTCTGGCTTAGTGTTACATGAAAGAGCCTTGGGTTTGTCAGCTCCCCACACCAAACTCTCGAGTGCAGGTACCGAGATCAGAAGCTTTTTGCTTCCATTTTCAACGGCGATTTAACATTAGGCACAACCCCGTAAACTGTGGTTAGTCTTAACTGTGGTTTACTGCAACAAGTCAACTTCATAAACCATATCTGAATCTGGCTTGTTACCATAAACCATAGCTAAGACTGGCCACAGTTGTCTCGGCTTTGACATAATGTTAATAATACACCGCCTAAAATCATTCCTGGGCTGCACAAGTTCATTGACTTTTTATTCTAATGATAAAAATGCAAAGCAGTCGGGAGGCGGTGGTGAAAACGCCCTGCTGAGATGCATCCTCAAGATGCCCAACAATGAAGTGCAAGGTCAATTATTGGTTAGAGAAAGCCTCCTGTCGCTTACAACAAGAATCCTCTTTAAGAAGAAATTTAAGAACCTGGGAAAGGAAACGGTAGAGATCCTAGGAGCAATCCTCTGCTTCTCTGGGTAAGACTACGAAAGCATCTGCTGAAGAACTTGAGAGAACAGATGCCAGCCTGTGTAGAATGGGCAAGAGGGGTCAACTAGGCAGCTTCCCATGTCCCTAATGCAAGGCAAGTTCTCAAAGCAGCCCATCAGATGCCTCTGGGAAGCTCACAAGCAGGACTGCAGGGCAACTGTACTCTCCACCGCAACCAATATTCAGAGGCATCCCACCTCAGATCCTGGAGATAGCAGAGGTAAAAGGTAAAGGGCTCCCGGACAGTTAAATCCAGTCAAAGGTGACTATGGGGTGCAGCGCTCATCTTGCTTTCAGGCCGAGGGAGCCGGTGTTTGTCCACAGACAGCTTTCCGGGTCATGTGGCCAGAATGATGAAATTGCTTCTGGCACAATGGGACACTGTGACAGAAGTCAGAGCGCATGGAAATGCCGTTTACCTTCCCACCGGAGTGGTACCTATTTATCTACTTGCACTGGCGTGCTTCAGAACTGCTAGGTGGGCAGAAGCTGGGACAGAGCAACGGGAGCTCACCCCGTTGAGCGGATTCGAACCACCAACCTTCCAATCAGCAAGCCCAAGAGGCTCAATCGTTTAGGGACGTGGGCGGTGCTATGGAGATAGCGTACAGCCACCATGACTGGTACTTCTCCATACCTCTATGAATTTGTCCAATCCCTTTTTAAAGTTATCCCTGTATTTTGCGGCAGCAGCAAGTTAAGGAACTTCTACTTAAGTGGCGCCTGCAACAAAATGTTGCAGCACAAAGTGCTCCTCATCAGTTCTGGTCAGCCATGCTTTTTTCCACACCCACGCACCCAATAGATGCTCAGTCCTTACTGAGATGTTCTAGATAGGTTACTCCTCCCCCACCCACCCTGAAAATTGTGTGTGTGAATGCACATTTTAATTTTCTTTTCTGCACTTCTGCAAACCTCTGGATTCTCCACAACTTGCCAACACCGTGTGTGTGTGTGTGTATATGTTGGTGTTTTGGCTGTGTGAATATCCCTATTCGGAGAATTGAGTTCGCTATTCACCTCTCCCAGCTCCTGCACTTAGTATGCAATCCCTTCAAAAGTCTGGAAGCCAAAGAGAAGATGCAATTTCCTCCATCTCCTCACCCAGCAACTGTCTTTGAAAAATTGTTGGAAGACATCCGTAGGAACTGCAAAAAGGAGCCCATGTAATACTCCAAATCTACCGCAGCATGAACAGTGGGGGAGTATTTGGAAGAGGGGAAGGGGAATGTGACAGGGTAATATTCCCACCCTGATTTTTGTGAACTGGGAACAACACAACAAGGATCAAAGGCAGTGGGGCAGCAGTACACTAGGATACAAAACCATTTCCCCCACACAGAGTTGAGTACCCTTCATTTGACAGGGTGAGGGAAAAAGTACCCGATTAGAGGTCACGAAGTCAGAAAGCAGCAGGAAGTAACGCAACCTGCAAAAACCTCTGCTCACGCAATAGCCCCTGCAACTGTTAAGCCCGATTCCTTTTCCAAGAGACACCCTCCACTTCCGGACCCGCACGGCACTTCTGCCACTCTGCTGCAAATTCCCTACGGATCAGGACCACCGTAGAACCACTGGAACGGATTCCTTGATGGGAGACAATTTCGGAGGTTGCCCCACTCCCCACACCCAGTATGAAAGGATGAGGGAGACAACACAAGACACACGCACACGGAAGAGATGCCGTAAATACTACAGCAAAGAGTTCGTGCGACCCACAACCCCATTTCCCCAGAAACACACTGAGCAGATAATCCAAGCAGAGTCTCCACCTCCCAGCTATATGTCTGCAAGGAGTCTCTTCTCCTTTACCAAATACATTGTTTTTACTATTACAGTATTGTTAACAACGACATACCCCACAAGTGCACACAAACGCCAATTAAGCAGAACACTTCACTTCAATGTAAAGAGCTCTCCAGGCCCTTTGGAACCTAGTTTTCAGCTCTGCAGAGTAATCTTGAACTGGACTCCAAGGACCATTCTAGAAGCAACAGCCAATTGCTTCCATCTCTTCCCCTAGGAGTGACTACCCACTTTCTGTTCCCTCCACCCACACAGCACCCCAACTCTAAGCTACCAGACTCCCAAACCACCTTTGGAACCAACGAAGTCCCTCTAGATGTGGCTCCTCCAGTTTCATAAGCCAGAAGAGGCAGTTGCAGGTCTGTGGGCTCCCACCCTAAGCCAACAAATTGCACCCCACCGCAAGTTTATATAACAGAGGGGCATCAAACTCAACATGCTCTGGAGTCTGGAAACGAAGCCTGATGAGGAATGGTTGAAGGAGCTGGATATGCTTAGCCTGAGATTAAGAGGAGATGCAATAGCCATCTTCAAACATCGAAAGGGCTGTCACATAGGGAACAGGCTTGTTTCCTCCTGCTCTGGAGGGTAGGACCCAAACCGATGGATTCAAGTTACAGGAAAGGAGATTCTAACTGAACATCAGGAAGAACTTTCTGACAAAGAGCTGTTTGACAGTGGAATGGAGGTTGTGGACTCTCCTTCCTTGGAGGATTTTAAGCAGAGGGTGGGTGGCCATCTGTCATGCTTTAGTTGAGATTCCTACATTGCAGGGGGCTGGACTAGATGGCCCTCGGGGTCCCTTTCAGCTCTACAATTCTATTACTATTTCATTCAATATAGACTGGTTATGGCTCAAAGGGATCACCAAGTTCGAGAAAGAGGGAGTTAAAAAATACTGTACGGCTTCCCCACGGCCCGTCTCCCTTTTCTGCCGTTGAAATGTTAACCTTTCCACGCAGGCTTAAGGCAGAAAACGGAAGACTCCTATTGCAGGTGAGCGCCCCGACGTGTCGACTACTCAGAATTCATTGGCAAGACCTGCAAGAGGCGGGGTGGCGAGGTCCTTTGGCGTGGTGCCCCGACGCCAGGTGACGAGAACAGCCCCTCCCAGACCTTCCCGAAAAGCGACCCCCCCCGGCCCCCAAATCCGCACTTACGAAGCCATATCCCCGGGATTTTCCCGTCTGCCGGTCCGTGATGACGACGGCTTCCTCGATGTCGCCGAACACCTCGAAGTACTTCCTCAGCGAGGAGTCCGTGGTGTGGTAGGGCAGCCCCCCGACGAAGATCTTCGTGAAGGTAGTGTCCTTCTGCACCGTGTGCATGGCGCCGGAGCAGCCCCGACGGCGATGGCCGCAGCTGCTAGTTGGAGAGCAGGAGGAGAAGGGCGACGAGGACGAGGAGGGCGGCGGAGAGTGGGAGAGGCTGGAATAAGCATCCAAAAGGAGGAAAGGGCGAGACGAAGCGCGAGGAAAGACGTCCAGGGTGGAAGGAAGGAGATGCCCTACTCCGCCTAGGTCACCGCGCGACCCAGCGAGCGGTCCACGGGCGAGGAGGAGCAGGAGGAGGAAGGAGGAGAAGACCGGGGGAGCCCGCTCCCCCGAGCAACAGCGACTCAGCGACCACAGGAGCAGCAGCAGCAGCTCCGCGCCCCATGCAGCAGCTCCAGCGGCTAAAGCAACCGCAGCATCGACGGCAGGGGGCAATGAGAGAGCTCCGCCTTCCCAAAGCGCTGCCAGCCCCCCCGCCCCGTCGAGCAGCAGCAGCACGACCTCTCGCCTGGAGCCGCGGAGCGTGAAAGTGCTCCCCAGCGCTCGCGCGCCTTTGTACCCATCCTTCCCTCTCCGCCCCTTCCAAGGCCGGGCTCCAGCCACGCCTCCCCGCCGCCGGGTCGGGGGAAACGTCGAGCCTGGCCGGCCGCAGAGGCCCCTGGGCTTCGTAGTTCTTCGCCGCTGACGCCTCGTCCGTTGGGGCGGTGCAAAAACGAGGACGGCGACGCGGACTTTCGAGGCGCTTCGAAGCCTGATCGTGCAATCCCGTGGGGTCTGGGAGTAAGTCGCGCGGAGCTCGTTGGCGAGGCTTACTTCTGAGTAGACGGGATCGCACGTGGTAGCAAGACCTGTCTCTCGGCAGAAGCGTCCGTGGACTACCGGAGCCGGAGCCTATTTCTGCTTAGATGAATGAAGTCCTGTGGAGAATATTGCTTTTTGATTTTAAAAACTTAAATTCCACCTTCCCATTCCCGCGCACACTTACAAAATTCCCAAGCCGTCTTTTAATACATACATTTTTTTAAAAGTACTAAAGGTCTTTAACTCCAAAGTAGCCCCAAAACTCCTGTATGGCATTCTATTATGGATTGGTGCAGTTAACCAATCGTTGGATCGCATCCAATCCAAATTTCAGCGCAAAATCCTGTGGCTGCCAAATTGTGTGCCATATGCAGCCATGTGTCTGGAAACTGGACAAAGGCTGCTGGAAACCAAAATGTGGCTCATCACTATAAAATTCTGGCTCTGTCTACATTTCATGTCTGATCTGTCATCTTTAACTTTCCACACGCTGGCAGAATCCCACCACTCCAAATGGCTAGCTTGCACTGAGAGCAAAATCAGAACCTGTTGCCTATCACTCGAGTCGCTGCTTATGCTCCCACAGTTAGAAGCATTCCAGAAAATCAAGTGTAGAATCCTAGAGATTGAATTCCAAAACCCTTTGCAGTGCAGCCAAAGAATACAGGAGATGCAAACAAAAAGCAGTGATTCAAATATTATACAGTACAGTGGTAACTCAGAAGTTGAACAGAATCCGTTCTGGAAGTCCGTTCGACTTCCAAAATGTTCGGAAACCAAGACGCGGCTTCTGATAGGTTGCAGGACGCTCCTGCAGCCAATCGGAAGCTGTGGAAGTCACGTTGGACGTTCGGGTTCCAAAGAACATTCACAAACCAGAACACTCGCTTCCGGGTTTGTGGCATTCGGGAGCCAAAACATTTGACTCACAAGGCGTTCAGGATCCCAGGTACGACTGTACTGCCAGAAGGTGAACATAAGCCTATCAAAATTAAGCCCAACGTAATAAACACACCTGAATTAAATTCTCAAAGCCCATTGAAACTGAACATGTTTTGCCTAGAGGCTAAAGTGAGTGTGAGGTACCTGTGGCCCTCCAGTTGTTGCTAGGCTACAACCATCCCTGACCTTTAGTCCCCCAGGCCCTGGCCGGGGTTGATGGGAGTTGGAGTCCAATGTCTGAAAAGCATCAGTATTTGGCTAAGCCTGGTCTTAGATACAACAAAGAAGGGGCCAGGTAAGTCAACTTGTGGGAGAGCATCTCAGCTGATGTGCAACCACAGAAAAGGCTGTTTTCCTAGTAGCCACTTGCCCACTGGCTGTCAGAGAACAGAGAACTGATCTGGCCAAGTAACCAACTATGTGTACATTACACCAAACACACCAAACATGTAGTTTCTCATGACAAGCACATCAGCGCACCTCTCCCCTCCCATGCTTATGTTGGATTTGCAGAATACAAGTTTAATCTACTTGTTAGTTAACCACTAAATTCAACACTTAGGTTATGAGATAGCTGAAAGATATCTCCCTGTTGAGAAGCAGTGTACCCACGCAACACCACTCTCTGGGAAACCAACAGCAGAAGAGGGTTGTTGCCGTCATGCTCTGTTTGTAAGATTCCCAGAAGCATTTGGTTAGCCGCTGGGAATTTGTGGGAGCAAATGCCATAGTTTAACAACGTGCTATGTGCTGTGTGAAGTTCTTTCTTGAATTTTCCAACATTCAGCATCATTGGATGGTCCTGGGTACTGGGTGCCTTGGCAGAAAGATGGGATTTAAATATAGTAAGTAAATATAGTATATAGAGAGGGAGGAAAACACTTTATTCACTTTCTCAACTCCATACACAATCTTTTACACCTCTGTAATGCCCCCTTATGGGACACGGGTGGCGCTGTGGGTTAAACCACAGAGCCTAGGACTTGCCAATCAGAAGGTCGGCGGTTCGAATCCCCGTGACGGGGTGAGCTCCCATTGCTCGGTCCCAGCTCCTGCCAACCTAGCAGTTCAAAAGCACATCAAAGTGTAAGTAGATAAATAGGTACCGCTCCAGCGGGAAGGTAAACGGCATTTCCATGTGCTGCTCTGGTTCGCCAGAAGCGGCCTAGTCATGCTGGCCACATGACCCGGAAGCTGTACGCCAGCTCCCTTGGGCAATAAAGCGAGATGAACGCGCAAACCCAGAGTCAGCCATGACTGGACCTAATGGTCAGGGGTCCCTTTACTTTACTAATGCCCCCTTGCAGCTATTTCCCCCCCTAGAATATAAGATTTAAATGTTGTTACTTTTCCAGCTCCTTGTTCATTTTGGTAGCCTATTTCTGAACTTTTTCCAGATCTAAAATATCCTTTCCCTAATGATCCGTAACATGGAGTTCACCCCTTTTCACAGCTTCCACACAGTGGATCCCTATCTTCACTGAGCTATCCACAATAATCCCAAGGTTTTGTTCCTGGTCAGTCATCTCCAGTTCAGACGCCTTGATCGTATATGTGAAACTAAGTGTTTTTTGTTTCGTTTGCTTTTTTGCTTTTGCACCAACATGCATCACTGTTACAGCTGAACTGAATTTGTTAAGCTAATATTTAGGAGCCTTTGGTGAGGGACTTTTGTCAAAGGCTTCTTGAAACTCAGTCCTGATAACTGGGCATGGGGTATTTGTGCGCTTCTGAGACGCAGCCTGCATTTGCTGGTGGATTTACCCATCCCAAACAGTGGCTTCTGCAGGGAGCGAGCACTACCCGCTCCAAGCCTGCCGGTTCTGCTTCCCACTGAAACTACATCCCCCAGCAGGCACTGCGGGAGCCTCTTCCTCCTCCCCTCCCCACCCTGGAGAATATTGCCGCTCGTTGCAAACGGACGGTCGATTTGCATAGGGGTGGCGAGAGGCGGCAGAAAGGAGCGCTGGATTTGACTAAGAAATGCAAGTTTGCAAAGCAAATCTTTTTTGCCGAGAAGCCCGCCAGAGAAAGCCGCCTAACAGCGCGCGCGCCTGTTTTTTAAATGTTGAACTTTGCAGGAATCCCGATTGCAAATAATTGCAACTTCTGGCAAGTGCTGGCATTTGGAGAAGGTCATCGGGCGGGGAGCCTCCGTCCCTCCTTGGTTTTAATGCGTTTTGTGGCCGCAGATGTTTACGAAGCTGCGCCTTTGGGAAGAGGAAGGAAAGAGCAAACACTTAAATAAAAAATCATGCACATAAGAGCCGGCTCCTAGGAGCTGTGGGGGCTTCGGCCCCCTACAAAAAAATTAGTTGCTCTCTGTGGGCGATACTTTTTTATTACTATTAAATCTGTATACCACCCTTGATCTGAAGATCATGGTGATTCACAACATAAAAATACAGTACAAAATAAAAACAGAAAATATGTAACAAAACAAACAAAAAACAAATCAATAAGCCCCTTCCACAAGCACATTTAAAAGGTAATAATATCACCCAAAGGCTTGATTATAAAGGAATGTTTTTGCCTGGTGCCTCCCTGGGGAGAGCATTCCACAAACAGGGTGCCAATGCAGAAAAGGCCTGTTCTCGTGTTGCCACCCTCAAGACCTCTCATGGAGGAAGCACACAAAGAAGGGTCTCATATGATCTCCGCTTATAAGGGGAGAGGTGGTCCTTGAGGTATTGCGGTCCTGAGCTTTTTAAGGCTTTATAAGTCAAAACCAGCACTTTGAATTGGGCCCAGTTATTAATCAGTTGTGCCAGGATCAGTCTTGTCCCGATGAACAACCTGGCCACCAAATTCTGTGCCGGTTAAAGTTTCCAACTCGTCTTCAGAGGCAACCCTACATACAACGCATTGCAATAATCTAACCTAGAGGTTACCAGAGCATAGACAACAGTAGTTAGGGGTGCAGCTGGGCCACCAGCCAAAGCTGGTGGAAGGCCCTCCGTGTTACTGAGGCCACCAGAGCCTCAAGTGACAAGCAAAGCATCCAAAAGTACCTACAAGCTGTATACCTGCTCCTTCAAAGGGAGTGTAACCCCATCAAGAACAGGCAACCTGTTAGATGGACCAAAATAAGGACCAGTCTGCACTATATATTTACAGCAGTATCATACCACTTTATGCAATCCTGGGAGCTATAGTTTGTTAAGGGTTCTGAAAGCTGTTAGGAAACTCTTTCCCCTTCACAGAGCTACAATTCCAAGAATTGCCTGGAAAGAAGGATTGATTGTGAGGTTATCCTGCGAGTTGTAGCTCTGTGAGGGGAATTGGGGCCTCCTACTCTCTGTGTCCCTCCCTCATCCACTGATAGTGTAAAGGTAAAGGGACCCCTGACCATTAGGTCTACTTGTGACTGACTCTGGGGTTGCGGTGCTCATCTCGCTTTATTGGCCGAGGGAGCCGACGTACAGCTTCCGGGTCATGTGGCCAGCATGACTAAGCCGCTTCTGGTGAACCAAAGCAGCGCACGGAAATGCCGTTTACCTTCCCGCCGGAGCGGTACCTATTTATCTACTTGCACTTTGACGTGCTTTCGAACTGCTAGGTTGGCAGGAGCAGGGACCGAGCAACGGGAGCTCACCCCGTTGCGGGGATTCGAACCACCGACCTTCTGATTGGCAAGTCCTAGGCTCTGTGGTTTAACCCACAGCGCCACCTGCGTCCCCTGATAGTATAGATCAGGCCAAAAATAGGATAGTCAGACTTCCCCCCCTCTGCTTGGACATGAGTTAAACCTGGGACAGATGTTTTGCTGCCTGAGGCAAAGACAATATGGTCTTCCGCACCACCACTGCCTGTGTATCGAAACCCAACCAGGTTGGCAACTGAATTTTACAACATCTTCCACCTCGCAGTAGGCTGCCTTAAAGCCTTGCAGAGAAGACCACATGGTATACAGAGTTGTGTTTGGCAACGCCTCATTACTGCTCTGCACCTCTCAGCATCCACTGCCAAATTAAGGTGGCTGCCACAATCTGCCTAATGGTAGGACCAGACCAAAACACTTTTTTTTTTTTGCTTGTTACCTGAGCCTATAGTGGGGTGCCTGCATTCCATGGAATAAAACCCCAATTCCAGGGCAGCTATTAAGCTCTCGAGTTGCCGGGCTGGGGATAGAAAAGGCATCTCTTTTGGACTGTGGCTTGTAGACTGTAGCCTCCATCCGCTCTCCGAAAGCTTGTACAGTACTGTGGGAATAGTTAGGCTTGTTGGCTTTGCTAATGCCAAATCTGGATGCTTGCCACCCTTCGAGGCTGTGAAGCATCCTGGGAGGAGATGCCCTAAATCCTTTTTCGTTTGTAGCAGTGATCATGCTGTATCCAAAGGTCTCTTCCTTTGTCTCTGCATTTTCCGATTACCCTGAACGCACTGTGGCCTTTTAGATCTCAGCGCTGCTGCTATAAATAATGAGCCTCTTTTTAAAACACAAACACGCACACACATTGTGGTTAGTGAATTATGAGAGCAGAAAAAGTTCATAATCTTGCCTTTGCTCAGCCGCGCTTCTTCTGAATAACCTTTTATGAATATCTGGGTATATACTGTATATGTATGTATGGAAATATAACTGATTATACTCTTTGTGTTATACTATATCGCTCCTTTTCGTACTATGATTCTATGACTCAGAACAAAATATTTAACAGCTCTAAGCCTATACGTAACCTTTAGAAGACATCTGAAGGTAACCCTGTACAGTGGTACCTCTGGTTACGTACTTAATTTGTTCCGGAGGTCCGTTCTTAACCTGAAACTGTTCTTAACCTGAGTTACCACTTTAGCTAATGGGGCCTCCCGCTGCTGCTGCGCCGCCACCACGCGATTTCTGTTCTCCTCCTGAAGCAAAGTTCTTAACCTGAGGTACTATTTCTGGGTTAGCGGAGTCTGTAACCTGAAGCGTCTGTAACCCAAGGTACTACTGTATAGGGAAGCTTTTTAATGTTTAATGCTTTATTATGTTTTTATATACAGTGGTATCTTGGTTCTCGAACTTAATCCATTCTGGGAGTCCATTCGACTCCCGAAACCATTTGAAAACCAAGGTGCGGCTTCTGGTTGGCTGCAGGAGCTTCCTGCACTCAAGTGGAAGCTGGGTCGGACATTCGGCTTCTGAAAAACATTTGTGAACCAGAACACTTACTTCCGGGCTTGCGGCGTTTGGGAGCCGATTTGTTCGGAAGCCAAGCTGTTCGAGTACCAAGGTACCACTGTATGTTGGAAGCCATCCAGAGTGCCTGGGGCTAGCTAGTCAGATGGGTGGAGTACAAATAAAAATTGTTGTTGTATTCCCATGCTTCACTTTGCTGCATGTTCTTTGTTTTGACACCTCTTCTGGGACTCTCTCTACCATAGTATTCTGCCCTGTGTTTAGATCTAGGGACACAGCAATTTCTTTTACTTAATAACCAGTCGCAAACTCTGAGACACTTCCAATAACCTCCATACAGAAATGTTCATGCCTTGCCTTCAATTTTTATTGACCCGAACACGCTCAAAGGGTATTCAACGAAACGGGAGAGGTTGCCGTTTGCTCCTTTCAGGAGCCCGTCCCCACTTAAAGGCGCCTTCAGCTGGCAATGGTGGGTGGTGTTGCATCGAGCCCTCCCCTCCCCCTGTCCGCCAAGAGAGGGGGATTGTGGGAGAAGGGTTCGTGGTGGCCCAGGCTGGCGCCACCGCTGCCTCCTGCCAGCTTCTCGTAGTCCGGATTCGGCTGCAGGGACCTCTGCTGGTGCTTCCTCTCCCAGATGCTCTTGCGCTGCTTGTGGGGGTCGCTGCCCCCCTGCCCTGCCGGTCCCTGGCTGGAACTGCCCCTGCTGTGGCTGAGAGACATCCTGTTGGCCAGAACATCCTTTCTGGAGATGCCTTGGGATGCGGAGAAGGGGTGGTTGGGCTGGTCGGGGTTGTGTTCCGGGCTGGGCAGCGGAGGGCTGACCAGGTAAACATACACTTCGGCCTGCTGTGCCGCAGGCAAACGCTGCTGCCACTCTGGCCCGAGGCGGTGCCGTGGCCCTCTTGGGGAATGCGGGTAGGGGTACTCCTCGCCGTTGAGGTGGGTCCTGGACGCCGCATCCGAAGCCAGGGCAGAGTACACCACCCGCCTAGGGCCCGGCAAGATGGGGCTGGGAATGAAATTTGTCTCGCTGGACTGGCGGTTGAAATGCTCATGAGGGGCTTCCGGGCAGCGGGGAGCAGGCTCCTCAGTGTTCATGCCCACCGAGTGCTGCAGGAACCTCTGCCCCTGGGCACCCTCCCTGGCGATGTCCGAGCTGTGCTGCTTGTCGCCGGTGGCTCTTTGGTGGCTCCGCGCGTGGGCCCCGCAGCGGGCCAAGCTGCTTGCGGCCTCGGCGGCACGCTGCTGGGGGCTGAAGTTGAAACGCACCCAGGAGGCGACGGACCCGGCGGGGCACGCCGGCTGGGGGGTTTCGGTGTCTGAGGGGTGGGAGCTGCATTGGCTGCTTCGACGGCGTTGCGGGCTCCTGCACCAACTGGCCTTCTTGTCGTCTGTGTCGTGGTGGCTGGACCACTCGCCGGAGTAGTAGGCCTTGCTCTTGCGGCCGCCCTGCGAGCAGCACGCTTTGGGCTCCTGCAGGCTGCTCATCTTCACCGTGACTTTGACGGGGTCCACGATGCAGCGGAAGCGCATGCTGGAGAGCTTCTTGCGGCCTCTGAGCAGCAGCGACTCCTTCCACAGTCTCTTGCTGCTGGAGAGGACCTTCATGGTCTTCAGAAGTTGGCCGCCTGAGGAAAAGGAAGGCGGAGAAGTGTGAGGGTGGTTAGAACACTTGGGAGCATCACTAGGAGGAAAAGGAGGCTGCTTCCCTGGCCGTTGCTTTAAAGTGCCTGTGTTTCTCAAATTTGGGTCCTCGGCTGTTGTTGGACTACAACTCCCATCATCCCTAACTAGCAGGACCCGGGGTCTGGGATGATGGGAGTTGTGGTCCAACAACAGCTGGGAACCCAAGGTTGAGAAACACTGCATGGGTGAAGGACATGGCTCAGGGACCTAACGTGGCCCTCCAAACCGCTCTGTCTGGTCCTTAGGACTCTCATCAGCCATGCCTCCCCTCCCTAGGTCACAGCCTGCACCAGCCCTGCTTTGCACTCTCCTAAGTATGTGTCCTTGAACTCTGATAATGCTTCTTTTTTCTTTCTTCTGCCTGAGTGTGGGTGAGATCATGTGTAAACACTAGCCTGCTGCATAAAGGGTAATATTCACATTTCCGCTTTTGCTTCTGGACCCAGTCATGACTGACATGCAGCCCCCAGAAAGTTTACCAGAATGGAAAGCGGACTTCAGGCTGTAAAAGTGGACCTCACCCCCAATTTAAACTTTGTAAGTTAATTTATGGAATCCCATATCAAGCAAAGCCTGGTTCGCTTTCCTGAGCAGGCTGTTTGGTGGAACAAGCAAAGAAATGATAATGGAATAGGGGGAAGGGTCCCAAGGAGAGGGGTGGGGATGTCTCAAAAGTGAAGAGAATTTAACAGCCCAATTCCCAGGACTCTTTGAGTGAAGCCATGGTAGTATACAACCATAACTTTGTGTCACGGACTAGCTGAATGACCAGGAGTGGTGGGAGGCACCAGTTGGGGAACCCCCTAAGGAAGCCTCATAGGAGGAAGGCTCAGAGGCCAGGGAGTGGTGGTGGGACACTGAGCACAGGTCGGAGGGAGGAGTGGTTGGATGCTGAGGAAGCAACAGGCTTTAGTGAGCAAGAGGAGCCAGGTGCAGAAAGGAGTTCAGACTCAGAAGATGAAGCAGAGGAAGAGGGAAAGGAGGCTGCAGGGGGGGGCGCCAAATGTGCCCGTTGGGTCCCAGGTTCACAGGCTTCCCCCGCCTGTGATTTTTAAGGGTCCCCCGCTGCGCCGAAGCGGGATTTGACCCTTGTTTCGTGGCGAGATTTCCTCCGATCGAGGAAATCCGCCATTAACCGCTGGCGCCACCTCCGGAAGTCGCATCCCAGGAGCTTTCTGGTCCTACTGTACTAAGCTCCTCTCCCCCCTTGTCTCCAAGGACAGGGAGGGCTATGTGTGTCACAGAATAAGTGGCACAGATTCCCTCCCCGTCCCCACCCCACATAATCTGAAGCTGCTTGGAAAACATCCAGCAGGGCAGGAGACTGAGAGGGAAACAGCAGGCGGAGACCTTCAGTCCTGGCAGCTGTTTCATAGGGGCCAGCCCTGTTTGTAGGGATTGCTGCCTTGTATGGTGTTTCCTTGAATAAAGAGTTAACTTCTCTGCTCGTCTCTTGAGTGCTGACCTGCATCTGAACCAGTCCTAAAACTTTGTAGGGGAGGAAAGGGAAGGCTCCAGATTGAAGGGCACCCTTGGCAATATGCCCCCTGGTGCACCCCCCCCCCCGTATATAGGTGACTGCCCCCACCCCGCTGTCCAAGCCATGGGCTAACCTGGTGATATTGGAAGGAAAGATGTAAGCAGCCGTTTGAGCTTTCCCAAAAAGCTTTCATTGGGATAACTGTAGGGAATTTCAAGTGGCTGCTTGTTGACCCAGTACTCTGCTAGGGGTTCAGCATCAGTGCGCCTTGCCAGAGTGTTGGTTTTGCAGGGCCTGAGTGCAGATCTGCGCAGGGGTACTCAACACAGATGATAGGGACTACAATGCCCATCAGCCAGGATGCCCAATGGGAATGATGGGAGTTGTAGTCCGTAATGTTTTGGGGGTGGGGAGAACCACACTAGCTATCCCTGTGTGGTAAGACATTTCTTTATTCAGTCTCTCCTCACCACTCTTGCCCTCTTTCAGTTGTGCTAGCTAACGAATTATTAGCAATCGAGTCTTAGCTAACAGACTCCAACTTTCTAAGCATCCCAGAGTAATAAAACTGCACATTTACAAGTATTTCCTTTCTCTTTCCAGTTTTCATTCTCTCTCTCTCTCTCTCTCTCTCTCTCACACACACACACACACACACACACTTCTTTGGCCAAAACACCAGGTTGTTTGGTATTGTTGGGAGGTTTGAGCACCCAAAGATACTCAAGCTTTTCCCACTTTCGACTGTTTCCTTGACTATTAACTCCCCCCCCCCTTGATATTTCTAGCTGTGTGGGTACCAGCAAATACTTTTCCAGTTTCAACACCGTGATTTCCGTGGCCTGGGAGAAACAGAAGAGCTGGAAAACGGGACAGGAGCATAATCCTAAGAACTTGAGGGACCAAAGGAAACGGGATATCATCCTCATCATCACACACCTCTTTCTCATCTAAAACTTACCTTTTTTGAAGCAAGAGTCATGTATTTTCCTCATTAATGGAGAGATGCTAATCCAACCCTGGAGAGAAGAAAAAGGCAAATGTCACTGTACTGCTCAGCAGCCACTATTTAGTGGCTGTTCCGCTTTGCAAACCTTTCGTTGGAGTTAACCCTTGGTGCTTCCAACAGCACACCCAAGGACACCCATAACGCCCTTCATCTTTGGCCCAGAGCTTACCAAGGAAATCAGTCTGACGGCATATTCCAGTAAAGCGAGAAGTCCCAGCACGATCAGGATGGTGGCTAGCAGCTTCTGGTGCGTCTCGCCGAAAGGGAGGCAGCTGCTGTAGACCTTGTCCCCTGGCACAGCCATAGCTGGAAGGCGGCGGGAAACCGGTAGCTGGAAGTCAGTGCAGCATCGTTCCACTCATCTCCCCCTTGCCCTGCTCCCTCTGCCGCAGCCAGAGCAAGCAGCCGCTGCAGCCGTGGTGGGTGGTGGAGGGTGCTCAGAGGGTTGCTAGAGGCGGTGTGTTAGCAGCACAGGCCTTTGTGACAAGAGTCCTGTGTCATGCATTGCTCAAATGTGTGAGTCAGGTGAGGGATTGTCTTGGATGGACCAATCAGGAGCGTTGCTTTTGAGGGTCACTGCAGTCAGTCAGGCCCTGGTCTATGCATTTTGACAATATGGATATTGCACAATTTTCTCTCTTTTTTTCAAATTTTTTAAAATTGATTTTCAAAAATTCAAAACAAAACAAACAGACAAACAGACAAAAATACATACATCCTATTTAACTCTTGGTAACATTATTAAGTGACTTCCTCGAATCCCCTTGGTTTAATTTCTTTATATATCATTTTAACAGTTTTCCAAAATCGAATTCCTCAAAAAATTAACTTGATCACTTAACATCTTTCATTCTTTCAAATCTGACTTTAAACATCATAAATCTTATCCTTACATATTTGAATTCTAAGCCTATCTATTATTTGCAAGCTTTTCCAATTAAGTTATCTTAACATATTTAGCTAAATAATCTTTAAATTTCATCTATTTTTCCTGGTACTCCTCCTCCTTCTGGTTGCGGACTCTTCCAGTCAGGTCAGCCAGCTCCCCAAAATCCATCATCTTCATCTGCCAATCTTCCACTGTTGGTACTTCCTGTATTTTCCAATTCTTCGCTAACAAAATTCTTGCTGCAGATATTGTACAATTTTCAGCTCATTCTATATATAAACAAACTATCAATCTAGCTCAGACGATAGACTGTCCGACTCTACATTGCAGAATTGTGGGTTCAAGCTCCACACTGGGCAAAAGATTTCCTGAACTGCAGGGCTTTGTATTAGATGGTTCTTGGGGTCCCTTCCAATTCTACAGTGCTGTGATTCTATGAAACACAGCGATCGATACCCATTGGTTAAAATATAACGTGTGTCACCCTGAGTGCGGGAAATTGCAGTCAGAACTAGTAAACTCAACTCTTAAGAGGTCAAGACCATAGAGTGAGCTGTTTTCTCAGACTTACCTAAGTCAGGTCTCCTCATCATTCTCTCCCATGATGTGAAGTTGACCAGGCAACAAGCCCAGGCCTCGTCCTCTTAAGTATTTTTCTGTATTTGGTAACCCAGGAAGTTTCTGCATGTGTTCCTCTTGCTGAATCTGACCAAGAAATAATCAGACCTTTGGAGTTTGTAAGTAAAGCATTTAAACTTACTAATGGTGTGGTCTGTTCATTGCGAGAGGGGTAGTGGCGGGTGGTGGTGGTGGTGGCTGTAAGTGGACCAAATGGGATACTGTATTAAAAGGGTCTAACAGCCTATATTCCTAACACTTCACTGTTGCACATTTTATGACTTTTAAACTCTGCTGGGGCTCTGTTACAGGGCTTTGGATCTAGGGATACAGCCAAGTCTTTTATTAATTACCCCATATGGGTGATCTATATTTTCCCACCACACTGTGCTCAGTGGAGGAAGAGGGGGAATTGCCTGTGATTTTCTGCATGAGGCACATGTGTATCAGTCCCCATAAATACGGTGTTTTGTACATTACACAAAGGCCAACTGGTGTTTGCCCGTGAAGTGTCTTTATCATGTATTTTGTGCTTGTAAATAGCATTTTTACTTTGTGAACTGCCCTGAGGGGCGCTCTACAAATTTAATAAACAAATGCGTGCTCAAGAGTCAGTGCTAACCAACAATCGCTTCTGATGTCTTCTTGCACAATACATGTGTTGGCAAACACGTCTCTCTTGCATTCCATTTTCCATTGTTACACTTTAAAGATCTCAGGTGCCCGACGAAAGAAAATGGAATTTGCGAAGTGGTTTTTCCGTGCACCCAGTGTCATAAGGGCAAGCGTGTTCCATGCAGATTGGAAACGCCTGCTGCGCAAACCTGTGCATGTTCCAAAATTTCTGATCTGCACCATCATGTCTGCAACCTCATTTGTTTAAGTCAGACAAAAGATGCAACAGCCGGCGTTGTTGGCTTCCTAAAGGGAGCACATTTTCTCCTACTGACTGATTAATTACTCGGTGAATGCATTCAGCTTGAAGAGACACTTTAATTATTCAGGGGCTGCATGGATGCTAATGTAGTGTGTGTGTGTGTGTGTGTGTGTGTGTGTGTGTGTGTCTTTTGAGTCTGCCGGATCTTGTCACGTGAAGCCAAGCCCCTGGCTTTTGTGTAGGCAAGGAAATGTTTCTGAAAGCTGCTTCCCTGGACCAGGTACCAGGCGAAAGTAATGCAACAGCTCTAGAGAGGAAGGGCTTTGCTTATTCTTCCACTGCCTTTTGGGAACTTTGAAAGGAACAGCTGGTGTGGGCCTAAAACCCTCCTATGATATGTAAGAAAGTGCCTTAACTCTGTTCGTCCTGGAGAAGCAGGCATGGGGGAGATGACATACTTTAGGGTGGAGAGATGAGATTTCCCTTCCAGATTTACTTATTTATGGTGTATAAATAACGGGTGAGTAGGCACGGCCGTTTTCATAGGGCTCGTGTTCCCAACAAATAACAGGGATCCTCCCTTAAAAATGTATTTCCCCCCACTGGGACTGGTGGGGTGGAAAGCATGGATACCAACAATATTGTCATTATCATCATCATCATTAATAAAACTAAAATACTGTATACTGCCCTTCATCTGTAGATCTCAGGGCAGTTCATAGCAGCTGAAAAATGAAAGATTAAAAACTCAAAATACAAAAGACAAGAACAAAAGCATAGCAAACCAGCATTAATAATAATTTTATTATTTATACCCCACCCTTCTGGCTGGGCTGCCTCAGCCAATCTAGGCAGCTTACAGCGTATATAAAAACATAATAAAGCATTAAACTTTAAAAAGTTCCCTGTACAGGGCCTCCTTCAGATGTCTTTTGAAGGTTGTAGAGTTACTTATCTCCTTGACATCTGATAGGAGGTTGTTCCACGTTTGAGAAGGCCCAATAACCCGCCCTCCCTCAGTAGCCAAGGGCAAGTGTTTCTGCCCCTGTGCTCATTGCTGACGAATTCTGTAAAGACAACACTTGAGATTTAGGATGAGTGTGCCATACAAATTTAACCACGCAACAAATATAACTGTCATTTCCATTGTCTTTTAGGAGAGATTATTCTTTCTTCAAGCCTTTGAGGCAGAGCTTGCTATCCCTGTTGGTACCCGTGTTGGATTTGAAATGGGTTATAAACTGTTTTCATTGCTTTATGTGTAATTGTTAAAAACTTGCTTTTACACAGGCAATTGTTTTATATATATTTTTATTGTGTTGCATATTGCTTTGAGATGCCCCATCAGAAGCAATTCATTCGTAAATGAAATAACTAACCTATGTATCCCGTTGCGATTACTGAAGGCGCCCCTTCATGACGTTGTTGTTTTTTATAAGGTGGGGTGCAAAGAGAGTACAGAGGTCCCTCCACCAATAGGGAGGGCATGTGTCCTACCTTACAAAGGGCAGTCCTCTATTTGAAGGACTGTCTGCTCCAAGTCCAGATTTAAACATACCAAACCGTAAGGATATTCTGTATCCGAGTGCCTTGGAAGTTGTTCATCAACAGCCACAGGCTCTCCTGCTGCAGTGTACTATTTTTATATTGATAGGAATTGTTTCTAAATTTGCATCTATACAGATACACTAATACATGCAAATTTTATGTAAATCTCTCTCTCTTGGTGATGCCTACATGGCCAGCCTGTTCACCAAAGTCCAGACTTTATTACCTTTCAGAAGTGTGGCAAGACCCACCTGCTTAGGAACTGAATTGATTTTGTTTTCTTGGTGCCATTTTCCTTTCTGGTTTTGATTTTCTTCTCTCCATATGCATCCAGGGTTTGGTTTTATAAAATAAAAATTTCTATACAGATAGTGGACGACCATCCCTTATATAGCGAAAATAACACCACTTGAGCATGAGGAGGTGGTAAAAGCAGGCTGTGGGGAAATCCCAAGTTTTTTCTGAAGTGCAACAAACACCATCTCCCTTTAAAAATAGGGCCATGGGAAGTGGGAAGGGTGTGGGAACTGCAAACAGACTAGGGAGGACTGAGCGTGCTCAGCAGTCATGGAATGCTAGCTGGCTGCTTGGGTGGGTGGAGAGGTGGGAAAGCAGTATATAAATACCCAAAACAAACAAAAATGGTGGTGGAATGGAATATCCTGAAAGAGGATCGGAACCCTGAACAGGAGCACCACAAGTCCCACTTGTAAATATATATTGCTCTTTGAATACATCAACTTTTTTTTTTTTTTTTTAGCAAAGAGGGAGAGAAAGGAATACTTATAATAGCTGCTGAAGGAGTTGGGAGCTAATCCTGGAACACAATGGGAAAGCACTTGACGCGATTGCAGCAGTCACCTATAATTATCAGGAAAATAAAAATAAGGCATCTGACTTCAGAGGGGGCTTGTTGTTTCCTGGTGTCAATAAAGCCGAAAGTCATGGAAGTCTGTGTTGTCTTTTTTTTTTCTTGTTTCATTTTTGCTTTTATTAGCACCCAATAAACTGAGGCCTCCAGAAGCATCAACGCAGTTAAGTTTCAACGGATACAAATGCTGCCATCTTCTGGTCCAAATAAAGGTTTACAACTGCCAATGTAAGGTCATTTATTTACCCAGTGCAAGATGCAGCTTTTAATCATCGTCTGTTGATGGAGAGTCCACTGGTGCCCAAGGAAGTTGGTTCCATTGTGAAACAGCGCTTACCTTTCAAGAAATTCTCCTAAGGTTTAGCATCATGCATCTGACAAAGTGGGCTTTGACTCAATAGGTTTTATGCCGCAACAGGCTTATTAATCTTTTGAGGTCCCTCCTGGATTCTTTGCTCTTGCAGAGTAGAAGCGGCTATTTCCCTTCTGCAAAGCTTATAGAAAGCTAAACGGCAGTCTGGCCATGTGACTGTTCTGATCTCACTTGTGCTTTTTTTTGCAGGCTTTGGGGCTCAATCCACACAGCCACCAGAGGGATATGGGGAGTGAACGGGCAGTTGCTACTGCCAGGAGGACAAGATGAGCCCATTCAGGAAGAATGCTTGCTGAGGATTGAGACCCACACAAAACTAAGTGGGCCAATAATGTATTAAAAAAATAAACTTTGAATAGCTTAAAAGTGCAATCTTATGTCCACTCCAAAGCAAGCCCCATCGAGTTCAATGGGTCTTACTCCCAGGTAAATGAACATAGGATTGCAGCCCAAAAGTCTCTTTTATGCAATATTTAAAGATAACAAGAATCCAAATTGGTATTTGTGCACATCTTAAGATTATGTATCTATAAATACTAGATCAAATATCCAGTAACTTTCCCAGCAAGCAATTCACTGGATTCCAATATATTGTCTTTATAATACTTTGTGTTACTGGGTAGGCCATTTTGGCAAACACATTTGGGCGATGTTATAACGTGCCTTAATTTTTTGTCTTTAGAAGAAAGGTGGGGTGTAATTTCATTAAATTATCTAAGAAGAGGAGATAAATTGGTAAAGAATTCAATGCAATGCACTCTCTTCTCTTCTCTCCTCACAACCACTGGGGGAGAAAGCACAGAATTAACGTAAGATAGCCATCTTGCACATTTTATTTTGCTATAAATTCAAGTGACATGACAGACTGCTTTTTCTAGCAGATATAGTCTTAAACCAATAAGCCAGGGATCACAGTTATTCCTAGTTGCATATCATATTCACACCACAGGTCAGATTTATACAAGAATGTCACATAAATTCAAGTTTTACTGCTTGCGACCAGTCCTGTGATCCATTTATTTTTGTCATCAAGATTACAACGTGTGGCATATTACATGGGGTGGAGGGTGGGACGTGTGTGTGTGTGCTGGTGGGCCAGATTTTTTTTTATAAATGAAGGTTGTTACTTCTCTTCAATGGAAGTCATAAATTTGACTACTTTCAATCTGGATTACGACTGGATTCTTACATACGTCAAAAGATTGAGAATACTCATTTGGAGCGCAAGATCACTGGAAAATGTGCTTCGAGCATTAATGTGCTAGTGGAAAAAACTTTTCAAAAGGTCTCAAAATTAGGTCTGATTCACACCAATAGGCCGAAGAGCTGGTAAAACTGCAGTGGACTGTTTCATTTCAGACTGAGAGCACATGGCTGAACATATCTTCATGAAAGAATAGAAAAATCAAGCACATAGAAAACCAGCATATCAGAGATAAGGCTGGATTCTGATGCACAGAATTTATGGTGATGGTTAAGGGAAGGACATTTGGTTATGATCCGCTATCTACAATCTGTCGTGGTACAGTCCACTTACCACCTCATAAAGCCCTTGTAGATCACATAAATTCATTAGAAGGCAGGGCTTACACAGAGTTAACCCTTGGACAGCGCAGGAATATTACCATAAATACAACCTAGAACATGTACAATGGATCACAAAGATTGGTCCAATTGTACACCACCCACTTAAATGTGGCTAGCTGCAGAAGGCCTTTGAACATCCAGCCCAGATTAACTAGCAATACTATTTTGAATGAAAGAGCAAGGGAGCATGAACAAAATTCTTTCCCCCTTTCTCCTTGCAATAAGCCAATTTATGGTAAGAAGCAAGGCCTGAATGATGAAGGGAAGGGAACGCCAGAGGCTTTTCCTCAGGCATAAACTAAACCAACACACATTAGAAAAAGCTAGGATTCAGCTTCGGTGTCTTTTGTCATGGCCGTTTCTTATTGTGACTGGCACAGAGGGTGGTTGCACACAGCAGACCTTAAGGCAGAGCAGTGAAGATGCAGGAATGTATCGCAACAGAAAATGATTATTTTTGGCCAAGGGAGGGGTAGAGGAAGAGGGAGACACCAGGGATGGCAAGCCTCCAGGCATTGTGCAAGTAGGGAGCCTTCTTCAGATTAACTAGCTTGCTGAGGAAGAGCTGCTTTCTTACAGGATCACCTCCCCCTTCATGCAGGGTGCTTGCTGGAACCACTGATCCTCACCATCACATGAAAAGTTCGTTATGCAATACAGATGTTTCTACGTGCACATTTCAGGGGAACAGCAGTAGTCCTGGGCAGACCATTATTCATCTCTTTAACATACTGTATTTACATCTCACATTTTTCCCATCAGGAAACGCAAGGTGATGCACATGAGGTTCTCAAGCAGTCTCCTATCCATGCAGGCACTGACCAGAACGGACCCATCGTGCACCCTCAGACTATGTCAGGGATAAGGATGCTTTTACACCTTTACTGATCATGGAAGGAAGCCCCTTGCTAAGCCTCCAATGAATTTTTCAAGGTGCCATGGAAACTACAGAGCTAGGGAAACAAACTGGAGACTGTTTTGTTCTTGGCAAGGATGGAGAAGGCAGATGATACAATTTTGCACCTGTTGTTCAGCTATGTGAGCCTTTGGGTGCACATTTTTAAGCTACAGGTGATTGTCTGCCTGTTAATGTTCCATAGCTCAGTTTAAAGCGTCTGCTAGTAGTATCATGTGCCATAACTGTGCAATTCTATGCAAGTTGACTCAAAAATACGCCCTTGTATAAGCAGGTAGAAATGTTGACATAGGTCAACCCATAGGAGGAGAGTTTAAGGAAAACCAGAGGCAGTTCCCACAGAACAAAAACATATCGATAAAAAGGTTTAGGAGGAGAAGAAAAATAAAAACCCAGCAGTATAGTTTAAGCATTTTGGCTGCTACAGGTAAGATGACACAAGGAAGAAGCCCAACTGGCAAGCAAGGCTAGCTAACTTCTGGGTAGAGAGACACCTTCCTCAGTTGAAGTTCCTGTGGTACCTTCAAAACAAAAAAAGAACAAGAGGACTCGTAAGGGTGCTTATTTATAAAACTCAACTCCAGCCCTCAAAGACCTTAGATTAGAAATAGAATAGGGAGGCACTCCAGGGGCTAATTCATTCAACCTTGTTCCACTAGTGTCCAAGCAAACATTCAAGGAGCATAACAGCCCTGAAGAGTTGTGTACAGATAAGATTTCTATTGAAACACTGGAAAGGAGACAGCGGGGAGAGAACATTTTACAGCATAAATCCTAGCACAAAGGCAAACAACAGTGCCGTTGTTTTGGTTTTTTAAAGGAAGCACTAACAAGCCTGTAGGGCTTAGAAATAACTTCGCAGACAGACTGAGCCACACCATCCTGCTAATTCAAGCACTTCGGTTTAACAGGATGGCAAAAGGGACTGGCAATTCCTACTTTCCCTTACTCACTTTTCTTCTCCGCTTCTACAGGGATGCTACATGAATTTGTTTATTTGCTGCATTTAGAGCCTTAACAACTTAATACATATAAGTTTCATAAAATACATTTCATCTATTTTGCAAAATAAATAAATCTAGACAGCCACAGGCTAATCTTCCCTACTGTATAGGGACTGACTCCTATACGTTTGATTCTTTAGGATATTTTTTATTTTAGTTTTCATGCTGTGTTTGGGGAAATTCTGCAGCTCTTTTTGAAGCCAGTTCCTTAAGAAGATGCACAACTGACAACAACTTTCCTGAAATATAGGTTGGACATTTCAAGTGATCTTCTCCCTGAAATCTGGAGTTCCATAGGAATGATAGGAGTATTGATTGATATGGGGGGCAATGTTGATGTTCAATAGGCCTGGGCAGTGTCCCGCATGAACTCAGCATGCACTGCAGAATAAATTCCAGAATCTCTTACAGCAAGGTGGAGATGTTCATAAATAGCTGAGAACTAGTAGCTGCGCTCATTGGTTTTGGGACAACATGGAAATATCATAAATAAGCAGTGTATTCTGTACCCATTTGCTAAAACAAAAATGCTATAATTTTTTAAAAAACAGCAATATAGACCCTTCAATAGAGCTTAAGAACCTTATTTAGTTATAAATCAAGCTTTCAGTGATAACTATTTTTTATATGAAATATCTGGTGTGCAAATGGGAAACTTGATTTAAAACTTCAATTTAAAGCAGTCCACTCCTCGTTTATCACGTTCATCTCAAAATAACTATGAAGGCTACAGGAAGAATCCACTCTCGTTTTCTGCCTCATCCACAAAGCCAAGACACTTATCTTTAGAAAGCTACATCAGCTAATGCACAAAATGCTCTAACAGCATGCATAAAAAGGCAATCAAACTCTGCTTAACTCTGGACTTGCTCTCAAATTGTTCTCCTCACTCACAAAGCACAGAAACGTAATGCAAGTGATACTCCCTGCAGGTGCATCAAAAGGTAAACAGAATATACAGATTCCTGAATGAGGGCATTTCTGAAGGAATGTGCTCATATAATCAACTAAAACTCATACGAAAATAGCAGCCTGCTACCTTGTTATAAAGGTCTTTGGGGAACCAAGTTTATCATTTCAGCTCTATCGGGTTCCTACGCTATACTCATAACTTGCTCCCAAGGATAAAAACAAAGAGGGTGGTAAAAAGAAAGGAAGATCTGGATCTGTTCCAAGTTCCCCTTTCAGTATGGATTTGCAAAGTGGTTGTAAATAAGTTGCTTTATCAGGCATGGACCTGGGTTTCACATACACAAAAAGGAAGTAAAGGACCGATTCATATCTGAATGTCAATATATATCACCACGCGAGTGCCCCAGGAGAGAACAGCAACCATCTCACCAAATGTAGTCAGGCTAGCAAATAAGCATGATGCGTAAAACTGCGTAATACAAACATAATGCTAAGCTTTCTTGCAAAAGCGAGCCAGAATTACAGAGTAAAATCCAGTCTGCTCCTGCAACTTCACCAACCATTTTGGAAGGAACATCAATACTGCATGTGTCGATCGTGGGGTTTCACTAAATTGCCACGCCACTCACTAAAGAAAGGGAAATATATACTATGCTCAATTCACTACACAGATAAGCAGGCGATAGCTCTAGTGAAGCCAGGGAATATTTGCTCTGCACAGGTCACACACGTACACACACCGTTGTTACCTGCTAGGCTTCTGACCTCCACAAGATTTAACTGCAAAATGAAAGATGTTGCTTTTATAATCAGAAAGGATAAGCATTAAGTCCGCAATAGTCCATTTGCAGTTCAGCAGAACACGAACGCTAAAAAAACAAACAAACACCCGGCCCTACCAAAGAAGGCAAGAACTGCTAGTGGCTAAAAGTTAACTACATGACAACTAGAAGCAGCACGAGGGGAGCTTGCCTTGAGGAAAAGATTGAGCTGATAGTCAAAGTAATGAATTTGGCACTGGAAGCTTTTAATTCTGTATCAGTTTCACCTCTTGAGATGTTCGATGCTATCTTATTTACTGGCTATTCAAAGTACTGTAGTTGCATCCAAAGTACTGGGTGTATACCACACTGCCATTATAAATACAGCTATACATAAGCAACATGCATCTCCAAGGCCTTCAGAGCAGACGATTCTGGGCTGGTTATACAAAATGCAGGGTATAATCTTGTCGTATGGATGCTGGTTCCCCAGGACCTTCACATATAGAATTGGCAGACACGTGATACATGGCCCTATAGGAAACTATGCCATTATTCGAAGAGGCCCATGTTGAGGTTAAGAACCTTTTAAGCAAGGTATTGGTCAAATGGTTTTCATGCATCCTTGCATTTTGTGGAAAGTGGCCCTTTTGATCAGAGATTCCATAGAACCTATTTTTTGTTCTTGAATTCAGGCTATCTGTACCATAATGGAACCATCGTAGCTCATGCGTAGAGCATGTGCTTTAAGGTCCTGGGTTCAACTCAACTGGCTCTCCATTTAAAAGGATCTCTGGTGGAAGGACTCAGAAAAGCCTTTCTGTTGCAAAGCCCAGAGAGACACTGCCAGCCACAAGAGGGAATACTGGGCTAGACGGCCAAATAGTTCAACAGCTCCCTCCTATGTTCCTATCCGTGAAAAGGGAGCTACTCACATTCAACTGGCCAAACAAAAAACTATTGAAAAAGAACAGGCCTTTCACTTGCGTATCAGTGAGAGTTGGCCACTGAATTCTTTAGCTCAGCAGCAGACATTAATTTGTGAACAATACAAAACAAGAGACTGGTTGAGATTCCATGAAATCATTTAATAAGAGTAGTTTTAAATATTTTGCCTCTGATCCCTCAGTTCACCAGCGCTGACAACTGAAGTACTTACATAAGGTTTTGTTCAAATTCAAAACAGTTTTATTTAAATCATAGCGAGTTTTACAACATATGTGCTTACAGAAAAAATTCTGACCGAAGCGTATTTGTATACAAATTCAGCCCCCCCCCTCCATTCATTATAAAACGGAAATCGGCATCAAGCTTTTTGTAAGAAAATCCTTTGACGTTTTGAACAGCAGATTCCCCAATGTGAATAAGCCTGGACTAGATGCACATTACATAAGCCTCTGCACCATTTCTACTTAGTTGTGTTCCGATGAGGTTTACCCGCCTAGCGCTATGCAATATTAGTGGAGTTAGGAATGCTTTCTCTACTTGGAAATTTTTAAGACACAGATTAGGGTACAGAAGTGGTCCTATTATGTGGCACATGTATATGAAACTGTCTTTTTAGCTATGATAAGGCCCTTTCTTTTTCTTGCTACTGCAGACATGGGCACAGTGCAATGCAGAGACATTGTACTGTTCACCTGCTATCTTGCATCCAATGACCAGGCAAGAGTTCACGGAAACACAGGCACAACAGTATTTCTACATGGCACGGAGTCCCTGGGTCTGTAGTCACCTTATCCACTGTTGCATGTTAATGTATCACCAGAGAGGGCTTGTGCTATGCAACTCTATCCCCCTAGTGAGTCGCCCACATCTCAAAACCACAACCTAGGCACAGTTTGCAGTGAAATCAGAACTGAATTATTCCTAGAATGCATCAAAACTTAATTTGGGTTTATTCTGGGATTTTTTTTGCCTTCAGTACATAGCCCGCATACATGAGTAGAAAAATATGTCTAAGACCAAAAAAGGGTACACATTGGCAGCAGATTAATATTAAATTTACAATTCTATGAAAAAGAAAACCTCGGAAGAATCTAAAATCACAAAAACTGACTTTCCCCAACACTCATTAGCCCCCAATTCTCAATCCAGTAAGAAAAAAAGGTTTGCTGAGAATTATTGCAAAGCACACTTTTTCTGTAGTATTCATAAAATATTGGCAAGTACTTAGGATGCAACAACTGTTTCTTGGTCCAGTGCAGGGATTTTGCTACTATTAAGAAAACTGGCAAGTCTTCATGCAAATGTCAGGCATTCCTGGGCAGCATGGAACACACTAGTCAAAGGGTACTTTTCCAGCCCATAAGAATGTACTTTGGTAACCGTCACAGAGACCCCTGCTAAGGGTTACCAATCCAAGACAGACAACTGGAAAGAGATCAATGAGGAGGGGGCATGTGGCAAGAAAGCAGTGCTACAAGGATGGTCCGAATTATACTCACTACTTCTTATTTCTGGGTTTTAACTCTTCGGCAGCATTGCGCAGAAATATATAGTTCTTCTTTTGCGGATTATAGAATTCATGCCCCTGCAAAAATGGTTAAATACAGTTGTATTACACAGCAGTAACAAATTAAACCTTAACCAAGTATTTTATTTAACACCTTGCAAGTAAGTGGGGCTCTGGCTGCATTCAGATATTGTGCCATGGTACTAGGTGTATTTCCTTCTCTTTCTAGATATTTCAGTTTAACTGAGATGCCGAATTTCTCCAACAACATCTATTAAAAGATGCTCTCTTTACGTTTCAGCCAACTCACCTTTGACCAATCGTAACTAGACGCATATGCAAATATATTGCCGTTGTGGTTGAAGGAGCAAGCAGATATTGGCTGGTCCAGCTGTTCTGAGGTTTTTAGTTTTGTCCGCGCATCTTTATCCCAAAAGCTGAATCTGCCATCAGATCCTACCGTTGCAAGGGTGCCGTGGGCAGGGTGAAAGGCGATCCCATTAACCTTCAAAGTAATCATTTAAAATTTAATTTAAGCATTTTCACGCCACTCTTTGGAAAACATTTCGAGTGACTTACACGGTATCAGTTTGCGCTCTCGGGCTTATAACCCAAGAGACATGATAGCAAAAGAGGGATGAGGAAGGAAGAGGAAAATATTGACATTCAAACACCAGTTCCAAAAGTGAACGAAAGTCTTATATGAATCAGTTTGAAAGTTAACAGCTGAACCAACAAAGTTCGGAAAGGAAGCGAATGATGTATTTTTTAAAAAAGTCATCGCAAGCTTTGTTTAGTCATTTCAGACCAAAACAGCAAAGTTCATTCATGTAAAAAAAAGGTCTATTACTTGACAGTTTCCAATACTTCCCCAAAATACTTTATCACCCTTCCCCCACCTCCCAGTTTTATACCACTGAAGCAGACGTGACACCACAACTAGCTTTGCTCACAAAGGCAATGGTCACCGGGAAGGACTGGAGGAGGAAAGGAGATGAACCATTGTTCTTTGGTCCTTCCTCACCCACCTCACTACACTAAGCACAAGGTGGAGTCTGAACTGCTTCTTAAAAGCTGGCCCTACCAGCTGTTATCCCCAACAAACCATAGCCTCCAGGCCCAGAAAGAGGGGTAAGGCATGCTTCCCTCTTTCCAAGCCAGAAGCTCTCTCAGTGCCTATGCTACAGAATCTGGCTCCTTGTTTCGGCAAAGGTGGGGAGAACTACCACAAACAAGTTTTCCCTCCACTGACATCTGCTAGAGCTCCATAAGATGAATACTGGTCTCTGTTCCCATGGTGTCTGCCAAAAGTGACTAGGACACCCAGTTTTATGGGTGGGGACCAGGTTTTGGGCCCAACACTGCCACGTGCAACTTTAAGTTTTCCCCCACGGAAACAAAAGGTGTGTGTGCATTAGATCTTATGGTAGAAAATCAAGATATACACTCAAGCGATATCCTTGGCCTGGTAATCCCAGTATTTTCTTTGGGGGGGGGGGTTTACCCCTCCAAAATGTTTCCCAAACCGGGTCCCATTTGCTTTGTCCTAGTTAACTCAATGGAATCCGTAGCTCTAAGTCCCAGTTACTAAACATGCTAAAGCGGAACAAAATGCTAGGAGAGAATATTGGAAACTAGCTATTATATAGAGAAGTATCTGATCATCTGTCCCAAGGGCATGGGGAAATGTCATTTTCTTCACTCAAGAACGTATTTTACTGGAATAAAAAAAAAATCGGGTTGAAAATGTAGCAGGCACAAATTCTTCAGCGACTCACATTCTGATTGTTACAGATGTCAGTTTTCTGCCTTTAGACAGAAGCAAAATTTCTCTTTAGGGACAAAATGTCAAAGAACGAAGACTCCAGATTTGACATCATATCTATACTTGGTCTGGATAACTTTCAGCAGCCCTGGAGGATCCTTATTGGATGTCGTGCGAAATACTTACAGCATAGATATCCTGAGGTGCAGATGTATTTGTGCCATTGGAACGATGACATTTGAAGGTGAAGTTGTCTTTGGCACTGGAAGAAAAAAAGCATTTGTCATTTCACATTGCACGCAACAGATTGCCTACTTCTACAAGCCCATGTTCCATGCAAGCCTAAGTGGGCAGCTTGCAGCCCATTTCAAGATACTTACGGATTTGGTGGGTTAATGTAATGAATGGCTACTCTTCCTTCGATGCTTCCAAGGGCAAACCCTGTTGGCTTGTTCACTTTGTCTTTAAAGATAGCAACACAGCGGTGCTAAATGGGGGATAGAGGTTGGGTTTTATGGCACCATCTTATACATGTCTACTCCAAAGAAAATCCCACTAAAGTCAACAGGACTTATTCCCACATAAGTGTACATAGGATTGCAACTTCGGTCAGCTATCAAACAAGCCTAAAGCGTTAGCAGGGACAATGCAACATAAAAGCTACTGAACAGTTAAGAGCATGCAAAGCATTTACTTATTAGGAGAACTCTAACAGGATTTTTAAAGATTTTGCCAAAGAATTGTGTATGATTCAAATCCCAATGGGAAGAACAGGTCCAAATATTCAAGGACCTTTGGGAAATAGTTATTTCTCAGGCGTCAATTTCTGGCTGCACTCAAAGGATGAGGGCCAAGTTTCAAGTAACTCACTTTGGGTTTCTCAAACGGTAGCCCACCATGCCATAAGACAAATCTTTTCAGAAACTGAAGAAATTTTCAAAGTGATCTGCATTATGGCATGAAGGTCTGCGTGCCAAAGAAAAGAGTGTTTTACAATTCCATATGTGTAAGCTCAAGTTCTCTTAAACACTTGAAATAGCATTTTTGAATTCTAGATTATCAAATTTAAATTCCTTGCAATAAGATATATGCTGGCAAAGTCATTTTGGGGGGTTCTTCTAAGAAGCTATTCTTCCAACCAGTTTTGATTCTTATCCCTCTCAAAAGAACAGCTAAGAATAAAATTTAAGATCCCAGTAGTGATAATGACAGTTATTTATGTAAACAAATTATAGAATTTGGCCCATGATGCTTAAAAAAAAAATCTATCACATAAATAGAACAACTGCTAGAAATACTGTTTTTAAAAGTATTGATTTAGGCACAACTTAAAGAAAGCCTACTTCCTATAAATCAAGACAAGTTAACTCAAGTTTAATTATTACCTGATGCTTAAGTGGAGAGTCTATTCTTCTAAATTCAGAAGGCTGATTCTCTAACTGATAAACTATTAAGCCTCTCTCTGCAGTAGCTACAACAGCCATAGGGTATACCTGAAACAAGATAAATTAAAGTAAAAAGTAGAAAATAAACTTTTAAATTATCATCTGAATCAAAATTTACATAGTCAAAATGAACAGTAAAAGCACTTGCCTAAAATGATAACAATGATACAAAATGATACAAACTCAGCCTGTTAATTACTGTGGTAGAAAGACAGCTAAACAAATGGCAAACGACAGCATGTTTTCATGCAAACACACGCCAAAAGATCTCTTACTTACTACATCAGCACAGTAGCACCGCTCAGGCAACTGTAGGGTCATCATTGGCGTGGGCGATCGGGTGTCCCAGAACTAAAAAATGAAAAACATCAACAATCCCACACATAAGGTATTATACAGGCTATCTTAGCAAAACTGACTATGCCGTCTCCGTGTCCTTAACTAAGACTGGTTCTGGAAAGCCTGTGTATTGCAAGTCAATACAACGATGAATGGGGTGAGGGGCTTTGGTTCAAAGATGGTCTTAAGGATGAACTGAGTGTATGGGGTTTGTCCCAATCTTTGCAAGCTGAAATAATAGTGACTGTGCTCAAAGCATTTCAGTGCGCTTTTACACACTGAAGTCATATTAATAACAGATACTACTATATAAACAAGCACTGTATAGCTGGCTAAGGACTTTGGGCATTTCACATGCATTCTTTATCATTCTTAGAGCAACCTTTTAAGGGAGGAACTGGGATTACTCCTATGATACAAACTAGGGCACCAAAGGACCTTTAACAGTCATTTATTGAGGGAGCTCATGGCCTCGCAGGATTACAACCAGGCGCTTCCAGTTCATACCTCACACCCTCAAGCAGAAATGTTGGGCACACTTATTTGGAAGAAAGGCCCACTGAATGCAGCAGGGCTTGCTTCTAAGTAAACATGGATACAATTGTACCACATACAATAATGCTACAAACAAAACAAAACACGGAACTCACAATTTTCTGCATCATACATGCTACGCAAAATCTGCTGAAAACATTTTCAAATATGTAGAATAGCGTTAATGCAAACAAAATATTGACATCTTACCTTCAGAGTTTTATCCCAGCTTCCAGTCATCACACAGCTATAATTTGGTGCTTTAATCCAATGGACAGTCTTTACAGGAGCTTCATGCTAAAGGACAAGGAGGTTTTAAAAGATGTCTAGAATAAGGCTCATTCATGCATTTTAGGGTGGGTGCAGACATAACTGGAATGAAGACCGCTGCTTTTTCTTCTTTTGCAAAGCAAGCCTGGTCTCGCCTTGTACCTTCTCTTTTGATGGACACAGCAATGCAAAGCAAACACCAATCACATTAGCATTCTTGCACTTCCCCCCATTTCACACAGGCATGGGAGGATAGAGCAAAGTTCTGCCTTTTGCAAAACTTAGGGCATATAAAGGGTACTGCAGAGCTTTTCTCTCCTTTCTTCTTACAAGATCTGTTTGACGCATCTATGGAGAAAATTGATGGGTGAACCTGGAGTGTACTAAGAATTAAATATATACCCCTGTATCCATGGGAAATAGGTTGTGTAGGCTTGGTCCACTTTTAGTTTAGCCTACCCACTACTAGAATGTGACCCCTGACAGCTTTCTATTAAGGTAATGCAGACCATGCGTAAGAAAGCTTCCCCATTCTGATGAAGATGGATTAAAACGCTCAACATTTATCTGAATAGCACTTCATTTAAATACACTTCTATTCAGCTTTTCTATAAAAGACTATGAAAAAAATCATACCTGTGCAATTTGTATTGCCTGGTTGCTGTTGAGATCCCACATTTTGGCAGTTTTATCACAAGATGCTGTAAACACTTTACTCCCATCCTATATAACGACAAGAGAAGGTGTGGGTGGGAAATATAAATTCCGTAGTATTTTATCTGTTTCTAAAATACATGTCCGAGTGTGACAGCATATCAAGGGCATAGATCTCCTGATATTGTAGAAAAGAACATTAGAATTTTCAGGACAGGATCATGCCATTTAGTGGATGCAGGTTATTCTAAAGAGGTTTTTCCACCCAACTCTTCCATCCTTCTCCACTGAAGGAGAAGCTATATAGCCTTCAGATTTCCCAAAGAAACATTACAGATCTTTAAGAATACTTCTTGTGCAATAAAAGGACGTACGTCACTCCAGCAAACGTCTAGCACAGGCCCTGTGTGCATTTGCTGTGCTTTTGGAATTGTCTGGCCGTTATCCTGGACTTCCCAACAACGAACCTGAAGAGACAGAATAATTTTAAAGTAAGATTCATTTGTACACCACTCTTAATGTACAGCTGTTCACACTGTTTGCCCTTAAAACTGTCAGGAGCTCGTCCTACACTTGAGTAGGACCCTGGTAGAGACACATGCCCGACTGGCATGTTCTCTCCCTCCTGGTTGTTCATTTGGGAGCTTCAAGCTTTCTTCAGGCTGAACATCACAGCAACCGATGCCAACAGACACCAGCACACTTAGGAATCCGCAGAGTCTTCGCAACTCAGCATTTTGGCTAATCTACTTTATTTACATATAAACACACACAGAGCACTGCAACATGGCTCCCTCTCTCTCTAGCATCAGATAGCAAAGAGAAAGAACAAAGGACAATAGTCCCACTTCATGGAACACAGTAACACCAACATCCTGTCTCCGTCACTTCCCACTCTGTGGAGTCAAAACATACATCGTCATGTGATAGACAACAATCCTATGACTGCAATCATGGAGCAGGAATTCTAACAAAAACAACCCTGAAGTCTTGTGAGTTTTCCATTTTACATCAAGACAATGGAGGTAGTGAGAACCCTTTCCTTAGGTTTTTAATTAAGGCTTTTGATTTCCACCTTAGCCACTGGGCTGCAATAATTCTCAACATTACTCTAAATATTATTGGGTTTTTTTCAGGTGTTTTGAAAACACTAGGCCAAAGAACCTCCTGGTGAACTGAAGCTGCTTTATGAAAGCATCAATAAATTTGCTGCTTTTAAGGTGCCACAGGACTTTTATTTTTGCTACAATAGATGCAAACCTAATCCTATGAATGCTTACTCCCAGGAGTAAGTACCACTGTTCAAAAAAGCTTATTAAGTATGAATAAGACTGCAGTATAGCATGACTATTATTTTAGAATTTGCCTTCTAAAACAACTTTATTCGAAACAGATGCACCAACCAAAGCAGGATACCTTGAGGCCACAATGCAATATCCACTTACTTGGAAGTAAGACCCAGTGAACTCCATGGGACTTACTTCTGAGCAGACATGTATAACATTGTACCATTAGAAAAGAGTGAACAATTAATGCACACAAGGATGTTATGTCAACATCTGTGTGTCCAGAGAAATGCAAGCTAAGATACTACTCCTACCTCTATTTTTCATCAAATTGTTAATGTTTTTTAACAATTAAATTATTTTGGAATGTTTTATGGGAAGTGATTCATATACAAAATAAATCATCATTAGTCTCTATTCCAATAACAGGAGATGTTCCTTGTTAACAGGAGGCAACCAATATTTTTTAAAACAACATTTAAATTGTTAATGCTTTTTTATAGTCTTTGAGACAGACTTGTCTCAAAGAGTGGTACACAGTTGCTTTAAACATTAAGATTATCACATTTTGTTTGCAAGAAGCAGCTGCCCATATTCAGTACAAATAATGCAGGCAAAGTGCATGGTATGCCTCAATACCTACTTTCATTTGTTACTTACATCATTTGCCCATGATCCTGCAATAAGGAAATTCCCCGGCAATGTTGGTGGGCTGAAAGCTAAACAGCCTATGCTGTCATCAGGTGGTGAAGTAACTTCAATATCCTAGAACAGAAATCAAAGTTAGAAGTAATTTATCTGCCTGGAGACACGTCTAAAATAATATCATTACACTGCCTCCACTGGAGGATTTATTTCCAATTTATTTCACTCCCGATACCATGTGCTCAGATCGTGAAGCTGAGAGCTGAGGCTCCAATACTTTGGCCACCTCATGAGAAGGGAAGACTCCCTGGAAAAGACCCTGATGTTGGGAAAGATGGAGGGCGCAAGGAGAAGGGGGCGACAGAGGACGAGATGGTTGGACAGTGTTCTCGAAGCTACAAACATGAGTCTGACCAAACTGCGGGAGACAGTGGAAGACAGAAGTGCCTGGCGTGCTCTGGTCTATGGGGTCACGAAGAGTCGGACACGACTAAACGACTAAACAACAACACCATGTGCTATCTTGAACATCAAGTCCCCAACTCAAAGTAGCAATTCTCAGCGGGTATTCTATTAACAGGCAAACACCCATATATGTACATCCATCAATTAAACTTAACCTCTTCCAGCTGAACAAGCTAGCTTACAGGCTTGCTCTTAAAATCCTATTTCTCTTATATATACAGCAGCATATATAACCACAGGGGGTGCACGAAAAGGGGGCTGCAGAACACAAGGAGAGGGGGCATGGAAAAGTGGGTGGTCTATGTGCAATGGAGAGTTGAGAAAAGGAGGACGGAAGACAAATCTGAGTGAATATGAAAACGGTGGGCACAAGGCGGGGTTGCAAAAAAGGAGGGACAGGTGACATGGGAATGGGAGTGAAGATGAAAGTGGGGTTATGAAAAGGCTGCAGAATAATGGCTTCATAACTGGATGGAAGGGGGGAAAGGTGCTTAGTAGGTGCAATGTGTAGGAGGAGGAAGATGCATAAGGTTGCCATGGGAGTGGTGTCTATGAGGGGAGGAGTTTGCATGAAAAAGGGAGGTGGCATGGATATGGGGGTCAGGTGAAGGTAAAAACAAAGGGATGCAAAGTGGGGCTACATACCTTCATAGGGTTGTGATTATCTGTAGCTGTGCTGCCAAACATGCTGGTACCTCCAGTTCCAAACCCTGATGTTGACCCAAACAAACTCATCTTGCCCCTGTAAAAATAATTGAAAATAATTTAAATAGAAGTATTTTCTATGCGGACTATGCAACAATCATCATACTTATAATATGACCACTTTTTTTTTTTTTTTACAAAAAATAAATTTATGCCCTGAATCACACAAATACAGTGGCATAGGAGCAAATCTGAAGGACCACTTTCTTTCACATGACTTATCCAAAGTCCTTATCTGGGATTCTCCCTCCAGACCCATCATCTGAAGTTAGGCAGATGGTGACTGGGGAGAAGACCTTCTACAGTCAAACCTTGGTTCCCAAATGGCTCTGTTCTTGAACGTTTTGGTTCCTGAACACTGAAAACTGGGAAGTAAATGCTCCAGTTTTTGAAAGCCGAACGTCCGACGCGGCTTCCGCTTGACTGCAGGAAGCTTTTGCAACCGGTTGTCAAATGTTTTGGAAGCCGAATGGGCTTCCAAGAAGGGATTACGTTCAACATCCGAGGTTTGACTGTATCCTTCCTGAGGATTATCTAGTAGTTGTTGACATGGCTTCTGCTGGATTTTACTGGTGCTACTTCTGTGACTTATATTGTTTTATGTAGTGTTTTATTGTCTGTTTTAATTTTGTATATTGTACACCGCCCTGGGAGCCTTGCACTGAAGGGTGGTCTATAAATAAATGCCGCCACTGAATTAAGCGGGATTTACAGCACAACCATACGCGTGCTTACTGAAAAGCAGGTCCCACTTTATTCGATGAAGTCTTACTCATTCTTTAAGTAAATGTGTTTAAGATTGAATCCTTCATTCAATATTCAGATAACGCCCTGCTCTTTATGCCCCAGGAAGGAGAACTATCACAATGTAAGTGGGGGCGCACTTTGTTCTCTACCTTAATGCTGGTTCACATTGTGGAAAATTCAAAATTTTACGTAGCGCAAGAAGTGTAAAAAGGTGCATCTCCAGGAAAAGCATATGGATACTCTGCACATATTCCCAACTGTTACTAAAAAGGGTAATGAAGCATTCATGCTTTCATTGCTGTACATTGTACAAGACACATCCCTGTAGCAATTATAAAGATCTCTGTTTCAAGGTGACATCCCAACAGTGTAGGGTGTATCTTCCCCCCACCCCCACCCCCAGGCATGCTGCGCCTTGGGCAACTGCATAGTTTTTTTCTCCAGAGTTCTCTGTAGTGGTTACAACATGGGTAGGAAACCTAAGGCCCAGGATCCATCCCAATCGCCTTCGAAATCCGGCCCGCGGACGGTCCGGGAATCAGTGTGTTTTTACATGAGTAGAATGTGTGCTTTTATTTAAAATGCATCTCTGGGTTATTTGTGGGGCTTAGGAATTCGTTCGTTTTCCCCCCCTTCAAAATATAGTCCGGCCCCCCACAAGGTCTGAGGGACTGTGGACCGGCCCCCGGCTGAAAAAGTCTGCTGACCCCTGGGTTACAACAACCCTGGACGGCAGGGGACCCTGCTGGTATCACCACAGGACCGTTAGCAAGGTCGAGGCTAATAGAATCAGTGAGCCGTGGAGTTGGAGGGGACCCCAAGGGTCATCTAGTCCAACCCTCTGCAATGCAAGAACCTCAACTAAAGCATCCATGACAGGCGGCTACCCATCTGCCCTTTTCTCTGCCTGTCTTTCTTTCTGAACTGCCTTGAAGAATAAATAAAGTCCTGCTCCGACAGCACGTGGGGCGGAAGTCCTTCCATTCAAGCGGCTCTACTGCGCTGCTTGAAAGGGCGGGCTACCTGCCCCCCCCCCGATACCATGGCTGGGGAATGACCCCCACGACGCGGCCAAGCAAGGGAAGGGCCGCGGCTGAAGGGGACCGAGAGAGCCGGGGAGAGAAGCGCGAGGTGCCACGGCTCCAGCGGGAGGGCCTGGCGAGCCACGAGGCCGGCCCCGGACGCCCCACGCGGGCCTGGCCGGGCGCAGGGAAGGGGAGCGTACCTCAGGCGGGCCGGGGCCGACCGTCCTCCTTCCCCGCGCGACCCTCTCCTCTTTCTCCAGCCGGAGCGCCAAGGGAGCCCCCGGAGCCGCGGCAACTGAACGCAGGCCCGTCCACGCTGCGCATGCGTCACCGTGGAATTGAACTCGTAGGCGCCGGCGTCAGTTCACGGGTTAAAGGTGGGCGTGGCCTCTGGCGGGCGCTCACGTGCTTTACCCGGTTGGTCCTTTCCTTTGCAGGCTGTGTCTGTCCGCAGGAGCCGCTGCTTTTAGGTTATTGCAAGGTGGCTTCCGATGCTCGCGCGGTTCCGCGATTAGGCTGTTGCTCCAGTTTAGCCAAAGGTAACAATTTTGGCTGAAGGCACGCAGGAGGGAAAAATCTGGATTCTACAAATTATTATTACTTGTGAGGTGTTGGGAAGTTTGCTCAACGACGAATCTGGATGCATCTAATTTTGCATTTTACCTGCTTTTGAAGGGGGTTAACAGGTGGCCAGGTGTAAGGGAATGGTAAATTTTGAAGTGCAGGAGCTCGTCGTGACGCCCCCTATAGGCACGTCTCCAAGGAGAGTTCGGTTCCTTGTCCTCAAGAGCCGTCCAAAAGAGCAGCTAGCTAGCTGTGTTGGTCTGTTACCATTCGCGCGCGCACCCCAAGGCAGCAGTACGTAGCATAAAGACTATTTGACTACAGCAGCAATGTTATATATCGCTTCCTGGGGAGGAAACTGCTAAACTCAGTGATCTTCACTTCTAACAACTCCACTGAACTTAAGTGATTCTTTCTTCTGACTATATTGGTTCAACTTGAAAAAACATATTTAATAAGAGGTATTTAATAAAGATCTTCCTCCAGCTGAAATGCAATCTTTAGCATTTAATTAGAAAGCAAACAATTTTGTAGAGAAGTGTTACCATTTAAACAAGTGTAAATTAGGAAGCCCATCAAAACTAAAGTACTCAGTCTCTGATAATTTTCCTCATTCTCTGACTTCCTCTATGCCAGTCGTCCCAAACCTTGTTGTTTAGTCGTGTCCGGCTCTTCGTGACCCCATGGACCAGAGCACGCCAGGCACTCCTGTCTTCCACTGCCTCCCGCAGTTTGGTCAAACTCATGTTGGTAGTTTCGAGAACACTGTCCAACCACTTACCAAACCTAGCTACCGCCAGATATCTTGGACTAACAGCTCCCAGTAGCCCCAGCAAGCACAAATGTTACTGCAGCACAGTTGAACAACTGGAGGACATTAGGGAATGCTGCTCTGGGCTTCTATGTCACAACCACACTTAAAAGCCTCATAGTCACCTCATTCACATGCCAAAGCAAGAAAGTTCCATCAACTACCCTGGTGTTCCTACTTTGAAAAGTTCTGGCACTGCACTCCCATGCATTGAGCCGCTTCAATACTACTGCAAGTGCCTGTGAAATATTGAATGTTTGCATATGTTTCCATTTTTCTAGGAAATTTTATAAAGATGAGGAATAATCATTTTATAGTTTTTTTATCTTGTGGTTAATTTGCAATTGTCTGTAAGCTGAAATAAATGAATATATGATACATCACGTCCTAACAGTATTTGCAACAATAGTTTGCATTAAAAATAGCAGTTTTGTATCTTGAATTATGAGAAATTAATCAAGGTTTTAAATTAAATGTTAGAACATATCCTCTTTGCCTTTCTGTAAGAATCACTTTTTATTTTTAACAATTTGCAATTAGTACATATTAGGTGACTGCAATATAATGTGGATTCATGGAAGGAAATTATCATTCTTTCCAATTTTAAAAAAAAGATCAAAGGCAAAAACAAATGCACCCCAAATTGTTAAAAAAAATTCTGCAGCTTTTCAATTAGGATTGCATGTAACTTTTTTACAGTGATGCATGAAATGTTTTAACAGTTGACTGAATATTCATATCCATCCACCGAACTGCAATTTATTTGGCAAGTACACTCTGGAAAGATAATCGGATGAAAAATGCGTCAATGCTTGAATTTCAGCCTTCATTTTGCATGTTGCCATAATATCTAGCTGTAAAGGAAAGCATTGGAAATTAAACTTCTATTGAAATTGATATGATGCATATATTACACTTACAGTGATCTAGAAGAGTAACTGTGCCACATAAGAAACAAAAGAGTTTTGTTCCAGTTTCAAGTTATTTCATAGTATAAAAACAAACCTTTATTGTACAAGAGCAGCTTTTGGCCACAATTGAGTATGTACTGTGTAAGTGAACTGAAACCATTGATTTTGATTGACTTTAGAATGCCTATGTTTGTGTTGGATTATGGTCTTAATCTCTTTTTACTTGTAGTAATTTCCTTTCTTTTACATTATGCATGGCAATTTACAGCTCAATCCTATCAGCTGCTACTGCTGCAGTAAAATCAAAAGCTTGCACTGCAGCAAATAAAGCAGCTTACTGTTGAGTTGTGGGTGAACATATCAGACAACACAGCGATTCTCCAAACAGCTCTTGTTTATTCACAGGTCAGAACAGAACTGAACTGAAGGGTTCAGCCGCCCTGCTTATATAGAGCTCCAGTACAACGTAACCGTAACAACTTTCTGTAACTATCTAATCACTGAACGTCACTTTCGATCCCTTATTTGCATATGTGGACCTGAACTATCTACAGTATCCCCCTGCTGGCCCAGGGTGAGAACTTTAGTATATAACACTATATGAATCAAAGTAGTCAGATATATTAAGATCTGTAACGTCTTTTCTTGTTTCCTGTTTGTAGTTTATTTGGTGGTATAATTAATAATAAACTGTCTTTCATTACAATTACAGTCAGTGGGAGGACAGGTGGGCAATGTGCTTAATAAATCATGCATTTGTTAGTGAACTGTATTTTTATGTGGCTTTGGCTCACAGGCACATATGACTTCAGTTTAGTTGTGGTAGCTGAACTCCAAGATCACAAAAAGCCATGGACAGGCTTTACAAATATGCAGCATGCTTATTGTCCCTTTTATAAGGCCTAAATACTGATTTAAATACCAAGGATTTATTCTACCTATATAAACCTGGAAAGCCTTGAAAGGATTGGCTATTGGCTATTGCTGAGAAAATAACTAATAACTTAAAAGTGATAAAAGGACAAGCATTACTGGACAAATCTTATGCAATACAGTAGCTGTTTATTCAATACACAAATGAAAGTGGTCTTAAAGATAAACTATTTGTGACGGATAAACCATAGTGCTGTATATAACCAATAAAGGTTTTTTAAAATACAATCTATACCTGGGATCTGTTAGTCTGCTTTTCTTTTCCATTGTCTTTAGCATTCACATTAATACACTCCTGTCTCAATAGTGCATTATCTGGAGGCAGAGCCATGGGTTGTGTCAGTTGGTAGATTACACATAGCTAATTAGCAGAAAACATGAAATTTGATTCAAAAGTGCTCTAATAGTTGAAAGCCCTTGCACAGTAATTTCCAGTTGCCTGACAGCCAGCTGGCTATGGGGTGCTTGGGAAATGTTGTACAAGGGATTTTGATAGGTGAGTGAGATAACACACCTGTCAATAATCTGATGTCATAATGACAGCTTATTGATATATGGGATGTCTCACCCACCTGTCAAATTTGGCCTGTTGGGGTAAGGCCAATCTGGCCTACTGAACCGGAAAAGGTTTCCCACCCCTATGCTAGCTGTTACACATGAGTTTGTGGAAGAGGTGCTTGGATCCAAGCAATAATTTGGAAACCTAGTTCTGATTTGAGTTTGGTAGTTGATTGCAAACCATGGCTTCTTCATTAAACACCATGCTATTAAACTGTTGTTTGGGATGATGTATGAATTTTCCTCCTACTCTACACAGAAAGAATACGTTACCTCAATTAGAATCACATAATTCTATTATTCTAATTAAGGTAACATATTCTTTCTGTGTAGAGTAAGAGGGAAAATGAGTTCAAGAAGCTCAAAAAATAATAAATAGTAAAAAAATGTACATACTTCTTTTTTCCATGCTGATTGATAAGCAATATAAGGTCTTGTATTCAAACTGTCCAGTTTACTTTGATCTTGTTTAGTCAATGGAATCAATGCAGTCTTGGGTATACTCAGTCTGAAAGGCAGATAGATGAATCTGACTACTGTATCTTATTTTTCACACTTGTTTAAAAATATTTTTATGAATCTACACACTGAAATAAAAGGAGTGGGGCACTGATTGAAAATCCCTCCCTCTTACCCTGTAGCTGTCCATGTGTATTTTATACAGAATAATCCAACAGAAGTTTCCCAGTTTTGTGGGATTTTAAGTAAATGTATTGTTTTTGGTTTCATTTTTGTGAAAGAATGAGGGAAATTTAAGTTCTTAGAAAAGTAACTAACCGGTCAAAATCAGATGGAAGAAGGCCAAGCCATCTTATAGCAGGAACTGTGAGGCGATGGGCTTCAAATGACATAGACTGAAATGTGAAAAAAACACTTCTCGTTTTCTCAGTTCTTATGACAGTACTCTCCACTTACCTGTCTTGCAAATATCTAGATAAGCTTTATTATTTATTTGTATGAATGGAGCATCCCATGCCAAGACTTGTTTTGATTTTTATGTGTTTGTCTCATTAAGTTCTATTTTGTTATTGGGGTTATATGGATAAAATTAAATAAAAATACTTTTTTTAAAAAAAGAAAAATGTCAGCTTGGAAGTTTATCTGACAAAGATATTGGTGATAGTAGGATAGACAATAGGTAAATTATAGCCTCTTTCTATTGAGATAACTGGTTTTAGGTGAGCTTCAGTCCTTCTATTAAAAAACCCATCAGAATCCTGTTTTCTAGTCACATCTATCCAGGATGAGGAATCTCCATCTAAAAGTTCACGACCCATGCTCATTTTGGTAGAGATGCAGGTATACTATGTTATACTAGGGTTCAGGGACCCTCCTAAACCCTAGAAATTAATAAATAGTAGGATTTTGATTATTTGGGTTGTGAAGAAGAAATACAAACTGCAGAAGAATTCCTAGGCTAGCCTATGCAAAAAAGAAAAGAAAAGGGGGGGAAAGAGAGACCTGGCTAAGTCAAGGATATTAAGAAACAATACAGGGCCATTGAGGGCCATTGGCAATGTAAGAGAACTGTCCTTCCCTCCTGTCCTGAGGTGTGAACAGAGACTGGGGGTTGGACGGTTGCTAGGGTAACTGGGTATGAGGTGAAGGTAAAAGAGTATTTTTAGCAAGGTATGCTGGGAACAAGAAGGGAGAACAAAAAGAGAGATCCACGTTGGGCAGGCTGGCTGAAGGCATCTTACCCCCTCCAGATCCTGGCATTGATCCTGACCTACCACCTTCAGATCCTGGCACTGATTGCTGTGGATCTATTCTTCATAAACTAAGCCCCTCAGGACCCTTTCCTTCTATGCACTTGGCTGTATTCAAAAGCCCACTTACCTGGAAGTAAGTCTCATTGAATTCAGTAGAACTTACTTCTGAGTAGACATGGCTAGGCTTACGCTGTAAACCCAATTCAACTTTGGTTTACTTGGCAGGATCAGTCTAGGAGTGCAGGGCAGCCCTTCCAATGGAGAAGCAATGAAGACTCACATCGCCTATATGCTCCAGGGGGAAGTGCCATCCCAAGGTTAAGAGCCCTACAGGAGCCTCATGAGAATGAGTTATAACCCCTGATAATTTTGGTTGCCCCACTCTGCACCATTTTTACTTCTACAATGTATTTTTGGAGATAGAGTGAACAGAACTATACAAAATACTCTAAATGTGGTTACAACATAAATTTGTATCAGAACTTTATTATACAATTTCATTTTCAATTCTTTCTTTTGTAATTTCTAGCATGGGTGTCATCCTTTTCACAGCTGCTACACACTGAATTGACATTTTCCATCAACTGCAGTCCCAAAAGATATAAGACTTTGGTCCAGAAACAATGTAGACCAAAATAAGACATAACGTATTAGTCCTGCTTAAATAAACCAGCAATAGTTTTCCTATATCACATTTTAGCTAGAAATGGTGCAACAGAATTTTGAATTTAAAGTTGTAAAAAACTTACCACAGAACCATACTTGTAGATACACATTATTTCAATACCTAATATAAAGATGATATGAAATGTAAATTGAGGTATACCTATTGGGGGGCAGATTTGGTTCATAGAATGCCCCATTTCACTTTTGGTTGGGGCAATAGCATTAGTCCACTGGAGGAGCACTTCTGGGCTGGGCAGAAATATATCTCCACTTCATCTAAACTCCCCTCCCCAGCATGTTGGATAGGATTTTGGATTGAGCCACCATTGGTGTTTTGAATACATGGTTGCATTTTTTTGAAAGGTGAAAATAAATCAATGTATGATTTAGCAATGTATCTTAATTGTAAATCTTTGTATACCAAAATAGTGCTATGAATTATTAATAGATATGTTGCCTTCCCAATTTTTTTTCAGTAGGGCAGAGTTCCTAACTCTGCTTCTGCAGAAATCATGCCAAGGTCAGGTAGGGGGCACTTGGAAGGCTGCCAACTCTGCCCGCTTCCGCAGCTAAGTTCACTTTTGTTTTCAGAAGAAAGCTTGGGAGGGATGATGGGTTGCTGGGTGGGAAAATGTTAAGTATCTCATTCCAATTTTCTCCTGAAAGTGTTCCCAGCATCATTTTACAAGGGAGCCATGAGACTGAGAGAACTGTTTCTATCATAAAGTCTTATTCTGCTCTTAGAATACTCTATCATAAATTATATGGTGAGGAGGACTATCTTCATTTCCATTTCTCACACTTACCATGTGGATCACCATCCATGAGAGCAAAGATAGGCACATGGCATGTATCCCATAACTTTCTGACTAGAAGCCTTGTGTTGACATCCGGCACACCTTTTCCCTAAGGAAATAATGGCTAAGTAGAGTTTATATAATTATCAATGTTTTGAATATATATTGAGAAATCATTGCACTACCAGTCAAATAAGTTCCAGAGTTACAAAATGTTAGCTACATACCGTAATTATTATGCATGGGGACATTTTACTGCAGAAGTTGTCATCCAGCAGTCTCTGAAAAGTTGCATCTTTTTCAACAATTAGAATAAATTTTGCTTCTGTGATCAAATCTATAAAATTAAGGCCACAAATATTGATGGGATTCCATTGTGCCATACAATTAAGTGTTGAATACTGTAGTAAATAACTTAGTATCAGAGCCAATATTTTAAAGAGAAAAAGAAGTACAAATTTTATATTGGTCTTTGTCTCTCTTTAGAAGAAAAACCCTCCCCCAGTCTACAGATAGATGTTTTCCTTAAAGGATACTTCTCATTCCTTCTACATTAGATGGTACGGCTACCTAAAACAACAAAAGGCAAAGTACCAAAAATAAAGATATGGAATTTAATAATTAGATAAACAGAAACAGGAATAAATCATCTAAAGGCCTTAACTGTTAATTTCCAATATAGTTTTCTACATTAATAATTGCTTTATAGACTCCATGTGTATTGATGGATACTGCACGTGCAGAAACAACCTTCTTGACCTTCGGACCCACTATTGGTTTTGTCCACTCAATCTACCAGTCCATCTTCATATGCAGGGGAAATCCCTACCTCACTGAGTGTTTGAGACCCATCAGCTACCCTCACCTGGTTTAGCTGGTTAGTTGAAGATATTCCTGAGCACTGCTGCGTGATGACAGCTTCCAGGAGCCACAGTTGAGATCTGACTGCAGGGTGGGACCAAAGGTGGACAAACTGCTCCAGAAGGAGCACAATGTCTCCCCCATCAGAGGTACTACCCCACCCTTAACACCCCATATTGCATTTATATCCCACTATTCTTCTCCAAAGAGTTCAAGGTAGTGGGCATGGTTCTCCCCCTTCTCATGTAATTCCCAAAACATTCCTGTGAGGTAGGTTAGACTGAGGGAAGACAGTGACTAGCCCAAGGTCACCCAGCGAGCTTTGTTGCCAACTGGGGGTTCAAACCCTGGTCTCCCAGGTCCATGTTTGACACTCTAACCATGAAATCAATGTGCCCAAAACACTCTTCCCAAATAATAACTTTGTTTTATGCTGAAATTTGCATATGGCCACAAGAAAGGGCAAACGTTAAACATCCTGATGACAGATGTTTACAGACACTTTAAACTGCTGTATTTTCCATTTGTTTTATTGCCTTTCAGCTATTATTCAACTCAAGTGAGATATGAGTTCCAGAGTTATGGAAAAGGTTGTTAACATTTCATATCTCATATTGGAATTTGTCTCAATATGGCAAACATATGGAGAAAGAAACAGGGAAGGAGATGGGGGAGGGGAGAAATTGGCATAAACACCTATATACTGTAAGCTGAAGTGTGTGGCCTTACTGTTTAACCATTATATCATTGCAGGTGTTCAAGATAGAACATCTGGACATACTAAAATATAAGGATACCCTGAGAAATATTAATCTTGAAGGAACCTTATATTTAGTCCTAGAAAAGGAAATATGTCTTACGTTGCTCATATAGTTATTTTTTCTCCATTGGAATGAATGGGCCAGATTGTGTGCACTAGGGAACTGAATGCATGTGGTTCTCTGAGTGAGAAGCTTATTTTTAAGTAATGTATTCCCTCCTATCTTGCACCACTTGACTTATTAAAGCATCTCCACTGTGTATGGCTGGGTGGATCCATGGTGTGGCCAATGCATCTTTGTGGGAGGAAGTGGTCCTGGTCTTCTTGAAAAAGGCAGTGATTGAACTTCTGAAAAAGCCCACTCTGGATGAACTGTGTTTTTTTAAAATGTTTTTGTGAATGAAAAAAAATTATATATGGTTTGTTGTTGATATGTATTGTTAAATATTTTTGAAATGTTTCATTAATACAGTGGTACCTTGGTTGTCAAACTTAATCTGTTCCGGGAGTCTGTTCGACTCCCGGAACCATTTGAAAACCAAGGTGTGGCTTCCTATTGGCTGCAAGAGCTTCCTGTACTCAATTGGAAGCCACGGAGGATGTTTGGCTTCTGAAAAACGTTTGCAAGCCGGAATACTCCCTTCCAGGTTAGTGGCGTTCGGGAACTGATTTGTTCAGGAGCCAAGCCGTTCAACAACCAAGGTACCACTGTAGAAATAAATAGTGTATTCTAGTCAAAGGTAACAGCTTTAGTAAAAGGAAATTTCAACATTGACTCTGTGTCCATGACCCTGTTCACATGTCACAATACTGTATAAAGTATGGATTGTGGGGACTGTGCAAGCATACTAGCTTCTAGAGAGGATGGCTTAATGTGTCATCCAGACCTGAGACTGTGGTGAAAGAGAGACCTTAAGCACGATCTACAGTTCAGTTGATGGCTTTGTTGCCCTGCTGCACTGAGCTATGAAGCCTGGGGAGGAGCAAAGCAGGTGCAATCTCCTCTATGGAAGCCAGCTCATTTGCACTAAGCCACAGTTTGGCTTAGTGTTATGTGTGAATGTGGCCAGTGTTAATCCATGTTTTAGTAACCTCTGAACTATGTGAACCATGTATTGCCCGAGTCATGTGCCCTGGGCATATGCTTTCCTCCTTTGTGTGTAAGGTGAGGAGAAACTTCTGTTCCTGATTTCTGGCAAATCATAGTTTGCTATTTCATCTGAACCTGTCAAACAATCATTTGCCAATGGCTTCTTATTGTGGTTTGTGGGCAACTATGGCTTGTGCAAATGATCCCCTACTAGACTTGGATTCCACAGTAAAGTAGTTTGATTCTAGACATGATGGAATGCTTCAAATCTCATTTCTTTATATGGGTTTAGTATTATATCTGAAATCAAGGTTTAGTGTTATATCTGAACATGGCCTTATAATTTGATAGTATTTTCATATATACTGGATGTTTTCAAAAGACATCAGGAATTTAAAAGGATTTAGAATAAATGTTATTAACTTTATTAAAATGCCATCATTTAATTTCTCTCTCCCAAAAGATCTTGATCTATACATATAGAGTAGAACATCTTCAAAGCATACATTGGTTTATGAAGTGTTGAGATTTTATATGTTTACTATTAACACGTTGCAACATCTTTGAATATTTTATGGATTTGGACAGGCATTCTGTTATGGTTCTAAGAGAAGCAATAGCTAAGGAACAATTGGTTTTAACCCCTTTTCTTACACTGCTCCAACATTTTCTTAGACAGTCTCTGCTGCTTAAGTTGTAGTCAAACATCAATTGCAAACTAAAATATGGATACTATATTAGGACTCCTGAGAAAGAATAGGAGTTCCCCAACTCTTGAGGAAATATTATAATATACAAAATGCATTGAGCAATCATTTATCTTTTGCAAATATTTGAAATCACCTCCTTTATTTGCTCAGCTGCAAAACCTCAATTGCATATTTATTTATATAATATGTAAATTAATTAACCAAAACTATTCTCTTCCAACACTACAAATTCTATGATTCTATTATTCTAAGGAATTAGTAATACATACTGTTGTACTGCAGCTACAATTCACTTTTGTACCATCTTCTTCAACATAACTTAGATTACCAGCAATGCAACCTTTGCTGGTAGACAGCTGTGGGGGAAAAATGTGAATTAGCTTGTCTGTTTTTGGGCTCAATCTGATTTTGGAAATAAGTTGCTTACTGTAGAACTCTGTTCACTTTCCAAGTCCCTTTTGACAACTAGTTTCCCAAAATCCTGCCATCTCACTTACAGGGCTGGCACTACAACACAAAGTGGGAAGAGAAAAGTTTCTTCCTGCCCATTGTTGCAGTGGCACTCACTGTCTATTTTCTGACACTGAAGCAGCCCCTGTAGTTTTTTCAAGGGCCACTGCAGTGTCAACATGTTAAGCATAGAAAGGAAAGTATGGCAAGGGGGGTGAGTGGAGAGAGACCAACCTGTCTTCTTGGCAGCCTACAGGAGTACTGCCACCAGACAGAGGGAAAGACCTCACTTTCCTCTTCTGTGTCTTGCAGCTACCACTGCACTGATGAGAATGGTAGGTAGAACAGGTTGGGGACTAAAATGAAAGCTGGAGAAAAATTTAGAAGCTGTAATACCATCTCAAATGTGAGGTGAGTCTTACAGGCCTATGAAACTTGTATTTCTGAGCCCATAAGTAAATGTTTTGTTGTCATCCTTAATGGTTACAGTGTACCACAGAAATAAAGAATAATGTTGCATACTGTAGAAATAAATAAAAGTAATGCTTATACAATTCAGAACACAGGTGTGAATAATAAAAATAGTTTCGTAAAGAAATTATAATTTTTGTTAGCTATGACTTCTGTGATTAGATGATTGAACAAGTAACTCTTTAATCACTAGATCTAGGAATAATTACAGAGCAGACATTGTCAAATATTCAAAGAATGCTGATGTCATGCTGTGTTTGCTTTAGAGAAGTTGAACAGTTCAATGAGAAAGCAATGAAAGTTGCAAAAGAGAAAAGTAAATAAGAATAAATGAAGCTATTGCAAATTCTGTTCCTTATAAATATCTGGGATGCTCACAATCTGGGGGCCTTGAGCTGTCAGAAATATGTGTACTGTGTTAGAGATATAGAACATGTATAATGATATGAATATTATAGAAGTATTTAAAATCAAAATTGCTGACTATGCTTAGAGTCAAAACTGCCTGTCCAAAGCAGTGTACGTAAGCAGCAAGAACCTTGCAACTATGTTCTTTAACAGGAGACTAATAGTTGGCCAGATAAGAGGAGGAAAACATATTGGAATGTAATGGTAAGGAGTTAGCACAAACAAGGAGAATTGCCAAGGACAAGTTTGGGAGGGAAAGGTAACAGAATATGCAAGCCAAAACCTGCTGAAAAGGAATGATTGAGGATGGCATCTTAATAAGATAACGGGAGTTTCTAAGTGGAAAACAACTCCAAATATGGTGTGTCCAATTGGAAGGCCAGGTAGTGTATCCACAAGCTGTTCACACATTGCTTTAGCCAATAATGTTGCATAAATGATACGGGCAAGAGGATTTCATGTATTTACCTGATAGAAGAAGAGTACAGTGGTGCCCCGCAAGACGAATGCCTCGCAAGACGGAAAACCCGCTAGACGAAAGGGTTTTCCGTTTTGGAGGTGCTTCGCAAAACGAATTTCCTATGTGCTTGCTTCGCAAGACGAAAATGTCTTGCGAGTTCCTGCGGGGTTTTTCTCCCCCCCTTTTCCCAAGCCGCTAAACCGCTTATCAGCTGATGGCTAAGCCGCTTATCAGCTGATCTTTAAGCCGCTTAACAGCTGATGCTAAGCCGCTTATCAGCTGATCTTTAAGCCGCTAACAGCTGATGCTAAGCCGCTTATCAGCTGATCGTTAAGCCGCTTATCAGCTGATCTTTAAGCCGGCTAAGCCGCTAATACTGTAGCGCTAAGCCGCTAAACCTCTAATGGGCTTGCTTCGCAAGACGAAAAAACCCGCAAGACGAAGAGACTTGCGGAACGGATTCTTTTCGTCTTGCGAGGCACCACTGTATATAAGAAGAGCCTGAGAGCATGTACTGTTGTCAGACCATGCTTGTGGCAATAGCCTCGTGGCTGACCATTCAGCGCTGTCTTAATGATTAATAATTCTCTGTTGAGACTACCTTGTGTACCTGACTCCTCTTTCCTTAGAGGCTTTTGGCAGTCTACTTCAAGGAAGGAGCCCTTGGAATTTTCCTAACAGAGCTGAGACACTAATTGGTGAGGTATTAAGCATTTTTTGATTGTAGCAATGTACCAGGCTTTCTTATTTCTCTCCTTATTGGCATCGTCAGCTAGAAATAGTCAGTGCAAAAACTTTCTTGGCCTATTTGTGCCTTCTACAGCTTCAAATGATAATAATTTGCTGTACTTTTCCAAATGTGATACATTTTTACAGATCATGTAATAAAACTTTTTTGATACTTAACAATATGCAGACTCCTTCTTGGGATCTTGAGCATACAGGAAATGTCATTGGTAATGTCGTCCACTACTCTTTGGTTACCAAAATGTGCTGTATCAGTGTAAAATATATCTCTGTCAAGATACAAAATATTGTCATTCAAAAATAAATGAAATAATAATAGTACCATAAACATTGATGTTACATAGGGAATATGGTCTAAGTACTTAAATACCATGCATATTATCTTCTACCACCTGCCTTCCTAAACTGATATCAATCCAACAATCATAGCCTTGGTCCAAACAAGTACTTTCCATGTATAAGACGTCCCCATGTATAAGATGAGCCCAATTTTTTTGAACCCAAAATTAAGAAAACAATATTTTAACAGCAGAGCATGGCCCACCAGCTCAGGGGCATCTGAGCAGAGAAAGGGGGGCATCCCTTACTTCACCCGCCCTGCAGAAAGGGATCGTGCTACTGAGCTGCCTCAGGGCAGCCTTGCCAGTCCCCCATGAGGTGGGCTCTTTCTGGCCAAGCTGAAAGCAGCCACCTTGGGGTGTTCAGCAACTGCAAGTCAGCTGCGCTTTTTGCAGTCGCACGAATCTGGCTCTGCAACAGGGGGGAGCTGGTGGGGAGGCGCACCCGGGGAGGTGCTGGTGGCCTGGGCACATAGTCCCCACTATGACTGACCTGTGGATCGGGACCACAAGGTGCTCCTCCTACTCCAGCTCCCTCCCCAGGTGGAAAGTGTTGCAACAGGCAAGTGTTAGCCCCACAAGCGTGTTCTGGCATTCACCATCCATGTATAAGACAACGACCACCAATGTTTGACTAAAAAACTTCAGCAAAAAACATTGTCTTATACATGGAAAAATATGGCATATGCTGTGAAGAATGGGAATGAGGAAACCTTTAAATCAACATTTCAAGGTCCATGACAAAATTAAATGACAAGGGCTATGACTTTTCACTGTCGAGACACAGTGCTCATACATTAAGTAGTTTCTGAGTTGTTTGCTCTAAAAGATTTAAAAAGTTTGAAATACTTCATTATATATATTTAGACACCAGGCAAAAACATTCATCTTCTCCCACACCTTTAGCTAATTAAACAATCTTTGTCATTTTAAACTGTGTGTGGCAGGGTGGGGGGTGGTATTGTTTTTGTTTATGACTATGTTATGCATTTTTATGTTTTTATATTGTAAACTGCCACGTGATCCTCGAATGAAGGGTGGTCTATACATTTAATAAATAAATAAACTAAGTAACCCTGAGATCAGATTCTCCTTCCTCAGGAAATGAGATTCAAGACTTAAGTGCGAAGGGGAACTGGATGCAGGGCCAATCCTAAAGCACGTCCACAAGATGTGCCTATGGTAAATCCGCTCCACTTCCCAGTGGGGAGGAGTTGCGGTGGACTGTGTGGCCACCCACTCCCCACCGGGGGTGGGGGACCTTGTCCCCTGTTGCCTGGGGGAACCCGGCCACATCAGAGCCTGGTCAACCAATCCGCTGGCCGGGGGAGGGGGGCGTGGCTGGAGCTGCTTCCTCAATCACCCGCCCTCCCTATTTTGCAGGTTAGGCGATGGCCTTGCTATGGACTTTGGTTGGTCGCTTTGGTTGTCTGAGGGGCCTGGTAGGAATTTTTCCACTTGGCAAATTGGCACTGGCCACTTGGTTTTTGCCTACCTCGTAGCAATCGTCACAACTTTTAGGGTTGCGGTTAGGCATTGTTTGACCTTGTGTGGGGGGAGGGGAGGTGTGGCCATCACCTGCCCCTCCATGCTTAAGGGTATTCCGTTAAAGGAATCCGGGGGTGTAGATCTAGTCTGAAGCCCGGCTGGGGGCTAGGGCCTTGACACGACCCCGATGGAAACACCAGGGGGAGCTTGAGTTGGTTCGCATTGACAGAGTTCCCCCTACCGGTGGCTTACCCTTACTGGACTTCCTGCACACTGGGCAGGAGTCAGATATAGTCAGGTCCAATCAATGCCTAAGCCAGTACTGCTCACATTCTGTAATTTCAATAAAGTTGTGGCCCAAATTTGTCTAATAACATAAACCTAATATCCATGTCCTTGTGTGAGTTATTTCCAACGAGGGTGTGGCTGCGGGGTCTTGACACTCAACTGTGCCACTTTAACCCAAAGATGTTGTATTGCTGTCCTCTGACTCAGAGGACTCCATTCCAGAAGCTCCAATACAACCAGAGGCTCCCCTGCTCTGTCAACACACTGGTGTGAGCCAAGCCCCTTTAACTGAAGAGGCACTTTTCAGGAAAGGTGGAGTTTACTGCTCCTATATAAGACCTTGTCTATGGCTGATTGTTGCTGAAGCAACAGCTGAGTGCTAAAAACATTCAACCTGAGCTCAGCTTGCATCATAACAATACTTCACCTATACATACTGTGCCAAATCTGTTATATCACATTTTTAATTTTAAATGGTTATTTCAATTTTGCAGTTACATACAAAGTTATTATTACCTTTTTGTTGCATAAATGTTTGTCTGCACCATCTTGTAGATAATAGATAATATTTTAAGAAATAGAGCTGAAATATAAAATAACAGCTAGTAAATATTACCAGCCATCTGAGTGTTTCTGAATAAAGATTGGTGTGCTCTTTTTATTTTAAAATGTATTATACCATTATGTCTATATATACTAATCAATGAAGTTTCTGCAAGGTTAGAAAAATGTACTTTGCTGTTATTACAAGTATCCTCTTTTTCAAATCGAAATCTTGAGGGTGAACAGGACTTTTGTAGTCCAATATTCCACTCTGTTCAGTGCCTGATTCCTACTATGAGGTAAACTATTCCTACTAAGTATGATTCCTACTATGAGGTAAACTTTCTGTCCCAAGCTTTGATGTGTAGTAGAAAAAAATGTTCAAACCTTTTTCAAATATTTCCTTTAATCAGTTACCCTGAGTCCAATCTAGTTTCAGTGCTAGTATAGTGCTCATCTTACAGCTAGCCTTGTTTGTCAAGGAACAAAAGGCAGTACACTTTAAGGCTCCTGATTGTTTCCCTGCAGTTGTACCTTTACCTGCCCCACATCAGATCTCACAGTCAGGTGTGGGCCAGGTGGGTGTGGTTTGGAGAAAATGGCCTTTTGTGCTAAATTAAGTCCCCTGCTGAGCCTAATTGGCCCACTTGCCTGGAGGTCCCCTACCTTTGCTCTATTGGGAAAATATAATCTTGGGTTTTCTGGGTGGCCTAAAAATACCTTAACCATTGGGAATTCAACTCCTGGTCATCTTCCCCCCCCCAAAAAAATATATATATATATTCACATCTACATTATTCCTAAGTTAGTTTGAGCAAAGGACATACAGAATAGTTTTACAGTAAAGGAAAAGTGTTTTAGTTGAATATTATATTGGTGTCTACTGTTCCAACACATTACAAAATGGGATATCTGAAAGAAGAATCTGTTGGGATTGTTGGACATATGTGCTGCGGAAGCTCAGTCAAGTGGTTAAGTTCACTGCAGAAAACCCATTTAGCAAAGTTTACTAGGCCAAAACCAACACACACTACTATACATAAACACACTATTTACAGATGTTACAAGCAGTCTTCTCTCTCTGAGCCCAGAGAGGGATCTTTGTTTCAAAGTTTTTGCTGTGTTGGAGTCCCCTCAGTGGCACTGAAGGGCCTGCTGATTCAAATGTGCTTCCAGTTGGTAACCCCAGTACAGAGAAAGTCGCTTTAGCATCACTGACTAACTGATAATACTGTATTGAAACTGAAGATAGATAGATAGATGTAAATACATGTTTTTTGCACTTCAGAATATTACATTAAAATAAAATAAATTAGTATATTGCTCAGTTTCTTAAACTTACCAAATTTTGGTGCTGATTTGGGACAGTCACTTCTTATTTTCCTTGTGGTACAATTACCAGTAGATGTCATCTGCAAACCTACAGAATCTGTAAACCTGTGGATGTGTAAACCAGTTCAGCTGTATGTTACTTTTCAGAATTGGTGTTATTATGTAAAGTTTAACACAAAAGAGGGTTGCTTCATGAATTCAGATAAGCAAAAGTCAAATGCTATCTGAAAGGAAGATGGATTTGGAAGAGTGTAATCAACTCTATAATTTAGAAAAGGGTTTGTCTCTCTGTTTATCATTTGTTTTCTATGTGTGTACGCCTTCCAAAATACTGTCCCCAAACTCAGCAAGAGGATTTCTAGGGTGGGATGGCAGACTTTCTTGCTGTTTGACACTGGGTGCCATTTGAATCAAAATGGTAAACCAAAACTTGACTTTGGTGTGACTTTCCCAGATTTTGGCCATAGATTCAGCTTGCCTCTGAATATATTGACACCAAGCTTGGCATGAAAGTTCCTGAGGTAAGGATGGGCAGGATTACATTGACATTTTGGTGCCAGGGGCCATTTTGAATCAAGATGGTGGACCAAAACGTGACTTTGGCATGACTATGCCTGTTTTTTTGGCATAGGTTAGGCCATCACTCAAGATATCATCATGAAACTCAGCATGAGAGTTCCCAGAGTGGAGCGTTTAATTGATGGTGGTAGACTGAAATGTCATTTTGATATGACTTTGCCTGTTTTTTGGCATAGGTTTGACTGTCTCTTGACCAAATTGGGAAGAGGGTTCCGAAGCGGAAGGGTATTTTTGTTGATGTTTAGATGTCAGGCACCACTTTGAATCAAATTAGTGGACTAAAATGTGACTTTGGAGTAACACACCTGTTTTTGGTGTGATAAGTCAAAAACCACAAAATTCAATAATCCATTTAAAAATCACAATATTGTTTGGTTTCTAAAAAATTCCCATGCACTCCTTGCTTGTAATTATATAAATGCACTGCACATGGTTAAATTAAACTGACATATTGTCAGATCTAGGTAAGGAATTAGAATAAATAAAATCTAGAGTCATGTAAACTGCCCTGAGATCCTAAATGTGACTAATAAATAATTTATTTCAACATAATGTACTTGAAATTTGGTCACAATGTTTATTTGCCATCCTGAATATTGTACTATATTTTCTAAATCTGGTGTGCCATGGTATGTGTGTAGCATTGATGAATAACAATCATAATTAACAAATTGTTGATAGGTATAATCCCAATGAAATTTGGAGTGGTATTATTAGGGAAAGTTTATATTGGTTTCGTTGCGCAAATGTGACATGACTGCATTTTCACTTTTTAAATGCACTGCTTTTTACGTCCTTAAGGTGGCAGAAGACACTGCACTGTAAAGCTACAGAAACGCCTATGATCCAGAAAAACCCCCTGACTTTTCTCTGCAGACTATTTCCATTCTTATCTTGCTCTACCCCTAGAAAAATACCTAAAGGTCAGCTATCATCTAAATAAAGCAGGTAAGATGTACATAGGTCATATCTGAAAGTATTTCCATACAAAACATAGATCTAATTTTAGACTAGTTGCACACAATCTAATCTCATGGTTTAAATTAGCATATAAAAAGTCCAAATGGGCTACATCTGAGACAAGTCATATTTCGAATATGCTTTCTTTACAATCATATCTGCAATTTCAGTTGTGGAATGTTGTGATTAAGCAACACAATTATTACATAGGAAGTTATTTTGGTTTACTGTGTAAGGTTCCTAAGCAAAACCTGTTGGGAGAGTCAAACCTTGGAGCCTTCATGTTTGCTATTAAATAACTAATCACAGTACAACACATTTAAGTCAGCTGCAAGTTAATTTCTCAAGTGTCTCAATGCAATATACTTAAAACTTGAGATGAATTGCTCTGGAACTGTTGCTATTGGGGATATCCTTGTAAACCAGATATAAATATGTAATTAGCTATTCAAAAACATCACTAAGAGATAATGATTCCATTGATTGATTGCATTTATATTCCAACTTGCCTCCAAGGAGCTCAAGGTGATGTACATGGTGCTCCTCCTCCTCATTTAATTCCCACAACAAACTTATGAGGTAGGTTACACTGAAAGGCAGTGACTGGCCCAAGGTGACCTAGTGAGCCTCATGGCTGAGTGGGGAATTAAACCCTGGTCTCCCAGATCCTAGTCCAAAACAGACTACTACACCACACTGTGTAGTGTTACATCCTTGTTCAACAGAAGCCCATGATTTCCCTATTACTTTGTAGTTTATGAGATACCACATATATTGGCAGTCCCTTTTTCTCTTTCTGATGTCTGTGGGTTGTATTTATGAATGGTTCTGCAGTCGTGGCTGCTTGAAATTTGGTATTGTTAATAACCATGTCAGTCCAGCACTGTTAATTTACTTCTACCAATTCCTCAACTTTCTGGGTTCATAATAGGGGGTTTAGGGCTGCATGAGTGGTGTGCATACTGTGGTTGCTAAGCCAAGTGAGGTGCCTTCTCAAAGCCCAGTAAGTTAGGCTCTGGGTTTGGGGAAGGAGACAGAGTCCTAGAGTCTCTTATCCATCTTTGGGAATGCAGCGCAAGGGCTTGGGTGTGTGTGTGTCAAATTTTGACCTTGCACAGGGTGCCATATTACCCAAGTCCACTGAGAGGTATAGACAGTTAATTTATTTATTGCTCACTGTCTGCTAAGATTCTAATGCTTCAAAACTTGTATTATCATCCACAGTCGGGACCTGTTCTTGGGACTTTTTTAAAAGCTCTGTAGCATTTGTGATTTTCACTGAAGCCATGGTGACCTTTAGCCAGATTGTCAGTTCATGCACTGACTGAAAACCACACACAGCAGATTGTAAGAATAAGTGTACAATTTTGTTGAAGATTTTTTTCAGGAAAACATTGTACCATGGCACAGGGCCTCATGAAACATGAAGAGGCAATGATAAAAGTTGTTAATGTTTTTGTATTTGTTTTATGCAGTACACCACCTTAATACTTGGTGTGATTAAGATGATAGTATATAATGTTATAAACAAACAAACAACATTTGTTACACACACACACGCACACGGTAAAATATACCTACTGTATATTTCCCCAGTTAGATCTGTTATTTAATATGAGAACGGGTGCTTCATTTCTGGATAGACTTGTGATAACATCTTCAATAACATTTTCAATTGCTCTAAGAACATCAGTGCTGAAACAAGTTATGACATAGAATGAAAGACTGCATCTATACCAGTTCCAAAGTCTACAATAAAATGTTGACATGCATAAATGCCTTAAGTATGTTAGATTTATGAAGCTGCAAGAAACATTTTACTGTACTTTTTTTGTTTCAGTACCCCTAGAAATCTTAATTTGCTATTTCATGTGTGTACAGTTCAAGCATTAGAAAGTACACTGCCTACCGCTTCTCATGATATTTCTTTTCAAGCAGCCAAACATTTGGATCAACTGGTTTAAAACTATGATTAATGTTTTAAATCAAATGATGTAATATTAACTTTGGCTAGGGTTTGACTTAACATGTTTTCAAATGCTGTAAACTTCAAAAAATGTTCAAGGGTATAATATAAGTACTTCCTCTCTACCATAGCACATTAACCTTTTGATCTGACACTTTGAATGAGTGCCTGTGGTTTTTAATTATATGTAGGTTTTGGCAGGATAACAACATTGTGTGTGTGGCGGGGGGAGATAAAGTGTGCAATGAACTGAACTAAGAACGGTAGTACTATAATGTTGCTCCCCATATAGCAAAATAGCAGATTGTGCGGAACCTCCTATAAACAAAAGGATATTTTTGCTTAATTTTATCAGCTCCCTTGCTCTCCAGCTGTAGAGCTGTGTATGTTATACAGAGCTGCCAGTTCATAGATGCTGTATGAATTTGTTAAAACTCTACCTACAACTTGTATCCATAGCCCAAGATATATAAGCTGAGATCTGGAAAAAAACAAACCCGAAACACCCTACATTAGGCCCTCACAATAACTTCCTTTAGCTCAGTGATTTTTTTTTTTTACTTGAAAGTACACACCCATTACATATCACAAACCACTTTAGAGACTCTCCTCAGTTTCAAAAAATGATTTTTCATGAGAGTGGAGGTGGTGGGGTAGAAGGGAGTTTGGCTGAAGTTCAAAGAACACAAGTCCAAAGTTCCTTTTGGCATACAGAAATACTTGTGTGGTTCTTTGGATCCTGACCATAAACTTCTAACTCTGGATGATCACATTCAGTTGTGGATAAGAATGTGGTCCTTTTCTTAAATGGGAGCACATTGATGATATATATCACAGTGAACCTCAGACACTCATAATATGCTTCCTCTCTATTAAGGAAGTATAGTATTAAGTGCTTTTTGAAGATGATTGTATATTACTCATAATCTTACAAAGGAGGAAACTGGAAATGTTTTTGTTTTGTTAGAAAACTAGCATTTATCAAAATAAGATGGGATTGATATAGGCCCACACAATCCTTAGCTTTCAGATATATTTTCTCTAAAAAATGGTTAATGTGCCAGGTTGAAAAGTTTCAGAATAAGATTATTTGATGATTCCATTTATTCAACAGAAAAAGGTCATCAGCACTGCTCATTTGCTATGTTTCCTACTGGTACTTTTATTATTGTATTCTTATTTCTTTAGCACATTTATGCACCATTCCAGTGGCTTATTTGCAATCAATTAAAATAAGACATCCCTGCAAGCAAATTGAAAATCTTAAAGACAGAACACAAAAGGAAAGAAGAAGAAGAAGATTCATGCACCAATTCTTAAAGTTAAAAGGTGATTCTTGTTCCAGCTGGAACTTGGTAACTTTTTACCATATTACTTCTGATTCCTTCAGTTTCTGCAGTTGCTGCAACGATCTTTTATGACCCATGTGCATTGAATTTTATCATAGTTCTGTATAAGGCAGATAATTTAGCCAGATAGGTTTTTGTTTCATCTTTAAAAATGTGTGGGTAAGTGAGCAGTGCCAAATGGTAGATCCAGGTTTCACATTCAGGCTTATTGTCTGCTGTTTGGGGCCAACATAAGTTGAGAGTACTTTAAAGGAGAAAGAGAAGGATTTGAATGGCATGCTCATTGGAACAAATCACATATGTTCTTTCTTTAATTTTAGCTCCCACTTCTTAAAGATGAAGTAACCTTTAAGAAGAAAAAGATACATTACTGGCCAAACATGCCAACTTAAAAAGCTCTCAGCATTAATTACAGAGAAATCTAAGCTGGGAACAGCAAGGCACTGCAGATGTATCACATGAGGATAAAGCCTGTCAGCTCATTTCCAACAAGTCACAGCATGAACATTATTTTTTCTTTCTTTTTTCTTTTGGCAGCACAAATAGAAATGCACTTAAATCATTATTTCACAACAGGAATAAAACAAACAAACCAAGTTACAGATTTAATCCTATAGCATGTGTGTTAAGTGAACAGTATGCACGTAGATTAGAATTATTTTAAATTAAATTTGGAAAACCATATGTTGCTTAAGACAAAGATATTAAAGTGCCAAATTTCTTATGCTAAATATATCCAGTGCATTAGTATGATAAATGCATACAGCACCAGCACACTAGTGTGTGTGTGTGTGTGTGTGTGTGTGTATGTGTGTGTGTGTGTGTGTGTGTGTGTATGTATGGAATCTGGTTATTATAACGTATCCTGCAATTGACTTTTGGGCGAAAACCCCCCAAGAAGAACATTCTACTAGATATGTATAGGTTCAGAGCCTACAAAATCAGTCTGTGATTCCAGGTTGTTTGCTACATATATAGATGAAATTAATGTGAAAGAATGTGAGCACTCTAGATGTTCCTGTTTCCACTCTCAATTCAGCCATGGTCTATTAGACTGTGGGCTTAGGAGGTATATTTTTCCCAGTCTCAGACCTTTGCCGGTAGAGTTGTCCGGTCACATCCCAGGCTGCACAGATCATGTGTGGTTCTTGAACAGTTCCACAGTTGTGGACTCCCCTGTGAGGGAAGATTACAATTTCTGGGGTTTTTTAGTTTAGAAAAAAGGCAGGTAAGGGGGGAAGTTCAAGCTATGTAAAATTATGCATGGTGCAAGAAAAGTGGATAAAAAGATGTTTCTTGCTATGCAGGATGGACAAAAGGAAGTACTTCTATACACAGCACATAGTTAAACCTTCAAATATGCTTCCACAAGATTATGGACACCAGCTTAGATGGTTGTATTTCATTAATTAATTGATCATTATTATTGTAATTTTATTTGCAATATGAGCTTGTTACGCTACTTATCTTGAGGAGGGTTCCGCAGGGGAGGAGATAATTGTGGGCTAGAATGACCAATATTCACCAATTAATTTGTTTAGAAAATGGATATCCTGCTTTTCAATGGAATAATCTTCCAGGTGGTTTGCAACAAGTTGCAATAATACTCAAACAGGCAAAACAAAACCCAGCAGCTCTCTGTCTTTTACCAGTAGGCAGGGCTTACTTTCAGCTTTGTAATGCCAAATATCCAAAGCAACTTCATATTCTCAGAATATAACAGTTTAGAAGTTCTGTGGTAATAATGTTGTCTTTTATTCGTGTTACGCCTGGCAATGGGGTAGGTGCTGCCACTGGGACTAAGCTGAAGAGTCAAGCATTCATTATTTCAATGTACTTTTGAGGGAAAGATCCTCCACTCTAATATCTCCCAACTGTTGGAACTAGAAAAGAGGAAGCATTAAGTGTATAAAAATGCAAGTGGTTAGGTCCAACATGTTTCAATTACAACCTTCTTTGGGATCACAGGACTGTGAAACAAAAACATGTTTGCTCTCCAAATACTTTGTTGCAAAACAGCATAAAAGTACTACAGATAAACTGCAGTTTCCGTACAGTAAAGCTAGTTGCATGCTAGTAGCTGGGGTAGTTTCACCACAGACTGAGCTAAGTAGATGCCCCTCATTTCAGAGCACGAGTTTCATATTAGGTGATGACAGATCAGAAATCTCTTTCCCAATCCTTTGTGAAATGGCCATTCAATGGATGTCTCCCACATTGATGGAGTGAACTGTTTGCATATGCAAGCACCACATGTTACTGTTTTACCAGTGTCTGCTCTGTGGGCTCTTTTGAGGGACGAAGGAGAACGTGGGCAACAACACTGGCTACCTTCTTTCTCTTTTGTTTAATGTGGTGCGCTTTTTACAGAGAGAGAGAGAGAGAGGTGGTGACTGCTGCCTCTGTGCGGTACTCGCAGTGGGAGCAGCTTTCCATCTTGCCTGACTCTATGAGTCTTTACCTGGAGATCTCACAGCTCTGGCTGGCCACAAAGGGGCCATGCCTGCTTCCAAGTGTTACACCAGCTGCTTCCCTGAGTGAAAGTCGGTGTTTGTCCAATAAGGTGAACAAGGACCAGTTCGTCTCTCCAGGGAAGGTCATGGCTAAAAGATGGAGCGAAGGCACTAAATGGAAGGCTAAGAAAATCTAAAGGGAAGCTATTCGTTGCTCGCCCCTCTCTGCTGATCCTTTTTTCGTGACGTTCCTGAAGCGGAGAGGCTCGCGCGCAAAACCAACGGTCTTTCCCGCCTTCTCCTAGATATTTTGGCGCGCGGGGGCGGGGGGAGAATGAGGTAGCACGCGCACCTGTCCAGCAAAGACGGTTTTGTGTCAGTCTTCAGCAGGACTGAGCCAGACAACCAATCAAATTAGGAGATATAGGCGGGCTCTCCTCTCTCTCTCACACACACATACACCGAGTTGAAGGGAGGGATGAAGATCTGAGGGAGGTTATGAGGGAAAGTTGCTTCGGGGAATGCTTTTTTTAAAACAACAACAACAACTGGGGAGGAAATAAAACTTCGAGAGAATTCCTGAGGGAAAGCTGCCACGAGTACCCAGCTTTTAAAATAAAAACAAACATATAAAAGATACTAGGGTTGCTAGTTGTTGTACTAAATGATTTACGGAGGAAACGTTTTGACTGGATGGCAACAAACTTCACGGTGTCGTTGTTTGTTTTTGTTTTAAAAACGGTCTCCCATCTGCCTCGGCCACAGATAAACAGAAAGTCAACTCCAGGGACGACTTGTTTAACAGATCTGTATTAGTGTTAGAAAAAATACAAACGGGAAAGGAGGGAGAGGTGATTATGACTAGCTGCACAATCCTAATAGGAAACCCTGCTGAATTCCATGGGGCTTGTTCCCTGTTTAGGGCAGCCCAAGAAGGTTCCTATTATGGAAAACTTGAGATTAAAGCAGTGCTTTTGTTCCTTAAAAAATGTTTAGGTGTACTCTCATTTTGACTCAAGAAAATCACCATTTTGTAGTTCATATTGGGAAAAATCAATACGGTAAATGGACAAAAGTACAAAGACTCACAAAATGTTTAGGGGTATGTGTACCCCTGCATACCCCAGAAAAAAAGCACCGGATTAAAGTATTATATAGACTAAAGATGATGGTGCTGCTCGAAATTTGTCACACATATTTCCCATCCCTCTGTCCGTGTATAAATGCCAACTGAAGCATCAGATGAAGTGAAAACTAGTCCACAAAAGCCCACATAATAAACTGGGCAAAAGCATTGTCCCTGCCCTAAATCGTTTGCAATCCTGACATGCTTCTGCTCTTTGTGACAACTAGGCTACCATTATTTCCAGAGGGATAACCATATAGAATTGTAGAATTGGAAGGGACCCAACTGTTGGTGCAAAAGAAAGATTCTTGTGGTACCTGCAATACATAAATACATATTATTGTGGCATAAGCTTACTTATTCTACCACTGGTCCCAGTTTTCCTGCAACTGAGAACATCCCAGTTGCTATTGAATGTTAAATTGTGGTAAGAAAAAAGCCAATATGTCAAGGGGTGCAGAAAATGTTAATGCTGTGATCCTAAGCACACTTACCTATGTGAGGTATATGCAGAGCCTCAGCCTATAAAGTGGATAAATACAGGGGAAAGTAAGGGCCCAGTCTTCACAATGGGAAACTCCCAAATCATGAGGGCATAGATTTAGCAAAATATGGTGAATCTAGCCTAGGACCCAAGAGGTGTATGCATGTGGCTCAAATACAGTGCATGGGTTAGTACTGTATAATTCTCCTAATTTTGTTGTACTGTATAGTAAATCACTAGAGCTAACAACGTCCAGAAGCTTTATGATAAAGATACTTTCCTCTTGTTGCTGTTATCACTGTACAAAACCTTTGCGAAGGAGAGCTTCAAAAAAAACCACAAAGGCAAACAATCCTACCCACATAAGAATTTTGGGTGCTATGTTTTGAACATTTGTGTTCAAGAGCAGACTTTATGTCATGATTTCCAATACAAAATTAGCAAGTTGTTACAGAATTTAGTTGATACTCACCATGTGGCATAATAATTGCTCACATAAAAAACTTTGCTAGTGTTTGCAATTGCCAGCAGCAATTGCTGTGAGGCAATGCCACAAAAACTTATCTGTATAGTGCTGAAGTTCACTTGGATAGAGGTAGGGCAGAATGGCATTGAGGTCAAGGTGACTAACCAAAGGTTATTTGGTGAGCTTCATGTCTTGATTCCTGATTTTCATAGAATCATAGAATCATAGTTGGAAGAGACCACAAGGGCCATCGAGTCCAACCCCCTGCCAAGCAGGAAACAATTTTAACCCTAGTCTCCCAGGACACACCGGTAATCTAACACCAGTGCCAGATCTTGGTGTTTCAAATTTCATTGGTGCCCTGTGCAATACCAAAATTTGGTGTCCCTCTGCCTCTCACCTTCCATACAACGTCATAGTTGTGGTGTCCCCTGCAGCACCCTCGAGGCTTTGTGCCCAGTGCAGCCGAACCAGTCGTGCTACCCTAAATTCACCTCTGCTGCCACCTGCAAAGCCTGCTATTTTTGTAAATGCTGTGAATCAATTTAGAGTGGATTCCTGAGTTCCTTTCACAAAAATTACAATGAGAGATAGAAATTTGGGACAGCATTGGATCCATGCCACTGGATTGCCAGCAATTTGCCATGCAGGGCCAGAATAATTTCCTGTTGATTTCTACCTTTGGGTCTACACCATGGACATAAAGTTCATGACATTACTTTCACCAATTAGCCTCAACTGAATTATATGAAATTTGAGATTTAGCCCACCATGATAGTGGTAACACAAATCTAAGTTTTTCATTTTAGTAAAGCCTCAGGCTCCAACATGAAAGAAACTGGTGCAATTATCAAAGAAACAACAAAAGAAGAGGGAATTAACAAATCCTTTTAAATAACACACCTTTTTTGCCTTCAGGTATATTGAGATCAAATGGAAAATACTTATGCAAACCCCTGTGGCTCTTTTTAAGAACTCCATATCAAGCATCTGTGTTTCAAGGTTTATTTGATACACAGGCTGACAAGTATATGTCAGGACTTTAAATAACATTTGCAAATGAAATTGTGCACTATAGTAAGATATTTTAAAGACTCCTTTTATTTCAGTGCAGCATCAAATATCCACTTCAATTAGGCTTGACTCCAAAATTGAATATCATTTCCTACATTACTCTTATTGAAATAAATAATGATAATTTAGTATTTAAATTGCCCTTCTAGCTAAACTCAAGTATCAGAATGTTCTCAGTGAAATGGTCACCATTTGGCAAGTTCCCAACATTAGTCAATTAAATGTAGGTTGTGCTCATAAGTATTATCATTAAAAAAACAAAACCAAAACACATGTGGATAGCCTACCAATGTTATATCAGATGAAATGCCTCAGTGTACAAACAAATTTATCATCTTCATCTTCTGTGTTAATTATTTAATGTTCTAAAGACAAGTGATTACTTCCACATGCAGCATGTGATGCAGTGAATTACACACATTAAGAAATTAAACTATGCTCATAATGATTTCATAATCCTTAAAAAAGTAACTTTTGACTCCACATTATATTGGTTCAATAGTTACAAAACATTCAGATTTATTATATCCATAATTATGGGTTTAGTTTTTTTCAAAGAATCTTATTGGATAATACATATTGTCTCATATTAGACAATGCCACTTATTTCCCTTCCTCTAACAGGAACAGGTTATTTTCCTACTAAGAAACTCTCTAGAATAAATTATAGCAATTTGGTAACATATAGGAATCCAGTTGCTTTTGTTAACAGAATGAATGAATGAATCAATTTATGTCAGTCACTGACCAGAGTGTTAATAGAAATGTGAAGTAGTTGAAAGACAATATAATTGGCAACAAGAATTTTCTGGATCTGTTATTGTATCACTTCTCAGTTTCTCATGGCTGTGAGAAAATGTTAAAGAAAAATGTATTCCATGCACCAGCAGATTTGACTATGAACAAGAGCTGAGTATGGGAACCAGACCTATCACCTGCTGCTTACATGGAAAGATGTTGATCTTTTTTAATGAACAGGGCCTCTAGTATAGAAATAGGAGATGAAAAGTCATTCACAGCAAAGAGCATAAAGAGGGCATATCCTTTCTGATTTGACATGCTTTGCTTAAAGAATAAAATCCAATACGTTTTTAGCTTACATAACGTTTGAATGAGAAACACCTGCAGGTAATTTAGTATCATGGCAGCCAGGCCAGTACAATAGAGGGATTTTATTTTCTGACCATTGTTCTTTGTTTTGACTCTTTCAGCCACATATAAATCTAACAGATCCTTTATTTAGTGAGAAGGAAGCTTATGCCTAATCTCTGTCACAATACCTTTGGAATCTAACATTGAAGATAGTTATACTTTTTCTAGCATGAGATAGGAGACTGTAACACCAAGCAACTATCATAAAGTGCTCATCACACTTATATAATTGCAAAATTGTTTTATGGGTTTTAAAGCTTGTATCTTTTGTATTTTATTTTAACTTTATTGTTGTAAACTGCTTCAGTTCTTCTGAGTGAATGTTATATGTGAATGATGTGGTTTTAGGAAAGAACTGATATTTTTATTTGTTATGTTTAGTATTTATTTCATGTGTATATTTTTGAACTCTGAAAACAAATATTGAAAACCACCAGTGGGCGCACTCACACATGCTGTGCACATTGCATGATTTATCTTCCTCTAGTAATATATGACTCCAAACTGAATGTGTGAAATGACTCCAGTTAAAATAATTGGCTTGCATTCAAAGCTCCCCCATCCCTTCACAGAGTGGATTATGGGAGACAAATTTTCATAGACTAGGGGGAACTTTTTTGATAATATATAGGAAAAGAAGAAATGTAATATGTGATGTTATCAATGTCCCTAGACCAACACCACTTCACTGGCTGCTCCATTTGGATAATGAATGAAACATTCATAGAATCATAGCATCATAGAGGGACCATGAAGACTGTGATGATGTAATGTGATGTGTAACTATGTGGCTGCTACTGACCTAAATACACACATAGACATGACCACTACAATTTGTTAGGATCTCAAATGCTGGTTTTCTTTTACCCTTTGCTAGGGAACATACCTATTTCCTTGGCTCTTGTGCCATGTGATTAAGGGCCAAACTGCCCATGATGTTGGGGAAAAACATTACACAACACTGTTGGAGGTTCACTGCACCAAGGAGAAATTTTTATTCTAGGGGATTAATTTTGTTCCAGGTTGACTTTGTCTTGACACCCATAGCACCCTCAGTGCTGCAAATTGGCAATACTGATTTCTTATTTTTTAATGCTATTTTGAAGGGAGGGGGGGGGACCCATTAGGCTATTGGGTACATAACATAATGAAACCCAAGTTAAATCACCCTGAAGCTACTATAACCCATGATGGGGTGGAGCAGGAAGAGGGCTTGTATTATGTAAATACCTATATTTTCCTCCACCACAGCTAATGGGATAAGCAATTTAAGAAAGGGAAATAGCACTTGGAAAGGGGCTAATCCCTCCCAAAGTGCCAATCCAAATCAGCACAAGTGGCTGTTTTTTAATAAAAAAAGAACAGAACCTCTTGGGAGATCACAGATCATATGTAATTTGCCCCTAAGGTTATATAGTCTAAGCAAACTTTGAAATATGTATCAGTGAGGTGCCTTTCAGCGTGCAGTCTACCAAAATCTAGTCTCAACAACAAAGAACCTTCAGGAACTTGTTTTTTGTATGTGTTTGAAATTGCCATAATGCTTTTCACACTCTATCTTTTTTAAAAAATAATAATTTTATTTTCAAATTTTCAAAAAGAAAACATACTTTTTAAAAACACATACACTTATACATATACACACAGACATATACACTTAATTTCACAAAACCATATTCATATCAATACCTTTATGGGGTTCCCTGAACCCCAGGACTTCCTCCCACCCCTCCACTGGCTTCCAGAATTTTCCCCCTTTTAACTGCCTCTAATTACTTTATCTAACTTTGTTATACTCCATTTTTATCCTTTGTTGATTTAAATTACAAGCATTATGTGAATTCTGCTAATGTTTTTAAACTCTTACAGTGTTCTTTAATGTATTCAATAAAGTTATACCATTCTCTACAAAACATATTGTCCTCTTAGTGCCTGATCTTCCTGGTTAACAGTGCCATGTCCGCAAATTCCATCATCTTCAATATCCATTCTTCTTTCAATGGGGCTCTTTCCTCTTTCCATCCTTGGGCATATAATATTCTTGCCACTGTCATTGCATATAAAAACAATACTTTTTTATCCTTTTGGTATTTTTTCTCCTACTAAACCTAATAAAAAGGCCTCTGGTTTTTTAATGAAAGTTATTTTGAACATTTTTTTTTTCAGTTTGTTGTAAATCATTTCCCAGAAGTCCTTAGCTATTTTACATGTCCACCACATATGGTAGAATGTACCCTCCTTAACTTTACACTTCCAACATATGTTGGTTGTGTTCTTATACATTTTTACAAGTCTTGTAGGAGTCAGATACCATCTATACATCATTTTCATAATGTTTTCTTTTAACGAACAACAAGCAGTAAGTTTTAGATCTTTATTCCATAACTTTTCCCATGAGGTAATTTGTATGTTATGTCCCACATCTTTTGCCCAATGAATTGTTACAGATTTTACTTACTCATCTTTTGTTTCCCACTCCGGCACCAATTTATACATTTTTGACAGATTTTTTTCATTATTTTCCAACAGTTCTCTCTGCAATCTTGAAAGTTCTTTACCAAAACCAGCTTCTTTATCCAGCCTAAAAATATCATTTAATTGATGATATTGGAGCCAATCAGTTAACAAGTGTCATATCTTCATTTTTATTTTTTTACTTTCAATTGATTTTCTTCCTCCTCAATTAACAATTCTCTATATGTTGCCCATTCTTTTTCCTGCCTCTTTGGGCAGGGAGTTCCATGTATGCATCCTAACATCAAAATGAGGCCTGCTTCATGTCACTATATTTCTAACCTCACTAGGCCAACAAGCCCTCAGCAGAGAAGGTCTCAGAAGGGATTTTCTTCTCTTCAGCTGTCTTCTACTGTGGTACTTTCTAAGAATTGCACTGGAATATGAAAGGGAGTAGAGCATGTGCTTCAGGCTCTAACAAATCTGCTTGTGGTCTCCTGCGTTTGGTACTTCTGAGGAAATGACTGCATGTTACTAACTAACTAACTAACGTATCTGAAGAAGTGTGCATGCACACGAAAGCTTATACACAAAACAAACGTAGTTGGTCTCTAAGGTGCTACTGGACAATCTTTTAATTTTTTATATATTTCGACTGCGTCAGACCAACACGGCTACCACCTGTAACTAACTAACTAACTAACTAACTAACTAACTAACTAACTACTCATCTTATTTCTTGTCTAAGTAGGCCAATAAAACCTAAGTAGGGTCTCAACATACAGAAAAGGGCTCATATGGGGGGAGGCAAATCTTGTCTTCTCTTCAACTGCTTTCTATTCTAAAATGTGGTACTCAAAAACTTAATTATATGGTCTACCCACTGTTAATCAACACAGTGTTAAGTAAAGCAATGTATTGCATTGAAATCTCAGCTAGTGTACTGCAAATTAGCTTATTTTTCCCTGCAAGGAAAGCTTGCACAGTAGTTGCATTATATCTGTTTCCAGTTAGAAATATGATCTCTTGTTCTTTTCCAGTTTTCCATGTTAGCATAATCTTACAAAATATAATATTACTCCAAGGACCCCAAAAACAGTCTAAAAGAATTTAAGATGCAGTCTGCTTACAATTGCACGTCTATCAAACCACTGAAATGAAGGGTGTGGTGCCTTTAACATTTATGCAGTTAGAACTCAGGGTGGAAAACAGGCGTCTCCCCACTTTTGCATGTTTGACTCTCGTGTTTGACCATGTATACATGCGACACCAGGAAATAATTAAATAAATTTATGTAAACTGCAAAGGGACACAAAAAGTGCAAAAATGGCCCCAAAAGAGTAGTAAAAGTGCAAAAGTGACACGAAAAGAGTGGGAAAACGACTAGCAAGCCCAGGAGCCTTTGCAAATGCAATCTCAGAAGGCTTTGCACTGACATTTGAGTTCTGTGGAGAGTTGGAGTTTGAGAAAGGAGATTTGGAGGGAGCGATTGTGGTGGAGTTTGGCAGATCTTTGTGGATTTTTGGCAGAGTTTGGCTTTTTAGATGATGTTTCGCAGTATATGCAATTTCACGTATATGTGCAGTACCTGGGAACATAATCCCTGTGTATGTGGGGATAAAAGGAAAATGGACAAAAACATTAAAATATTATTGCTAAAGATCCTTGATTTTATTTTGCTCATCATGAAATGCAGTGGAAGGACTCCTATCAACCTGTTATGGACCTCCATATTTTCTGTTTCTCTTATTTTGCTTAATAAGTATTTTAAATGTTTCCTTGCATGTTTTTACATTTCCATTTTTTCAGGACTCTTTCCTATGTATGTGTAGGTCATTCTCTTCTTCAGGCTCAGAACAAGCCCAAATGAGTCGGATTGATGTCATCATTGTAAATCACATGCTGTATTTGGGTATGCAGGAAAGCATGACTTATTGCTTTGTGGTTGGCAATGGGAACTGTGAATGACCTGAGTTGAATTCTGCTTCCAAATAGCATTTCAGTTCTTGAATTATTAACTGTTCTGTCAGTGAAATTGCAAAAAGAATGATATGAAGACAAGTAACTGAAGTATTGACCTCTTCCTTATTGCAGTGAGCTCAACACACCTTTGAAATAGCGAAAGAGACACATTGTGTGTGAATTTGCCAGGTTGTGTTGGAAGAAAATGGTTACCTGATGTATTATAAGTTGTCTTTCTGTTATAAGCTACATTTATTAAATGCAATAACTACACAAGGTTTGTTTAGGACCTAGATAAACTGTATTTGTGACAGATGTACCGAAAAAGTAATCATGAGGTCAAAACATACTTCTCACAGTATATTATGTACAATAAACATGTATTATGTAAAATTACAGGTACTAGTATATGTAAGGATATTCATGGAGTAAATATTTAATGCATAATTAAACGTACAGTATATGTATTATTTCTGATATATAGGATAATGTATATATTATTATTTCATGGGGTAAATCAGTTAATGTTCTATATACATAATAGTATTAAGATCATCACCCCTTTTTGTACATCTTGGGGTGGCTGGGTGGAGGAGGAGGCAAAAAAGCCACTGGGGGCAGCTGGGTAGAATGGACAGAAGATAGTTTAATACAATTGCTAGTTTTAGGGCCGGCAATGAGGGGTTGTGGCCTTCTCTTTTGATGCCCTAGGATGACGTGTTCTCATTTCTGGCTTACAGGACCAGTTCTTTAGGTTATTTAAGCTACTAGGGCTGGTTATCATTTAAGGCGTTTGTTTTCGATTATAGGCAGGAGGAGAAGAAAGATTGTGAAGTATAGTGTTGAAGCTAATTGGCTGAATAACGAATGGGTGTTCTACAGGTTGGTCCTCAATTCATGTTAAAATGATGATGTCTGAGATTAAAAGTAAAAATAGTATTTGGGATAGTGGGCAATAGCAGTAGGTGCGTTGTTTTGATAAATGGGTTTTTGGCATAGTAAGTAGGATGAAGACTGAAAATAGAAGTGCTAGGATGCCACCCAACTTGTTAGGGATTGAGCGAAGAATGGCATAAGGCATAAGCAAAGAGGAAGTATCATTCTGGCTTAATATGTGGTGGAGTAACTAGAGGGTTTGCGTGGCAAAGAGATCCAGACCTGCAGTAGTTTCATTGGTTTGAGGGGGGAAAACATTTCTCCAGACTCCTGCCTTCTTAAAGGTAGTTATAATTCAATCAGCAATTCTCATTTTCACTCTGTCTACTCCAGCATTCTAATTCAACAGTCACACCAGAAGCTGCTTTATTCTGAGTCAGTTCATCGGTCTATCTAGTTCAGTATTTGTCTACATTGCCTGGCGGAAGCTCTCCAGGGTAATTCCAGGTGGGTGTGTATTGTGACATCAGCACCCCTCAGGCAGGCAAGTTCCTAAGCAGCAATATTGTCATAAAAATGCCAGCTTATATTTCCCTTCCGCTTCATTTAAATTGGAGTTACCTTTCTGGGAGAAATCTGGGTTTGTTTGGTTTTTGTTTAACAACCTGTCGCCAACTACCCAGTTAAAATATTAAGTTGCATCTTGGAGCACCCTTGGAGACAGAGGCATACCTAGAACACTTGAAAAGGAACATATACTTTACCAGAGTACTTGAATACTTAATAAGGCCATCAGACACCATGGACGCTATGAATTGCGTCCAGTTAAGTCATACTCAGAGTAAGCTGACTGAAATCTATAGATATGCCTAACTTAATGTGGTGTGTGGCCTGTCTTTTTGAAAGACTGTATCTGTCAAAGAAAGTTCCCTTCCTTCTCTGGGTATTGTTTCCTCTTTAGTAAGCTGGAAATTAGCTGAAACCTTAGTGTCGCTTGCTAGCAAGTCCTAGATACTATGTTGCGTTGCTGTTTTGTTGTTCATAAATACAACTATTGAAGTTCTCCTGACTCCTGCTGTTTCCTGGTATAACGCCAGACCCTTTGCAAGGTTTCCTCGCACAGTGAATATCCTTCCCAAACCCACAGGATACTAAAGTTGATTAATTTCAATGGGCGCCTACTCTGTGTTTGAACTAGTTGACACAACCCATAGCATCCTAAGGCTTTCTGTATTTTGGATACTGAGATAAGCATGCAGAAGAGATTCTCAGGAGCAAGGAACCCTGAAATATTTACTTTTCTGGTATGCTTTATATCTCTACAAAATACTGAGGCATTCTAGAAATTATATATTTCTGATACCATCAGGTAAGGTGTGGGGTGAGGGGGTGGAAAGATCAGTTGTGTGCCATGATGGTGCTGGGGTGAGTTCAAACAATGACATTTGGACTTGGCTCATAATAAGTTTGAAGGTGGTGAATTCTTTATTTCATTTTATGATCCCCCACTTATGAACTTTTGCACCAGCTTTTATGCAGACTATGCTGCTGGATCCATTTTGTTTAAAAATTAATGGCAGAACATGACCCTAATTAGAGAGATCATATTTGCTAGTTTTAGAAGCGAGAAATATCATTTACAGTAACATTACCTTATCCATCTAGAATCATAAATGTAATTTTATTAGGTTATATTCTCTTAGGCAGAATATTTTATAACTATTTCATTTTTGGTCTTGTTCATTTCAGTATATGGACTTAATACAGTGGTACCTCAGGTTACGAACTTAATTCGTTCTGGAAGTCTGTTCTTAACCTGATGTATTCTTAACCCAAGGCGCACATTTCCTACATAGGCCTCCTGCCCCTGGAAGCAGATTGCTTTCATATCCTGGGGCAAAGTTCGCAACGTGGAACACCTACTTCCAGGTTTGTGGAGTTTGTAACCCAAAGCATTTGTAAGCAAGACTGTTCATAACCTGAGGTACCACTGTAGTTGGAAAAATGGCATCTTCATACTCTCCAACATTTGTCCGACGAAAATAGGGATGTCCCATATTCAATATGTATGGAGTTTGCTTGTTTTATTCAGGATGTGTGTGCTTCAGTGCATGCATGCATGCTCCCATCTCCCATTCGTTTATCCCACTGCTTATATGTGCTAGAGAGGCAGAGTGCATAGCCTAATTTTTAAGATCTTAGCTCAGTGGCAGAACACATTTTGCATGCAAATGTTCCCAGGTTCAGTCCTGGGATCTCCATGTAGGGGAGGAAATCCCCAAAAAATGTTGAGGGAAAAAATACATAGGAAAATGCCTTAAACTGAGATCATTTATCTTTTCAGCTCATTGCCTGCACTATTGCCCGCACTATGGGTTAAGAAACGTTTTCATCCCAAGAAGTACATTCCCTCATGGGCACCCTTCTGTTGGCCACATATCATTTGGCCACTGTGAGAACAGGATGCTGGATGAGATGGGCCCATTGGCCTAATTTTAGCAGGCTGTACGTGGGTGGCGCTGTGGGTTAAACCACTGAGCCTTGGGCTTGCCGATCAGAAGGTCGGCAGTTCGAATCCCTGTGACGGGGTGCGCTCCCGTTCTTCGGTCCCTGCTTCTGCCAACCTAGCAGTTCGAAAGCACGTCAAAGTGCAAGTAGATAAATAGGCACCGCTCCAGCAGGAAGGTAAACGGCGTTTCCGTGTGCTGCTCTGGTTCGCCAGAAGCGGCTTAGTCATGCTGGCCACATGACCCGGAAGCTGTACGCCGGCTCCCTCACCCACTAAAGCAAGATGAGCACCGCAACCCCAGAGTTGGTCACGACCAGACCTAATGGTCAGGGGTCCCTTTACCTTTACCATTACTTAATGTTCTGGGACTCGGGTGGCACTGTGGGTTAAACCACAGAGCCTAGGACTTGCCGATCAGAAGGTTGGTGGTTCGAATCCCCACGACGGGGTGAGCTCCCATTGCTAGGTCCCTGCTCCTGGCAACCTAGCAGTTCAAAAGCACATCAAAGTGCAAGTAGATAAATAGGAAACGCTTCTGCGGAAAGGTAAACGGCGTTTCTGTGCGCTGCTCTGGTTCGCCAGAAGTGGCTTAGTCATGCTGGCACATGGTGGGAAGGTAAACGGCGTTTCCGTGCGCTGCTCTGGCTCGCCAGAAGCGGCTTAGTCATGCTGGCCACATGACCCGGAAGCTGTATGCTGGCTCCCTCGGCCAATAAAGCGAGATGAGCACTGCAACCCCAGAGTCGGTCACGACTGGACCTAATGGTCAGGGGTCCCTTTACCTTTACTTAATGTTCTTAATGCATGAAGCTCATAATGGTGAACAAAGATTCTAAAATACAGTACAGCAGCAATCAATGTCATTTCCTTCGAAAAAAGGCTATGCCTTCTCCCCCTCTTACTTGATGCAAGTCACTAAAATTAATGCTTTTCACATAAAGACACTTTTCCTTAGGGTGAACATGAATGACCCCTTATAGGCTAGCTAATGATGAAATCCCTGAAGGTGTTAATTAAACAGGACAATTATGATCTACCCATGATTTATAGTTATAGATTACTAGCCCACAGTGGTTGGTCTGATAGGCATTTATTGCCTACTTAACCATTTAAGGTTATTTTTAATATTAAAAAAATCAGTGTGGTACAAAAGGTGATGAATGTTTCTGTTCAAACAGTCCATTAAGATGATTAATTAACATCACAATGAGGTCCTGCAGACTTCATTGGTGCCAGTAAAAGTCTGGGAAAGTGTGAGAGAGGCATCACCATAGGAAATTATTTGTGGCCAAACGTGCACATAGAATCTAAAAACTGCTTTCCAGATCTCTCTCTCTCTCTCTCTCTCTCTCTCTCTCTTTCTTTCTTTCTCTGTTACCCAACAAGGTTTACATGGATGCTTTGTACAACTTCATGCCTTTGACATAAAGAAGGTCTTATCTTTCCAATGCAAGAGATACTGGAAGAAAGGAATAATAAAATTCAAACACTAAAACTTCATAGTCCTCTTTGAAGCAGTTTGGCTGGAATGTCGAACCACTGGTTGCACCATAGGAGAATGAAAGGGGGGGAGAGTTAAATGCAATGAATTATGGTTAAGAAGGCCATAGCTTTATTTGATCATATGTAAAAATAAAAAGAGGTACTCTATGTGGTCATTTCAGGTCAAATAACCAACCCCCTGTAGCTGGGGGTCTCTGTAAAAAGAAAGGGGAAATGACACATTTTCAAACAGCATGATTAAGAAAGGCAGCTTTTGAGTTCATTACAACTCTGAAACTGGCAACACTTGTAGGTTTTCATTCCAAGCAAAAGTATAAGAAAACAACAAATAGAGTAGTTTCCTTTCTCACAAACTCCTGTGAGCTGCCCTGAGTGGCATTTAGAGAATAACACGGAGTGTTTTAAACAATTGATCTGTCTGGGAAGACTGTAAGGAATTCCTATTGTAAGGAAGATTCTGACAGTAAGTGCTATTTGACAGAGGAACAGACTCCCATGAGAGGAGGTGGGTGGCCATTGGTCATGTGTGATCTAGTTGATA